TATTTAGTTGGAGCTTCAGAAGCACTCAAGCAAGGATTTAGGAGCTTCAGCTCGACCCACACTCTTGCAAGCTTATATCATCAAATTTCTTACTAACCAAATGTTATCATCAAACTTCAACACAAATTTTAGGGGAACCTATCTAAGGAAAGGAGTTCTGCCATTAGATTTATTAATGCATTTTCAGGCTACTCGAGCTTGTCTAAGAAAAATTATAAGCTAGCCATTATCTAATTACTGGTCGAGATAATTCAATACTTGGATTCATTTGGGATTACTATAACTTGAAGAAAATGTTTTGTGACATGATTTTTCTAGCATTTAAATGATATCAATATGTGTTTCTTGATCCTTAATGTTCATCGTTACCATTATATCAAAACAGTGGTGGCACAACAAGATTTGAGGCCTAAAGCAACGAAGGTTAATAATAATTTAATTTTTTAATTTAAAATTTATTATTTTTATTTTTTGATGATATTTGAAATTACTAATTTTTTTTATTTAAATTTTTCTAATATATTTTTTTAATTAATAATATGACATTTGATCATAAATATTTATAGGAATAAAATTAATTTCTTCATTAATATTTTTATGTTCTTTTTATTTGTTTTATATATTCTTTATCAAAACTGTGGAATTAAATGATTGATTTTATTATAAATAAATTCATTATTATCTTTCTTTTGAGTTATTTTACTATCTTTGAATTTTATTTATTTATCCATGCAACTTTCACCTAAGTTTTTATTATATTTTATTTGTTACGAATAAGAACTTTATCAAAATATTTTTTTTTTAATAAGAATAAATGGTTTAATTGGTATTTTGCGTTCAAATGAGAACAAAACAAAAAAAACAAGTTTAAGATAAGTAAATAATGTGTTTGGTTTTGATTTTTTTTTTTTTACTAAAGAGAGATATTTATTACATTTCTTTCAATTAAAGAAAGAGATAGATTTTGTCAATATTTTTTTTATTAATCTTTTTTGTCCTTTAATAAATGTTATTTGTGTGATAAGGTCTGAACTTTTAGGCCCAAATTTTTAATTTTTGTGTTGGATTACTCTTTCAAAAATTAATTTTTTAGGCAATATTATAGTAAATTTTATTTTATAACTTATATTATATTATTAATTTTTAAATTTAGAGCCTTTTTTCGTATGTGAGGCCTAAAGCCTCCGCTTTTATTTTGAACCAATAGGGCTGGCCTGTATCAAAATTGAAATTAGTCTACATTATAATGTTCATGTCAAAAGTTTCAAATCTTAGGTTCAAGTGTAATACACGTGTACGTCAACTAATCATTTAAAGTACAAAGACAGATTAAGTTGAATGTTTTCCGATGACACAAAAATGTGTCTGATGTCATAGCAACAATTTAAGCTTGTCAAGAGATTGGATTCTCATCCCGATTTCAAAAATTTGATTCAAATTTGACGAATTTTATTTTTGTGGTTCATATCCAAATTTGCTAACATTCCGAAAATCTAATTTGATCCGAATAACTTAATTAACTAAATTTTAAATAAATTTTTTTAAATAATTACTTAATTTCTTTATTATTTATATAAAAATATATAAATAATTTGGATCGAATCATAATCAGATCGGATATAGGTATATCAAAATCTGAATCTATGAAATATAAAATTTCGGATCCAAATTCGGGTTTGAATTATCGATATAAAATATTAATTTATATCCGACTAATCGAATTTAAATTCGAAACAAAATTGGATCCATTCGCGGACCTAGCAACAACCAAGATTTTGATGTCACATCTTGTAACCTGTTTTTTTTTCTTTTTTTCGGTGGGTGCCAATGATACCAACTTAGCATTTAATTTAGTTGATGTAGTCGTTAATAGAAGCAACCATAAGATGTTGCTATATGTCCAATAATGGTCTCTTCCCATCAAAAAAAAGATTATAATAATGGTCCCTTCCCACGAAATGTCTCCATTGAAAATCATAATACGTCATAAGGCTCAATGCTCAATTCAATTAACCGATGTTGTAATACTTATATTTAAGGTAGGAGAAAAATGACACGACGTTTATGTGAATATTTACTCCGAACCACTACCACTGTTATCACTCCACCATTGTCATTGTTGCTACCACCACTGCATAGCCTCCATGTGTGGTGCATCGATCCCACTACAATCGCCACCATCTAGACTTTCCCTCTAGATGTGTGTTAGTGGGTTTAGCCTAAACTTTTTAACTTGACTAGTTTTTTTAATTTGTTAATTATAAAAGGTCTCGTTCTCCATCATTAAATCTTTTAAATTCTCAAAGGTGGCATTTTATTTTATATTTGGTAAGCACATTATTTCATAGTTAAAACAATTTAAAAAGACAAATAAATTAAAATTATTTAGGTTGAAGCTGTCCATGAACCATTATATCTAGCCTCTTTTTTTTAAAATTTTTTTTTCCTATCTAATGTGAAGTAGTCAACGAAGTCCCAATGATGCTATCCATGTAGCTCATCTAACCTAATCTTTTATTTGTTCATTGCAGCATTGTCAATGGTGCCTCATTTCTTCAAGAAATTTGAAGAATTAAATAACATAAATTTTAATAATGATTAGATTGAAATCGTATTAAAGACAAACATTACACTAAAAAAAATATACGAGGAAGAATCTTTTTTTGAACCGCCAACTACCCTTCCCTTGCCCCGGAACAAAGCCTCCCATCCTACTATAAGATTTTTTATTTACCAAGTGAGAGGGGTATGACAACAATGGGAATTCCACAATTAATGAGATAATAAAAGCAGTAGGTAGGAAGTCACTTTAAAGATCACATTTAGCTTAGCTTGGTTTTCGATCGCTTTAACAATGAAAGACTTTTTCTTTTATATCATTGCTAGCAATAAGAAGTCGGGATTCAATGCATTTCAAATTCGTCCAAATTCCAAGTAAAATTCATATTGAATAGTCTTAGACTATTTTTTTCTAGTTATTGGAAACTTAGACACACACTTGATATACTCACAATGTGAGATACTCTACCATGGTTGATGATATCATAAAAAATGTATATGTACCATAAGCTAATATAGTCATCTCCCCGAGTTAACATGAAGGCAATCCATGATAGGAATACATAAATTGTAACACCAATTAAGACTGACTTTCAACATAAAAATTACCTAGAGGGACAAAAGAGAAATTTCACTATAAAAAACGTTACATTGGACAAGATGATAATACTTTTGGAAGTTTTTATCATATCTTGGGCAAATAGCTTTTCAACGATTAAATATTCTCTAATAAATCTGTTTCAAAAGAAATGAAACAATGTAACAAGGGGTAATTCAATAAACCGTCCCAAAAAAAAAAAAATTCTTCCATGTATCTTCTTCTTCTCCAAGCCTTTGCATTCCCATCGTTCAATTCTATCACTAATCACATTTAATTTGTAACTCATTTATTATACAGTGTTGTTGGTTTTTACACCATTAGAGGTTATTCAAAAGAAAGTGATTAAACACAGGAGAAAGGAAGTGGCATCATCAGCATTTATGATCTGGGCTCCAAAGCCCCCAGAGACTTCGGACGGGTCAAGCCGAAATTAGTGACCGGGGCATTCAAGTTTCCAAAGATTAGGATGTGCCAACGTTTTCATCTGTTAAATAAAAAAATATGGAGTTGGTGGAGAAGTTGGTGAAGATGATAAATCTTTGGTTCTTGCTATTCTCTTAGCTAGTTTTATTTAAGTTTTTTTTTTAATGGTTTGATTAGATGAATTTTAAGGATGAGTTTAAATTCACTTCTCCAAATTTTTCTAAATTCAAAATCTCATTTGTAAAAATGAGATTCAACATTCAATCCGGTTCGTACCTATATTTGGTATACAACACATACACATGTAGGACTCATGGATATATCATAATTATTAACAATTATTTATCATATAAATAACTATTTTATTCTTGATCAATCTAATTTATACCCATGTTAAGGGGTATAATTGGCTTTTGAATCCTTAACCCCTTACCTATCTTGCCAAACTCACCCTCCTTTTAAATTTGATAAAACTCATGATCATGAGTTTAATCTTCAGACTAATTACGGACCGGGTTTGAAAATCTAATACTGAATTTTCCAAACAAATACGAAATTTGAGAAAACTTTAAAGTATTTTTTATAAATTCACCTTACCGAACCTCCCCATCCTTTTTTTACAAAGAGGACCTAAATGATGTAACTTTCGGTACAAGGGTGGATGGGGTCAGCCATGGTTGTAGTTGAATGGTCATATATATCTAGATATATAGCTGCCTGCCATGTTATCAAAGTAGGTGAGATGTGAATCCTTTGATTTTTATATTCACGCACACAGCTTCAAACTAGGATTTGTCAACAACGTCCGAATATCAATATACCAAATACTTGTTCCCTTCCAACTTCTGACACAACTCATAATCCTTGTACCTAATAATATTGACGATGATGATGATGATTTGCACAAAAACCTTGTATGATTTGTCAAATAATATTGAAATATCATGAATTAGAGGGGGCTAAAAAGGGCAATAATTATAAGAAAATCAATCGGAAGCGAAGCAAATTAAGTATTTCTCTGGTGTCTGGAAAAACTCATGAGCTTCCCAGTCTGGTGTCTTCGTATATCTTATTTTTTGTATATCGGTCAAATGTTTAGATTAATATATATACACTTTAACTAATTTTTTTTTCAATTAAATCAAAAACAAGTTATTTATATTAAAATTAGAGTATTTATTAAAAATAAATTTTTTACAACTTAATTTTAAAAGATTATCAAAATTTTAATTCAAAATTTTTAAATTTATAACTCATTCTTATTATCACTTAATTTACGAGTTTTACTCCCACGTGTACGACCATGGACACTGTACTTAAATCATATATTCCTCCCATATCTACTCCTACTTCTATGAGAGAGAGAGAGAGGGGGGGGGGAGTTGGTGGTGGGTCCGGTGTAGGGGTTCAATCAGAAGGTAGGTGAGCCAAAAACACCTTATAAACGGCCCTACAACTCACGTTACTCTCATCCCCGAGCCTTTCCTCCAGGCTTCATCATCACTCAAAAAAAACTTCCACTTTTAACACTTTCATCCCCCAAAAAAATCCGAAACCCTTGTCCACAATGGGTTCTACAGATAACCAAACCAGTCACATGGAGGAAGAAGAAGAAGCCTGCATGTTCGCCATGCAATTGGCCAGTGCTTCAGTACTTCCCATGGTGATGAAGTCAGCCCTTGAGCTTGATCTTCTTGAGTCAATAGCTAAAGCTGGTCCAGGTGCTTATGTCTCTCCATCGGAGCTCGCCGCTCAGCTCCCAACGGAGAACCCTGAGGCGCCGGTGATGCTTGACCGAATTCTCCGGCTACTGGCTAGCTACTCCGTTCTCAAGTGCACTCTCAAAAATCTCCCGGACGGCCGTGTTGAGAGGCTTTATGGTTTAGCACCGGTGTGTAAGTTTTTAACTAAAAACGCCGACGGTGTCTCAATCGCTCCTCTTTTGCTCATGAATCAAGATAAGGTCCTCATGGAGAGCTGGTAATTTCTCTCTCTAGATTCCATTTCCTTAATCTGATTTGTGTTGTCTCTGCTAAGTTTTTCAATCTGAGAAGAGATTTCCAAGGCTTACACCCACACGATAGTTTCATTGAATTTGAGGATGTTCATGTTCAAATTATATTTTATGAATTATCGTATTTTCAAAAATTATAACTTACAAAATTATAATTTTTTATATTAAAAAATATAATTGTCAATACTTTTTTTTTGGTCACTTATAATTGTTAATATAATACATTCTTCAGTAGTGTCGTTTCTTTTTCTTTTTTGGGTAAGGTTTGAGTGGGTGACAACTGACAAAGCCAAAAGGAATGTAATAGTGGGTGACAACTAAAATCACATAATGACCTGAACCGCTACATCTGTTTAATGACCAATGCTGTGTTATCTAAATTTGAAATATAAATTTACATTTTAAATGAAGGGGCCATTGGATCGATAGGTCTTATTTAATACAACATCAATTAACAAAAAAGGGAGGATATAACATAAAATTCGAATATTTAAAAATTAATTTTATTATATTAAATGATAATTATATTTTTAAAAGAATTATCAAAAAATATTAATATGTGTACACTATCGTATATAAATAACTTTTAAAATAAAAATTATATTAAGCCACAAAATTAATCAAAAATTAAGGATGACGTAATAGAAATATAAAAAAAATGTGGAGATAAAATTCAAACTTTTATCTAATAAGATAGATAGATATGGCTGGATGGTAGACCCATCAATCATATTAGGTTCGTATCAAAAATTTTTTTTTTTTATATATACTCAATTCGTTTATTAATTCGTGTCATATCGGATTCGTGTTGTATATGAACAAATCATGTTTTAATATTTCTTTTGAATGATATGACCCATAACCAATTCGTTTATTAATCGTACTGCGTCAGATTCACCCACTTATGTCAAATTCTCTAATTTTATTTCGTGTTCGTATTGTATTAATTTATCTATTATTTTGATGAATAATGGATAGAACTAGACGAGGGTAAAATTTGGAGGTAGTTCTTAGATGAGATCTGAACTTGTTGCTCTTCTTGGGCTCTTACAATTACAATATGGCATTAGGTAAATTAAAATAGACAAAAAATAAATAAAAGCTACGAACTATACATCCTTAATTAGTATTATTATCTTTCAGGTCAAAGAATGAATATTACAACTTTTACAAAAATAGAGTATTGGTCTTCCTTTCTTCTCATATACTACTACTTGCTGGTTGGTTGGTTTCATTATCTATAATTTTGTCTTCGTTCGGAAAATTAAGCAAGGTGGAGAAGACGTGAATAAGGAACAGGGGTTTTTTTTTTTTTTTCAAAGAAAGACAGTTGGAGTTGGTAGGCCTAAAGCTGGTCCTACAAGTTTGTTTTTATCTTATAGAGATTTAATTTAAATTTTTAATTAATAATATAATTCATTAAAATTGAATAATTAACCGTGAATTAAATTTTGAACCAATAGATCTTTTGTTTAATGATATTTCTTATCTTATAGAGATTTTGTCTTTTTAAGGTCAATGGATCAAGTCCACTTTCTCCTTCCCCTTCCCCTTCCCCTTCCCCGTCCCCCCAAAAAAATAAATAAAATAAAATAAAAATTACGTTTTGAAATGGTCATACTAAGTTTCTTACATGGTTTTTATATTGGAAAAATGGGCACCCACATAATAAAATCGAAGCTGTCTTCTGTTTGGAAGAGTCTTTTGTATTTTTCGAACAATGTTTGGAAGAGTTTATAACAACTTGCTTGTTTGGATTTGGTGTAAATTTTACGCAAAAGCAGCTTAAATTTCTATTTTATTATCTCATAGATTAAATGCTTCCACTTCAGGGACTGTTTATACATATATTCTTAATGTCTATATCAAATAGTTCATCAAACATTGGTGAATTCACATGGGGGGTCCTACCTACTAGGAAAAGTTAATTAGAAACACTAATTCACAATTCATATTGATTTGATAAGCAGAATTCTGTATAATAATTGGTGAGAGTGACATTGTCGTGATAACAGAGACGAACTGTACATTCACACGTCTTGAGTTCATGTATTGGCAACCCTTTGGGGTCAGATCATGAGGGATTTATCCCTCATGAATACCATGATATAGTCTGTATTTGATTGGACCAGAGAGGAAATTAGTTGAAGTATGCATAAATTGACCTAAACACTTTAGTTGAGCAAAAAAAAAAAAACTATTGTAATACAAATTTTAGTCTCTTTAATTATAGGGGAAGTTATTCATCTCTTTCTAAAATTACATAATTAATAAAGTTCATGTTCAAGGGAACGTAACTATTAAGTTACCAACTTCATTGCATTTTGTGATTCTGTCTTTTTTTAATGCAGGTACCACTTGAAAGATGCAGTACTTGACGGTGGAATACCATTCAACAAGGCCTATGGAATGACAGCATTTGAGTACCACGGCACAGATCCCAGGTTCAACAAGGTCTTCAACCAGGGAATGTCTAACCACTCCACCATTACCATGAAGAAGATCCTTGAGATCTACGGTGGCTTCGAGGGCCTGTCGTCCGTGGTTGACGTTGGCGGTGGCACCGGTGCTACTCTTAACATGATCGTCTCTAAGTACCCCAACATCAAAGGCATTAACTTCGATTTGCCACACGTTATCGAAGATGCTCCATCTTATATTGGTACACATCTTCAATTTTTACGAAGTGTTAATTGACCTCATTTTACGATAATTTACATTCATAATCTATTTTTGAATTTTTATACAGGTGTGGAGCATGTTGGGGGAGACATGTTTGTTAGTGTGCCAGAAGGAGATGCCATTTTTATGAAGGTTAGTTTGATAATTGCCAAAGGAACTAAATGCCTTAACTTGTAACATATGACACAATCTACAAACTATGAGAGTTATATTAATTCGAAAAAGCCGCTCCTACTTAAACTTGGATGCTAACACGATGTGTTTACAGTGGATTTGTCACGATTGGAGCGACGAGCATTGCTTGAACTTTTTGAAGAATTGTTACAAAGCGCTGCCAGAAAATGGAAAGGTCATAGTTGCCGAATGCATTCTTCCAGAGGCCCCAGATGCTAAACTTACGACTAAGAACGTTGTTCATATCGATGTCATCATGCTGGCGCATAACCCGGGCGGGAAAGAGAGGACAGAGAAGGAATTCGAGGCCTTGGCAAAGGGAGCTGGATTTCGAGGTTTCAGCAAAATGTGTTGTGCTTTCAATACCTGGGTTATGGAGTTTTTGAAGTAGATATGAATTACTACTGCCTTGTGTTGTTCATTCTTGTCTAATGATTGTGGTTTTTGAGGTTTGTGATTTTTTCTGTTTTCACAATGTTGTATGTATCATTTTCCAGTTTTACTGATTCAATGGAATAAGAAATACATAATGTATTCCAGTTATATATAAAAACAAAACAAGAATTCGATTATGTTCTTGATGAAGAATGTGAACTACTCCTCAAAGTATATGTGAGCCTTTGGTTCCTAGCAAGCACATAGGTATACAATAATTTCACTTGCGACTAATATGGAAAATCATTGTATATTGTGAATTACTACGAATTCGGTAGCCACCATGCATCGGGTCTCAAAATTAAATCAGAATAGCGTTGCTCAAGAGGTTAAAGTGATTGTTATTGAGTGTATAAAGTAAGTGCTGTGCTGATTTGCTGATATTTCCAATGAGCCCGAACGAGCTTAAGTTGAGTCTGTTGAACTCGTTTTTTTAAACGAGTCTAAAAAATTATTCAAATTCGACTAGATTAAAAAACGAGTTGAATTCAAGCCGTGCCTAAGTATTTACACAAACGAGTCGAGCTCGTTTGTTAAACTAATCTAAAAAAATTTTCAAATTTTACAAAAGTGTAGAACTCAAGTTGTTTGATTCAATTACCAATCCTTCTTCCATCCCATACAAAAATGGGATGTCGGCTAGAATGGAGATGGAGCCACTTTATTGTCAAGTTATCATTGTAATTTCTAAAGACAAGCCATATAGCCCGCAGTCCTTGACCCGACGCAAAAGCCCATCAACTGATTAAGTGATGGGCCAACTCAGCCCATCATTTAGAGGTTCGTGGACAGTCAATTAGCTTGACTAGTGAGGCCCAAAGCCTTTTTGCCCCCATTGGTCTTATGGCCTGTCCAATCATGCCATCGACCCGCTTAAATTTACAAAAAAAAAAGAATTCACCATTTTTATTTATGTAATAAAATTAAGAGGCCGGTCCCTAGGCCCAAAAAAATAATTGGTGATTAAGCCCTATTAAAAAATCAAAGCAATTGACATAACTAATGACCTTTACAATTACCAAAAGTAACGACAATGATATAATCTAATTTAAACACTTATTCTAAAAAGTTACGTCAATATAATATTTATATATTTTTCTCAATAAATATAAATTATAAGACAGTTACACTAAACAAAAAAAGAAAAAAGATGTACAATATATATATATATATATATATAACAAATACGTCATAAAAAAAATATACAAAATAGCAGGTATGCAATAATAAACAGACAGGTACACTAAAACACAGATCGTCAGATAAGTATACTAAAATACAGATCTTTAAGGTACTTTCTTCTCCAAAAACTCAGACCGTCAAAAAGGTATATTAAAACACAAATCATCAGAAGTTATTATAATGTCCAAATTATTTAGTTCACGAGTTTGAATTTCAAAACTAATAGACAATACCTCAAAAACCTCAATTACAAACTGCCAAAAAAAAAAAGACTAATTATATTTTATATTGAAATCATGTGACGAGGGAAAAATGGATAATAAAAACTAGTAACTAATCAATCCCTTTAACGTTTGTGCTAACACAGGAACCACATGCAAATTTTTTCAAAAATTAGAGAACCTTTGTTTATACTAAAAATTTGATAGGTCTAAGATTAATTTACACATGAAATGAGGGATTCTAGCCTAATTTTTAAACTTTCAATTCCGGTCCGTTTAACTAGGCCTGTCAAAATTTGACCCGACACGAATCGAACGGGTTTGGGTGAGACCTTAACGGGTTCGGGTGATAAACGGGTAATCCGCCAAACATGTTTAATAAATAGGTCGTGTTCGGATGAGACCTGTCATCCCGTTTAAAAAAATTAATATAATAATAAATTAATAATTATTTTAAAAAAATTAGTCAAAATTAAAATAAAATATTTATTATATATAAATAAATGGTAAATGTGTAAAGAAAAATTTTACTTTAGAAAAATTAAATATAAATTATTCACTTACCCCTAATGCAGTGTTAGATGTGAGAACCTGATTGAGGGTAAAAACTAAATTCAATAAAATAGACCCAATACCCTTCAATCTCTTTCTTTAAGAAAAGACTCAATCCCTTATCCCACAATAAACATCTGAATTCTTTACAAATTTAAAATCTCAATTCCAAAGAATCAAATCTAAAGATTCAATTTCAAAGAATATCTGAATTCTCTACAAATCTAAAGACTCAATTCCACAATGAAGAAGTCGTTGAAGCCAAAGCTTCATTCTTTTGATTTCTGGGTTGATCGAGTTTGTTGGTAAGAGATGGTGAATTGAAGGTGAAGACATGGACGTAGCAAAAGCTATCGCCATTTTTCACCTATTTGTACTTGCAACACAACTGCAGAGTATGGTTGAGGGGTGGGGTTTTGTGCCGTGTGCGAGATAGGAACTAGGAAGAAGAGATTTCAACTTGCACAGTGAACATCCAATGAAAGATTTTGGCTTAAATCTCACATTGACTAATTCAAATGAAAAAGACCTTACATGCCTAGAAAAAGATGCAGCTCCTTCTTTTAGTCTTTAAACCTTCTCATTTGCCTTTACAAGTGGCAGCCAGCTAGAAATCTTTTAATTAAAAAAATACAGTTGTTGTGGATAATTAATGGAGTTTAAAATTTTAATAGGATAGTTTTTTGCTATGTGTTAAAATTTTAATAGAATAATTTAAATAAAATTAAATGGATTAAACGAGTCATGTCATATTATCTGTTTATTAAATAATTCATGTTCGTGTTTAGATATTTTACCCGTTTATTAAACATATCGTGTACGAATTTACATATTTTTCACCTATTACCCCGTTTAATCCGACGCGTTTGACACCCCCGTGGATAACTGTTTAACTGCTTCCAATGCCAGGCCAACGAGTAGCCTTTGCTAAAGACTTCTCCTGGTCGGTCCTATGAACACGCAATGGGCCATCATTTCTTCGAATATTTTGGGCGGGCCATTTTGTCTTCAAATATTTTGGGCTTATCTATTGACCAAGCTTTGCTTCGACAAATCAGCCCATGGTTGAGAATGGGCGGACCATTCATTGACAAATGGGCTACTCTGCCGTGAAGATATAAATGGCAGAGGCCGTGGCAAAGTTGTTACATAACTGCCATGAAGATATAAATGGATGTTACCGTTATGACTTCAAATGAGTGCTATCAGAACTAGTACAGATTGACCGGTCGGACCGGTCTAACTGTGACCCGGGCCTTGACAGGTTTGGTTCTCTAATTGAACTGCATAAGGAAGAGAACTAACTAAAAACTGAAAAATTGGCCGATATTGTTTTTATTAATTTGGCCCATTTCTCTTGCCCTAAATCGCATAAGCCACCACTCAGTCCACTCCACTCCCAGGCGATCAACGAGCAGCAACTAGCAAGGTGACTGCAACCAAGCAATGCGAGGAACTCAGGCGAGGCGACTGTGACCAGTGATGAGCGAGGAACTCAGTCGACCTCTCTCTCTTGATCTCTGTTGTCATCTCCGCCCTTTTTCTTGCTTCTATCAGATCAGGCTGTAACATTAAAGTAAAAACTTCCTACAGCTAATATATGCATCCTGGGCTAGATCAAATAGCCTCTCCTGCAATCTCAATTTTATCAAGCAATTTGGTTGTGTAACTACAGAGAGAATGTGTGTCATGCTCTTACTTATTTTTTAATCAGTAGTTGCAAATTATATAAATCAAAATCAACTACTAGAAATGAATTTCGGTATAACACTGAGTGGGTATCGTATATATTTTAGACATTTATTATATTTTTTAGCTAAATTATTATGTTTTGTAATTATTATATATATTTTTTTATTACATTACCGATCCGACCAGTTGACCCAATGGTTGAACCTGTGAACCATTGACTCGGTTTCCTTGACAATTCGATGATCGGTCCAGTTTTGATAACATTGATTCAAATAATACTATTGCCATGATTCCATAATAAAGCTTGTTAGGAGTTAGTTTTTTTTAGGTGAAAAACTGCAGTTTAAAAAATTTGTAAAAAAGTTAGAGATAAAAAAATTCTTAAAAAATGTTTGAGGTGTACTTTAAAAAACTAAAAAAGTTAAAAAAGTCTGTTTAAAGTGATTTTCTAATTTTTTTGGTTTTTTGTGTCAAAATATATATATATATATATGTGCATAATATTTTTCTAAATATGAATTTGAAATTTTTTTACTTCATTAATAATATTTTATTAATATAATAAATTAAAAAATTATGTATGACCCACGACAAAACTCTAAAAAACTGAAAGAAAAACTCATAAAATTAACTTATTTAATTAGCCTAAATAAGTTTTGCTAGGTCTAAAAAATCACTGCATAAGCTGATAAAAAAATCAAGGTCCAAATAAACATGACTTATTTTACTTCAAAATCCTTAAAAGATATCTATTTAAGTTAGCTCCAAAATAGGTTCAATATCACAAAGGTTGTGGCTCAATGTCAATGACGAACTAGCTTAGAAGGGGCTTGTTTGGATAGATTTTTGGAAAGAGTTTGAATTGACTTCCCCAAGTCTTTCTAAACTTAAACCTCTCTTTATAAATATGAAATTTAATGTTGAATTTAGTTCATACCCACGTTTGGTATGTAATACATACACATGTAAGACTCACAGATATATCATAATTATTAACAACTATTTGTCATATAAATGACTATTTTACCCTTAATCAATCCAATTTATGTTCATGTTTGTTTAAAGTGACTTTCTAATTTTTTTGGCTTTTTGTGTCTATATATATATACATAATATTTTTCAATATATGAATTTTAAATCTTTTTTACTTCATTAATAATATTTTATTAATATAATAAATTAAAAAATTATATAGGACCCACGACAAAACTCTAAAAAATCGAAAAAAAACCTTATAAAATTTACTTATTTAATCAGCCTAAATAAGTTTTGTTTAGTCTAAAAAATAGCTACATAAGCTGATAAAAAAATCAAGGTCCAAATAAACATGACTTATTTTACTTCAAAATCCTTAAAAGATATCTATTTAAGTTAGCTCCAAAATAGGTTCAATATCACAAAGGTTGGTGGCTTAATGCCAGTGAAGAACTAGCCCATAAGGGACTTGTTTGGGTGGATTTTTAGAAAGAGTTTGGATTGACTTCCCCAAGTCCTTCCAAACTTAGACCACTCTTTACAATGATGAAATTTAATATTGAATTTGGTTCATACCCATGTTTTGTATGTAATACATACACATATAAGACCTACGGATATGTTATAATTATTAACAACTATTTGTCATATAAATGACTATTTTATCTTTAATCAATCTAATTCATACTCATGTTAAAGAATACGATTGTCTTTTATATCTTTAATCCATTTTTTCAAACCTAACCCTATTAGGTTTGACGAAACGCATGATCATGGGTTTAATATTCAGGTCGGATTTTAAAACTTATTATTAAATTTTTAATCCAAACATGAACTTTAAGGATCTTTTAGATTATTTTTCTCAAACCTATCTTACCAAACTCCCCTATACCCCTTAGCCAAACAGCCCATGGGCTGTTTGGTAAAAGGGTATGGAGGGGCATCGCAAGATGAGTTCGGGAAAAATAATTTAAAGGATCCCCAAATCCCATATTAGTATGAAAAATTTAGTCCCCATTTTTTAAACCCGACCTATAGTTGACCCAAAGATTAAATTCATGATCATCAATTTTGTCAAATCTAGAGAAGGGATGGATTTGGGAATATGGGTAAGGGGTTAAGAATCTAAAAAACAATTGTACCCCTTAACATGAGTATGAATTAGATTGATTAAAGATAAAATAGTTATTTATAGGATAAATAGTTATTAATAATTATGATATATTCATGTATCCTACATGTGTATGTATTACATGTTAAATATAGATATAAACCGAATTGAATGTTGAATTCTATTTTTATAAAGAGGAGTTTGAATTTTAAAAATTTTAGAAAAGGCAATTTAAATTCCTCTTCAAAATTCATCCAAACAAGTCCATAGAGTGTATGTTTGGGAAGAGGTTTGCTCCAGTGTTTTAAAACCAGGTCCGGCCCAGCGGATCAACCCAACGAACCGGTCCCCTAACCGGGCCGGTTCTAATAAAAAACTGTTTGTGTACAGAACCCGGCATAAACCCGTTGAATCGACCAAAACCCTATGAACTAGTGTGAACTGGACGAATTTATTAAAACTTGTCGGTTTAAGTTGATTTCTAAAATTTGACATTTTTTTCTCCCCTATTGTTTGTTCATTTGTTGCCCTAACTAAATCGATCCCACCACTTCCAGACTAGAATCGCACACCACATCGCCTCTCCACCACCAACCGAACCGACTGACCACCAGAGCAGCAACGACTGACCAGTGAGTCAGTGACCACCACCTCGCCTCCTCCAGAACAGCAACTGACCACCATCAGCAGCGATTAGCATCCAGTTCCTTCTCTCTCTCTCTCACTCTCTCCAGTCCAGTGACTCCATTAACTGTAAGTCCTTTGAATTCATTTTGACCCACTTCTATATATATGGTTTATAGTTGGCATTTGAGACTTTATGTACAGAATCTTTGTTTGTTTTAACACATGTTTCTTGGAAATGTAGTAAAAATGAAATGGGTTTTGGTGCAATTGGAGCTCAAGTTTGATTTGGGTTTTGTTATGTTAAAAACCTGTTTGAGATGTGTATTTATTTGTGGATTGTGATATGATCAAATATACACTGACAATTTGTTTGTCCTTAAATTTCTTGTGAAATCTATGCTATTATTGTTGTCCATGTGTTTGCTTGATCTAAGATCAAATTTTGATTAATGTTTTCTTTTCTTTTTTTGATAGGGGCCATAGATATACACATACAATTTGGTCTTAAATTACTTGGTTTATGCTATTATTGGTATCACACTACTCAAATTCATATTGATAGAAAATCTAAATACATTGATATTGAAATTTGAATACATTGAAATTGGATACATGTTTGATAATTTTTTTTACTTAACTTTATATGTTTGATGTTATTTTTATAATTATTGGGATTTTTTAGCCTATTTATAATTATTTTTAAATTTTTTATTATATTACCAGTTCGATCAGTGATCCAACGGTTGAATCAGTGAACCATTGATCCGATTCCTTCACCGAGTTGATGTCCGGGACGAATTTTAAAACATTGGTTTGCTCCCAACGAGTACTAGCAGTTGGCTATTAGTGCTCTGGTTAGGTGGGTTTCCTCGTGGTATGTGTTTCATGCTCTTGTCCCGTGTTACCTTTATAATGTTTCCAGAAGCCCTTAGGTGGTTGGTAAGAAAATCCTTAATTTCTGAGGTACCTCCGGTAGTAGTGTGTATGCAACCTTTGTTAAGAACTTCCAATTACTAGCTCGGCACCAAGAAGACATACCTATGCCTTCTTTCTCAAGAAGATATACTTTTTTAAACTCAATATTAAATTCAGTTTATACCTATGTTGATATGTACATGAATATATTACTATTATGATAATATATTTATATGTAAAGGACTATTGCGTCTCTTCACCAATTTAATGCAAACCCATATTTATATACGTATGAGGTATAATTATATTTTTGTATCTTAGTCTGTTAGCCCTCATCCGAAATACACCCCGCATGAGTTTGATAAAACCTATGATCCAGGGTTTAAGGACTGGGCTAATAGCGGGTCAGGTTTGATAACTCAGACTTTAAATTTTTGGTCAAACATTGATTTTGTGTGTTATTTGAACTATTTTTTCTTAACTCATCTTACAAACCGCTCCCCCTCCTCCCCTCCAACAATCCCACTTACCAAACAACCCTTAAAGGAAGGAAACCAATACATCGAAAAACTTCCAAATATTAGAGAACAGTAATATGATAAATTTGTTGTTTTGGAGTCTCCTCCCACCCAAGCCGGGAGCCTTTTAACATGCACTTGGCTTGAATTTCCTTTGTTAGAGGGTCTCACTAACCCAACTTTTCAATTTCAAATGTACCCGGAAAAAAATAATCTAAACTTGTTATTAAAATTATATAAAAAATAGTAATAACAAACGAGTCAAACAAATTTAATGATGACGAGTTAAAATTTTTTTTATGTGAACCCAACTCAATCTTAATTCATTTCTTTAGCGGGTTATATAAGTCAAGTCATGTAATTATTTAATAACGAATTGTATCTAACTTTTAATCTAATTTACCACGACACAATTCTAATTTGGGTTGAAATCTTGAGCATTATTGGTTATGAAAAACTTAGTTCCACAAAATTTCAGCCTCAAATTGGTCAATCCACGTGTCTAACCTTCCAATCCCCATCAAACAGTCAGTCAATACTGCCCGGTATTCAACTATGACATGCCCAAGAGCAACCTTGTCCCGATTAGGGTTAATCTCATTTTACGCTTTGAATATTCGAATTTTAATTTATACTCTTAAAGATAAAAAATTTTAATTTGTATCCTCAAAAATAAAAATTTATATCACTGTGCACTCCAAAAATAAAAAATCTCAATTTGCACCATCAAAGATAAAAATTTGTATCAATGTGCACCTAAAACTAAATTGATAAATTATACCTAGATCCTCTCATACTTGTCACTTAATCATTTAGACCTCTTCATATTTAAAATATTACTCCTACATCTTATGACATTTGTGCACGTATAATACGTAACTCATTTTCATTGATATCTATTAATATAACTGTTAAAAAATATAATTTTATCATAATAAAAAATTATAATTTCATATTACTCTTTATTTTATGAGTTCAATATATTCTAAAGTTCAAAATTTAGTTTACCATTTGAATGTCTAATAAAATATAAATATTTATATAATATTTTTCATATTACCTTTTAAACAATCTTTTAAGGTGCAAAATGAGATTAACCCTCCCGATTATCATTCCAATCTCAAGTTTCCAACCACGACACCAGACCCCAAACCCTAACGCCCAATTCTTCCCCATAAATACAGTCAGAGCCCCAAATTCTTCACAATCCTCCAATCCGTAGATTCCCCACCAGAAAATGGAGAACTCAACCCAAGAATCCCAACTCCGATCTGAAACATTCGTCACCTATGAATCCCCTAACACCCTCTACGCCATGGCCTTCTCTTCCTCCTCCGCCACCACCCGCCACCGCCGCATCGCCCTCGGAAGCTTCATTGAAGAATACAACAACCGGGTCGATATCGTTTCCTTCGATGAAGAAACCCTTTCAATCAAAACGAACCCTAACCTCTCTTTCGACCACCCTTACCCACCCACTAAGCTCATGTTCCAGCCAAACTCATCCAATCCCCTCCGCAAGTCCTCTGACGTCCTCGCCTCCTCCGGCGATTTTCTCCGCCTCTGGGAAGTCCGTGATAACTCCATTGAACCCTTATCTGTCCTCAACAATAGCAAAAACAGTGAATTCTGTGCCCCATTAACCTCTTTTGATTGGAATGAGGTCGAAACTCGGAGAATTGGGACTTCCAGCATTGACACCACCTGCACAATTTGGGATGTTGAAATAGGTGTAGTTGAAACTCAATTGATTGCGCATGACAAAGAGGTTTATGATATTGCCTGGGGTGAAGCTGGGGTTTTTGCTTCGGTTTCGGCAGATGGGTCAGTGAGAATTTTCGATTTGAGGGATAAAGAACATTCGACCATTATATATGAGAGTCCTCAACCGGACACTCCATTGCTAAGGTTGTCTTGGAACAAGCAGGATTTGAGGTACATGGCAACGATTTTGATGGACAGTAATAAAGTTGTGATTTTGGATATTCGATCGCCAACTGTGCCGGTGGCGGAGTTGGAGAGACACAAGGCTAGTGTGAATGCCATTTCCTGGGCTCCTCAGAGTGTTAGGCATATTTGTTCTGCTGGAGATGACGGGCAGGCCCTCATCTGGGAGTTGCCTACTGTGGCTGGTCCTAATGGTATTGATCCTATGTCTATGTACTCTGCTGGGGCTGAAATTAATCAGCTCCAATGGTCGGCCGCACAGCCTGATTGGATTGCCATTGCATTTTCGAACAAAATGCAGCTTCTAAAAGTTTGAGGTATGAGAATAAGTTGTCTTGTTAGATTATTTATATGCAGTATTCATTGATTCAATTGATTAAATATTCATTGATTTTGTCTGATTTGAAAAACTACGAATATAGATAGGGTAATTTTAATCAAAGTAGATGAAGGCTGCAATGCTGTGCAAGTCAGGTGGCTTATAGTTCAACTTCATTGCTTTGCATCTTATACCTATTGATTCACACAGATTAAGGTTTGGCCACAATTTTTGAAGTGGCATGTGTGGTTCTAGATCCATGCGCGTAATACAAACATGTCACAAATATTGGTCAATACACATTGCAACCCCTTGAGTAAACCAATCTGTGCATTTTGAACTTGGCCCTGGTCAGTTAATTATATCAATCTGGATCAATTAATTTGAATCAGCTTTTGATCAAGCAGACTTTTTAAGCTGTAGGAAGATAATGTAGGCTGTAGGCTATTGCAAGAGACTGTAGTTACAACGACAATGATGCACGGTGCTCTCAAGTGAAAATTTGAGTATTAGTGTTAAGTAATTTACCAACTTCCACAATCAATGATAAATGCAGCTTATTATAATAAAATGGGTGAGAACCGAGGCTTCCGGGATCGGATGATAGGTATTCATTAGCTCTATGCGTTAAGACACATGATATAATATATTCTGTTGTGAGGTAGCCAATTGGATTAATGACATAACAGAATATAATTCTGGAGTTGTTTCTTTTCAAAATTTATTATTGAAAATTTTATCTTTAAATCATACACATCAAGTTTTGGCCTTACTTAAGTTTCTTTACTGCCATTCTGATGTTATTTGCAGCTCCCAAAAGATAGCATGGTGATGAACATTTCACCTGTGGCGTTGGTCCACATTTATGGTTGCTGGATAAGCGCTACACTTACCATATGGAAATTGATACTCGAATTCTGGTGAGGAATGTTGCGGTACTCAACTCAGTAGCTGCGGCTATCTTTTTCAAATAGTTGTTTCTTCGTTGATTAGTTGTTGTATATTCTCAGCTGTTAGTTATATCCACCGTGTTTAGTGCATATTTTGAACCTACGCTACATGAGTAAGCTTTTGTAATGTGTTGACTACTGCACTGCACTGCACATTAATTTCTGGTGCAGTCTAATATATAGCCATGATGTTTGCTTTCCTGCTTCTTGTGTTGAATGCTGTTTTCATGTGTGGTCAATCTGTTGTCTAGAAAGTTGGGATCCATTAGTTTCAATTTCCTGCTATTTTGAGTGATTCTTAAGATAATGTCATTATTTCCGTTGTGCTATCCAATTTCTGCAAACAGTATCATAAGGCTAGATTTATTATATCAGCTTCAACGAGCTTCCTTGTCTTTCAATGTAGCCACTCGTCAAAACAAAACTCATTCATGAACATGTAAGTGGCATTTGGTATATTCTGCTGCAAAACCGTATTTATTCTTCTATTAGACATTGCCCTTTCGTCATTTGAGTTGCTAAGAAGGTAATGTGGGAAACTTGTTTTAAAAATCAGCACAGCACAGCACCCATTGTAATCCATTTCCACCTAAATTTTCGTTAATATCTGATTTGAATGCTAGAACTAGGTTCGCTGGTGGAGCCAAAAGGAGTTGAGGTAACCTAGGAAGTTAGAATCATCATCGCCACATCCCCATTTTTCTGCGTGATCATTGTTAGGAAAGGAAAAATTCTGTCAGCGGTTCTTAATAGGGATGACAGTGGACTAAAGAAAAACAAGAATTCGTTCAAACATGTCCTGGTTGAATCGAGAATGGATCATGCGCATTAAATGATAGACATATGCAAAGATATCATCTAAATCTGTGTGCAAATCTTACAAAAAATGGAATGAGTTTGTAACTACTACCTAGGGGTGCAACTTGGGTTGGACAACCCGATTTCAACTCGAGTCCAACCCAAAAAAGTTAGGATTTGGACAAGAATTTTTAATATTTGGGTTAGGCTTGGGTCAAAAAACTCTAACTCGAATTCAATTTGGGTTGGGCTCGAGTTAAGGCCTCGGACTCACGGGTTCAACCTGAACCCGACAAATTAAAAAAAAAAAAATTATATATATATATAAAACATTAACACTGTTTTTTTTTTTTTTTGTTCTATCGTTCTCTGTCTTTCTCGTTCATTTTCATTTTGGTTGTAGTATTAGCATTGTTAAAAACTTGGTTGAAGTTATTGGTTGTTAATTTAGGTGAATATTATGTAATATATGTATTAAGTTTAGAACAATAAGCCTATTTTGGGCTCTAATCGAACTCAACTCGAATTGAATCAGTAAAATAATCTAAAATTATTAACCCGAATTCAATCCGAGCCCGCCCGAATTAAACTCGGGCAGTGCTCGGGTTGAGTTCTTCAACCCGAGGTAGGGTTAGGATTGGGGTTAAAGTTGAAGATTATATACCTAAAATTGAATTAGGGTTGACTGTCCAACCCGCCCGTGTAGCACCCCCAGTACTATCACAAGAAAACCCTCATTCTTGACCTTTAGAGAGGGGCATAACAACAAAAAAGTCTTAAAAAAGGCAAGGCACTGGAGACCTCGATCTCATCCGAAGGTGGAGGTTATATAGATTAGTAAGATATCACATTTGTCATATTAAGAGCATTTTTAACTATACCTCAGACTTAAATTGGAGTCTAAATTTAAGTAAAAAATTTGACTTAGCATAGTATTTTAATGGACAAACTCAAATATCTATTCAAATCTTTTAAAAAATTTCTTATTATCTTAAAACTTATTTTTTTGTGTCATTCAAATCATGATATTTGATAAAAATAAATGAAAATTTCATATTTCTCTACAAATGGGTAATTCAAAAAAAAACGAATATGTATACAACACTACATAAGAATAAAGAACCTATCCCAAAATTTTAAGATTATTCTAATCTCTTATATTTTTTATAAATTCAGATAAAGAAAAAGAAAAAGAAAAAAATTATAACTATTTTGACATAAGTCTGATTTAAAGAACACAAAAATATACGTTTTTAACAAAAATGAAAGATTGAAAAAATAAAATGACAAATTTTTTAAATTTATAGGTAGTAAAGGTTTAAAATTTTAGAAAGAATCGATCGTCTGAAATTATACTAACGATAGTGTTTAAGTGAAAAAAATCAAAAAAAAATTTAATGGTTAGGCTTGGTGTTTATATCTATATCTATATCTATCTATACTACTTTAAAATGTCAACAAAAGTGAAAAATTTTTGTTTGATAAAAATAACCTTAACAAAATAACTAATGTCTATCATATCTTTTTGTAGTTAATAACATTATTAAATTATATGCAATTGTCACATTTATGTGGATTGAATTGAAATATTGGTTGCTAATTTAATTCTAAAAAAAATTGGTGATGGTTGAGCTACTATATTAATATATCTATATCTAAACTACTAATAAAATCAATCTCATTAATTTGCATGCATTTTGGGTTATGGAGTTGGAATTTGAAAAGAACTCATTCAAACATTAATTCATCTAGCAAATAGTCATTAACAGTCCATTTTACCACTATTTTTGGCATTGAAGAACTTTGAGGGCTTGGATCTTGGAAAGATGGATGTGGTGAGTTCCAAAAATAACTTTCATTCACTATTTTCAATTGATGTAGTTTTAAAAATATTATTTGATTTGTTATGTTATTTGCAGGCTTATGACTCTGGATTAGTTTCATATATTGCTGGTCAAATTGATTGCTCTCTGAACTGGAAGGTACGGTGGCTGGGCTGATGGTAAAGTAAATATTTTTTTAATTTAAATAGTCATGGACATACGTTCAAAGTCTGTAAGTTTATTGCAAGTAAACACTAATATTCTTCAGTCTTTTGAGGTCATTCTTTATTCGGACTTTCGCAAATCTTGTATACACCGTTGAACTTAATTCATATATGATGTAAATTGGTGGGAACTTCATTTGAGAAATTGGGAATGGATTTTGCTGGAGTGTTTGAGACTAATTAATTAATGAAGTATTGAACAGTTGCAATGTTGTCATTTCAATTGTATGTGGAGTCTAATTTTTATATCAGCATCCTAGATATTTTTTGTTAGTTAATAATATTATGGTATGAGAAGTTTGGTAACCTAAAGATCATTTGTCTTTAAGTTGGAGTCTAGCTTATTATTTATGTTTCAAAGTAAGGTCTTTAAAGAATAATTTGGTCAAGCAATACTTTGTTAAAAATAATAATTCGAAATGGTTTACGTGCAATGCACGTGTATACCAACTAGTAATATGAAATATGAGTGAGTTTAGAGTTTTAAAAATACAAGAAATCAATAAGATAAAAGATGAAAAGGAAAAAATTTATCTACAGACTTTCAAAAGATTTGTAAAAGTTTTGGTGGTGGTCGGCGAAGCAACGTAATAAAGAGAAGCAAGAAGAGCTAGAAAACAAGATGCCAAAGAAATCTTTTTGTTTTGAATAGGCTAGAAGGTTACCATTAAAAAATTTGTATAAAATTTTAGTTTGCTTCGATTAAAATTTAGAATAAGGTGTTTGATAGGAGCACTTAGCGTTTAAAACATGATAGGTTTCACGATCAACACGTTTGATAACAAAACTGGTATCCCTGAATGAAATAAATATGTCTCAAAAATCACTTAAAATTTTCAGCTGAACACGGAAGACGTTCAGTTGAGAGAAGTTTATAATTTTTTATTGTTTGACATTTTTGCCCTCATTTGTTTTCGTCTCCAACTCACTCTGCAAGTAGAGATCATTAACACTCCTCTGTCTCCTTGTCTCTGGTAACATCTCTCGGTATTTCTCTCTCTGTCTTGGGTTATTTTTTGGGTTGTCTCTCAGCCACTCTGAACCAATTCTTTAGGAAACTTTCATTTGAAGGATTTAAAATAACCAACTCACAAACCCTAAAATTGAAAATTTAATATATTTCAGACTTCAGCGTATTATATTGATCAAACAATATAATTCAATTTAGTATTTACATTTTAGTGCATACCAAACAGATTTCAAATTAATCAATTCAACATTCAATACTTAAATTTTGGTATTCAGTTTTAGTGTTTAATTTTCAATTTTATCAAATAATACCTAAGTTTTGTCTTAATTTGGTATAAGTTTGAATTCAAAGTTAAAAAAAAAAAAAAAAAGTCATTTTGACTCAAATTTAAATTTAGAAATACCCTAATCTATATATGGATTAGTGGAATCTTAAGATTCGTTTGTTTAGTGAGAGAATGATAAAAAATGCAAGAAAAGAAATTCTTTAACATTTTCATGTGTTTGGTTAGCATGAAAAAGAAAATTATAGAAAAAATAATTTTCTTTCATTCTTGAATTTTCTCACAAATAACCAATTTTTTTTCTTCTAAAAAACACAAGAAAATACAAGAAAATTGTGATCTATACCTAACTTCTCATTTTGCCCTTATTTTTCTTAAATATCTTATTGGTTATTAATTTTAAAAATTTCTGGTATGCATTTAATTAATCACATAATTTGGCCCAAAGGCCTTTGTGTTGATAATTGTCTTATACATATTTTTTTTTTCATTTTTAGACCATTTTAATATAATTAAGGATAATTTAGAAAATTATAAAAAAATTCTTATAACTTTACTTTTTTTTCAAACAATAGAATGAAATTATTTTAAAATTTTCCCGTAAATTTTTAATTCTAATCAAATACATGCATGAAAATATATTTTCTACCATTTTCTTTTCTTTCACTTCACTTCAGTTTCAATCATTTTCAATTTCTACCATTTTTTTTCTTTCTAACCACATAGAACCTTATGGAATGGTGTGATTGATGGAGTCGGTCCCTACATGGTTGAAGATATGTTTACTGGACTAGGGACCCCACCCACCTTTGGACTCTTTTAAATTTTTTTTGAAATGCTGAAGCTTCTCCGGCATGGTTTAATGGGTTCTTTGGCGTGATTCACTATTAGAAGATCTGTGGTGAGGACATGAATTAGAATTTATTTATGGGAGAGGGACGAGAATTAAAATTTCTCTCATGAATAAGGGTAAATCGGATATGAACAAATCTTTTTTAAGCAAGTATCCGGAATGAAGACTAATTTCTGTGGCCTACTACCATTCCTACTTCCTATTAGAAAACTAAAGTGGTCCAATTTGGAGAGAGATGGATGAAAATTCTTGCTGGAGACGCCATGTGGGCAGCCTTGTTAGCTGATGAGTGAATTGAGAAACCATTGGTACTAAGAGACTTATTGTTCTCTAATTTTCTACGGGGGAGTAAAGCTCCTTCCCACTCAACTCACTGGCAATGCTTCAATCGCTTTCCACTACAACTGAGTGGAATTTTTTGCACCTTGTCCAAAAGCCACCCTTCCCCTGCCTAGATGTTCGGATGCCCACTGGTGGGGCTAGATGGCGAAAAACTGCAAGCCATCTACGTTAAAATTAGAGTAGTCATAAGGGATAAAATTGATCTTTGATTTTTAATTTATATTATTTCTAACCAGTAGAGCCAAAATTAATTTTTGATTTTGATTTAAAGGTAATTGAAATAATAAAATAAAAATACTTGATAGATGTCACATTTTAATTGAATAAAAAATGTTAAAATTTTTTTTTCAATACTATAATTAAACTTAATCTAGTAATTAAATATACCATCCGAACCTGGTTAATTTTGGTTCGTCGAAGATGATATATCACATGGATTAGGCAAGTTGAGTCTTGATCATGAGCTTTCTGGATTCAAATCCAAATCAAAATCCTCGTCTTCATCGATAAACTTGCCCAGTTAAGTCTTCCAGCCAACAGGCTAGATCGAACAATCAAATAAGATAGTAATAGATTTTTACATTCTTGAGTGGCGTAACGTTCTAAAAATTTGACCCAAACAACCTGCGACTCTTTTGCCAAACTTGAAATATTGTGCCACTTGGCAGCTAGTGAAGCGACAGTCTTTTCGGCAAAAGATTCTAGAAATAATTTTTCATTTTTTATAACTGTTAAAAATACTCGGACTAATTTATGTATATTTTAATTAATTTTTTTTTTTAGTTTGGTCGACGGTAAATCATTCATATGCAGATTAAGATATTTATAAAAAATAAATTTTTTATAATTTGACCCTAAAAATTTGTTAAATTTCAAATTCTAAGTTTACAACTTATCTCTACTCGCATCTTATTTTTAACACTATCTAAAGATGGTAAATAGATTTGGAAAATTAGTTGAACCTAACACTAAATATTCAATACTTTCACCTAACCTTCTTGATGCTGCCCACAGCCACAGCAAATTTTTTTTTTTCCTCTTTTGAAATAAACAGGGCCACCCAAGGTCTTCTAGAATACATTTAACATGTATCATGTGCTGGTCTGACATGATGTGAACATTCAATAAGAAATTGGCCACTAAATCAATTAGTAGTGGAGATGCAATTTGGACGGCCAACTTAAATTCAACTTGAATTCAATCCCAAAAAATATAAGATTTTGATTAAAAATTTTAATACTTGGGTTGAGTCTGGGCAAAAATAATTCCAACCCGAATTGAATTTAGACAAGCCTTGGATTGAGTCATCGGATAGTCGGGTTCAACCCGAATATTAAAATTAGGTTGAACTCAAATATAGATAAAATATATAAATATATTTAACTAGAATTAATATTTATCTTCATTTTTTAGAATTTACACTTTCACTTCATTTTAAGTATTCACTCATGTGTCTGCATCACTCTTAGATCCCTCTCTCACTCGTCACTTCTCCCTCTTTTAATTGTCACTCGTTTGAGTCGTCTTAAACTCTTAGTCTCCCTCTCTCACTTGTCACTCATTTTTCTCTCATTCTCTCTCTCTCTCTCTCTCTCTTCATCTACACCTTGTCCTTCATCTCAAATCACTTAGAAAAATTAGATCTATATTTGAAAAAATCAAATTTGTACTTCAAAAAATTAACCTAAATTAAGTAACCCAGGTCTAACCTAATTTTTAACCCGACATCACCCCGAATTAAGTAACTCGAATTCAACCCGATCTCGTTTGAATTAAACTCGAACAGTACTCGGGTTGAGTACCTTAGGTTAAAATACGATTAGGGTTAAAAATTATATACCTAGGGTTGACCTCTCAACCCGCCCGAGTTACAACCTTAATTAGTAAGACACAATTTTTTAAAAATATATAATATTTTATTAGTGATATACGATATGACTATGATAAACCCTCATAAAATTTATTTGGGATTGATCTTAAAAATTTTATGATCAATAACAACTAATCCCAAAAAATATAAATAATTCTTAATTATTGTAAGTAATTATCAAAATTTTTAAATAACCCTCAAAAATTATATTAACCCTTAAATATTGTAAAAATAAACCACCAAACTTGCAAAGGAAAAGGTTACAATACCGAAGGATGTAACGTATCGAAATTTATAATTATTTACGATTAAGTTATAATTTTTTTAGGCGTAAGTTATAACATTTAAAAATCATGATTGGTCATAATAAATTAGAATTGATAACACAAAGTTATAATTTTTAAAAGTCAAATTATATTCTCTTAATTCCTAAATATCTGTCGTTTTACATAATTTTTTTTGTTCCATAATATCTGTTGTTTGATGAAACTGAAACATAATTAATATTTTTTTTTTTAAATTTATCCTTAATTTTTTAATGCATTAGATTAGGTGGAGACTAAGTACTTTTCATATTTCTTTCTCCCCTAATACGTATTGAATAAAAGTATTTTGGTCTTGTGTAATTATTTTTTACTCATATTAGAGCTATTTAATAACTTTTTTAATCCCTATGCATAAATTTTAAACGACAAACATTTAGAAACAAAGTAACTCATAATAAAAAAATTACAAATAAAAGAAATTCAAAAACAAAGTTATATATTATCCATTTAATCGATAATAGGCTTCTCCTAAACAGTTGTACTTTCTCAATTTTATGTTTAAGCGTTGACTTTGTCAACTTGGGGCAATGATTAATTGGACCACCCTCCTGTTTTATTGCTTGGATGTGACATGTTTCTTGTCATCCCTTGGATTGATTCCCAAATCCCCATGTAAGGTATATACACTGGGAGAGCACCGGCACCGGCGCTCTCATCTACCACTTCTGTCTACTCAATTAACATCATGGGTTTTTCTTCTTTTACCATCAAGACTCTGAATTTCATAGTGTTAATCTTAGACAACCTTCTCTTAGACTTTATCAAACACCTTCACGCCATGTTACTCTCTTGTATTCATTTACTCAAGAGGGCATGTTTACATGAGCAAAAGTTGGTTGAATCTGAAGTTAAAGATCGGCCATCGCCGTCGTTGGTGCCGGTCCCGGTCCATTTCATCGTGGGACTGGTAAAGGAGCAACTCCCAATTATCGAATACAGTTGCTTACTTGAGAGATTAGGAGCATGTAAAAAAGATGAAGTGTGTGCTGTGTGTTTGGGATGTATCAAGGAAAGTGAGGAGGTCAGAGAGCTTTGTGGTTGTGCTCATGTTTATCATAGAGAGTGTCTTGATGGTTGGATTGATGAAGGCCAAATCACTTGCCCTTTGTGTAGATCTAAGATATTGCCTGATAAGGGAGAGGATCAACAGTGTGGAGGAGATTCATGGAGGAAGGAGAGGATGATGTACTTGTTTGGTGAGGATTATGTAATGGGCACCTAATGATTTTGGTATCCAGAAAAAAAAGGGATCTGACTCCAAGAAACTGTTTCTACGAATCGAACCCGGACGGTGACGACCACAGCCAACAACAAGATAAGCATGGATTATATCAGTTATGAAAAGCTTTGTTGTTATACATCTCTCTGTTTTCAATAGCAAACTCCTGTATGATCTCCAGTGACTGGAAGCAATTGAACATGTTTTGGTTGAATCTGATTTCAATCTTATGCTGGGTTTTTTTTTCAAAGATTTTTTGAGGCTCATTAATGCCTTGAACAATTTCACAGAATGCAGATCTGCTAAAAGGTTCTTGGAATAAGGCTTTTTTTTTTTATTATTATTTTTAGCAAAATTGAGATATTTATAAAACCTGAGCTCTATCCTTTTGATAGGGCCTCTGGGTCTCAACTGTATTTTCAACAAAGAGCATAGTTAAAGGTTCATTTGGTCACAAATTTGAGAAAATGATAAAATCATTTTGTTGATAAAACTAGGAGGAAGAGTCCAAGTACTCCGATGGTAACGGACAACGAATTATAAATTTAGGTATTTTGAGTTTGTATTTCAGCAAATTTTTAGGATTAAGTAATAAGTGATTTATCTTTCATGACTTATTTTTAATTTAGACATTTTTTATATTTGAACCAAAAAAAAAGATAAAATTACAAGGAAGAACAAGACAGGCTTTGGGAAAATTGGAAGCGGTAACACGTCTTTCTTTTAGCATTAGAGAAAGAAGAATTAAACATTACAATTCAGCCAAAGGACAAACTCAAAAATCCTTGCAATTTTCAGTCAAAGGAATGAAATTGTCATATGGCCCATATCAAAGGTGCATAATCCAGGCTCAACTCTCTGCCCTTGAAGGTGAAGTCTGGTTGCTGCTGGTGATGAAAAAAAGTAATGTTTTTGAAGAACACAAAAGGGTCCAAGTAAGAGTAAACAATGTTACCCTGATAGAAACAGAAAGAGATAAGGCATGGTCCAAGATAATGAATTATAAATACATGCCCCACAACTTCAATGGGCCACAACTTCAATGGGCCACCATTTGGCGTTTAAATTTTTGATTACTCTTAATTTGTTATTGTATCTTATTTTACCTAACTCTATTGATTGTTTAATCGAAAAAATGAGATAAAAATACGAAATGCTTATTAAATTTTTGTATTCTTATCCTACCTTACCCCTCCCCCCACACACACACACACATATATATATATGTGAGCAGTTATGATTTTTGATATGTTTCATATAATTTAAATTTAAAATAGTTGTTATTATATTTGTGTAATAATTATGATGGATTGATGTTTATACCTTAAGTTTTCTTGTATTTTATTGTAATTGTAATTATTTTAGGTTTTAATGTTATTGGTTTATTGTGTTGTTAAATTGGTGCAGTTACTTAATTGAGTTGTTAAAATGATTTAAAAATTAATAAATACAAAACGTGTTCATCTGATTTCCTATTCGACTTTCTATCCGATTAATTTGGATGGAAGTCGAATAGAAATACTATACTTGATCGGGTAGGATAGAACCAAAAAAAAAAAAAACTCCAAAATATCGAATAAAAAGAAAAAAAATTATATTTTTTACCGGTAAAGCAAAGTAGTGCAAAAAACCCCTAGCCAGGATCTCAATAATTGAAGTTCTCTAGTTGGACTATAAACGGATGCGACTCTAATTGTGATTACCAAGTCTAGTCTACATTGCTTAGTGACGTGAGAGTTAAGCTTTCAATTTTCATTCTAGAACGTGTTTTAAAACCGTGTGGAGTCAACCCAAAATTAACTCTATTTCACGGTATAGGTCTAGCAGGTTACACTGATCACAAGTTGTCCAATGAAATTAAACGGTTTTTTTTGGGTTAAACGGTAAAAGATATTTGAACCGTTTTAGGGACACTTTAAGTAATATTTTTCTATAATCAAAAGCAGGTGGTCCACCTGACCCCTACTGAGGCATCTTTAGCTGATTGATCTTACAGCTTATGGATAATGGTATGGCATTTTTTGAGCAAATCATGGGCTTGGATTTTTGGGTGTGGAACACAACTATCCCAAGCTAATTGTTGGGAGTTAATTTCTGGTAAATTATATTTTACAGTCTTGAACTATTATTCTTATTTTACTTTTCACTCTCAACTATAAAATTTCTTACATTACACTTCAAAGTATTAATTTTGTTTCATATTACTCTAATTGATAACGAATGTCAATTTTTTTACCGTAAATACGCATGTGAGTATTATGTACTGCCAATAAACAGCTACCTATTACACATATGCAGGTCAGAAATCAAGAAAAAAATCGATATCTACGATTTTGTCATTTTTAAATTCCAAATTTTTTTCTTCTGACTCGCCTTATTTTTCTTCAAAACAACCATTCAATTTGCAAAAAAGGTAAAATTAAGTGGTACAAGGAATTTGGCGGGCAGTTCTTTGGGGTTTCCCTCCCTCCTTTGAAAGATTTTTAACTTTGTCATTATTTATTATGGTTATATGAAATAAAATTAATATTTTAGGGTATAATATTATAAATTTTATAGTTAAGGGTGCAAAATAAAATAAAGATAATAATTCATGAGGGTAAAATATAATTTACTCATTAATTTCCCTATTTCAAGATTTAGAGTTTGGCATCAGAAAAATAGAAATAAAGATACAAAAGAATCACACACGGTAACACATAGAGTACGTGAAAATATCAGACACCAGAAAAAAACAAAAACTGTAGGATTGTAGATTGCACTAACATATATTTTGAAAGGGGTAAAACACATAGACGGACTCTGACGAGGTTATCTTTGTTTTATTATAATGCCTACATATCTCAATTTTATTTTTTTTTCATTGAGATGTTTAAGATAAAAAATAATTGTATATATAATTTTTTGAAATCAATTTATGTTACACCGGTATAATTCTTTCTAAGCTATATTAATATTTTATGTAAAATAGATTGTTGTATTTTTAAGTAAAAACTTGAATTTTTTAAAATTTTATCATACTTGATAATATATATTATAGAGTAGTATACTAAATTTTATTTCAATGCACTTAACTAATTCCTAATTATAGTAAGGTTCCAAAATAATTAGTGTATTGACAATTACTTTTATTTTATTCAAAGAAGTGGAATCTTAATCAAATGAATTTCAAAATAATTAATTTCTCAAACATCACTAAAAAATTAATCTCAAGCAAAAATTTCTAAAAAAAAATAGAACTTTAATAAATAATTTTATGAACATACAAATTTTTCATAATCCTAAAATAAAATATGAGCTATGAAAAATTATGTTTGGTAAATTTAAGATAATATTTAATATATTTTAATATTTTTGGTATAAAAAATTATTCATGTGAAACGCACGTGATGCATTAATAGTATAATCAATACTAATTACCCTTAAGAATATAAAAGTACAATATAAATTTTTGTAATATTTTTTTATTAACCTATTAAAAATTAGTGTTTCCGACATAGTTTAATTACTTAATTGAGTTTTCAAGTGGCTGATTTTTAAGTGAGACAATCCAAAAGATAGTAATCTTAAATTAGTCTTGTGGGTTGCACCGACACGAAGGAAGGAAACCTGAGAGTTATAAACCTCTTAGAGTAAACAAATCAAAGCATTGACTAATTGAAATCTCTCATTTTCCCATTACACCCTCTTCCATGTCATTGTAACGAAATGGTTCATCATCAATTCTCATTGGTACGAGTTGACATCAAACATTTATTTGGTGTGCAAGTTGATCAATGAGAAGACTATTATTCCAGTAGCTTGCAGAAGGTCAAAGAGCTCTTGTTACAATCAGGAAGAAGACGTCAATGGTTTTACCACCCATCTCCTTGGGTTACCTCTTATCTCTAATCTTAGAGAGAAAAATGTCTTTTATACATTGTGTATATGTTTTTTTGATGATATGCCTAGCAAAATTGCACCTACGTTGTTCGATAAACTTGTAATGCATGTCATAAAATAGAAGTTTTGGTATTCTCACTTGATTAACTTAAGAACAAATTAATTTATGCAAATTAGCTTTAAACCATATGTTTCATCGGTATAGAATGCTAGCCTATTTCTTTTCATTATTAATTAATTTATTTTTATGTTTTATTGCTATGCTATTACAGGTACATATGTTTCTTAATTACTTATGTTTGGGGGCTTATGATCAATAGTGCAACTTCAAAATAAAGCATTAACTAGAAAGATCCTTTCAAAGGTTTCGGTCTTTCTTCTTGTTTTTTGGGGATAAATGTTTTAGTGACTCTTTTCTTATTAATGAAAGTTGCATTTAGTTCTCCAAATATATGAGACAAAATTAAAGAAAAGTGATTGGAGATTATTCTATATTATTTTTTAGAGTATTTTTAACGTATCCTTTACTTCCCATCTGGTTTCCCAACTACTCAAATACTGGTTATTTAAACTTGTATATTTATCATAATATTGCTTTCATATAGATAAGAGATATGATCGTAATAATGACATTAAATTATTTCAATTCTCGAATATAAAAATCGTTTCAATTCTCAAGTAGCATTTCTTTTTGGACTTTTCAGGGGGCATTCTAGATAATCAAAAGTTGATCATATCAATTGACATTTAAAATTTGTATAAACAAACCATATCTTGCATGGATGTGAAGAATTAACACAATGCATAATTGCACTATGAATTATTTTTTGTACTATCTTTACGAATATTACATGATTATTATGTTATGTCTCCTTCGTGTACATAAAAAGCAAAAAAAAAATAAAACAAATTGAAATTATAACTCAATTACTCCACGTGCAACGCATGTGTGCATCAACTAATACAATTAAGAGTAGACTACACATATAAGTCTCAAATTATGGTATTTATGTCAATTAAGTTCTTCAACTTTTTTTTTTTTGGTCAATTGAACTCTCTAATTATGTCAATTGAGCCTTCTGTCTGTCTTTGTTAGCCACTCACGTGACTATATGGCATAAAAAACAAGCGTTTAATTGCCACAATTAAAGAGTTTAAGAATTTAATTGACACAAATATCATAGTTTGAGAATTATATATGTAACTTACTCTAATCATTTGCGTCACATGAGCAACACACTTCTCCACTTTTCATTAAAAAAATCTGACGCTGGTAGACATAAGGGTTCAATTAACACAATTAGAGAGTTTAGAATCTTAATTAATTAAAAAAAAAAGTTCACGTAATTAACAAGACTTTATTTCTTATTTTCCCTGTTTCCGTGGATAACAAATTTGTGAGCCATTCATTGCCTACCCCTTTTAAAGAAGAATTACGGTGTTGCTCGTGACTCATCATCAATCGCTAAGATTAAGACATTAATGAAAAATAAATATGTCATAACTTGACTTCAAAATATTGCTAAAATTCAAACTCAAAAAATCTGATTATACAACTCGTCTCGGTTACCAATTAAACTCTTTTGTGGGATTATCAACTCTCTTTCTATATATACACTCACCAAGTATGGTTTATCTTCCTCACAAATCATTCATCTGCGTATAGCTAATCCCTCCTTTTAGTCCTTCATGGCTGTTTCTTCTCTTACCACCATAATTTCAAAACAAGTACAAACCTTGCGGACCTTTCTCTTGGGCCTTGTCAAACATATTCTCATGGTGGTACTCTCTTGTATAATCCCTCTATTCAACAGAGCAAATTTATCCGGTCAAGACACCGATGACTCCGAAATGCAGTATCGACCACTGCCATCGATGGTACCCATTCCTGTTCACTTCTTAGTCGAATCAGCTAAGGAACAACTACCGATAGTAGAATTTAGTCGGTTTTCTGAGAGACTAGCAGCAGATGATGATAAAGACAGACTTTGTATAGTGTGTCTTGGTTTCATGAAGAGTAGTGATGAGATGAGAGAGCTTTGCAACTGTTGTCATGTGTTTCACAGATATTGTCTCGATGCTTGGATTGATCAAGGCCAAATGACTTGCCCTTTGTGCAGATCTAAGCTGTTGCCTGCTGCTGGAGGGAGACAGAAGTTAAAGTGTGGAGGAGATCCATGGAGGAAAGAGAGGATGATTTACTTGTTTGGTGAGGAGTCTGTTACCTCCTCAGTTTTTATGTCTGCTTCACAGTACTTGTATTAGCATTTGTGCCACATGTGTTCCAACAGAGAGATCATGAGCACCGACACTTAGTTTTTAGAAAGGAGATGATGGTTTGGTTTCACTTTTAAATATAAACTGGGCAAGATCAATGTAGTATCCGATGCTTGCAGTAGGTTTTTATTCAAGTGGTACAGTCTTTACCATTGGTACAGATTGAAGACGATGTATTCCAAGAGATTAGGACTGAGACCGAGAAAGATGTGGTAACCTCCCTTGATTATACCGCTATAGTGACTATTTACTCTTTGTTTGATGAGGATCATGTGATGGATGTTATCTTTGATATAACTCTTACAACCCTTGTGCAAGAAGGAGAGTAAATAACACCCACTTTGGTCTAATATACATCTTTAGCAGTCTTAAGCCAATTATGATTTATTTTTTTGGGATCAATAATTAGGGGCATATGGATTAGTTTATGCATATCTTTCTAATTATCTCTTCAATTTGGTCAAAAACAGACTATTTACGTCGGTACTAAGATATTTTTGAAAAATAAATCTCTCATAATGCAACTCTAAAAAATTATCAAAATTAAAATTTAAAATATTTAAATTTATAATTCAGCTCTATTAATACTTAAAAAAAAGAGGCGGGTCCCAATTTTGTACCTTCTCCCTCGATACCTTATCAACTTTTATGGAGTGTCACATGAGGTGGCCCTCATTTGAATCATCGCCGCTGAATGGATCAATAGCGATACGGTTATGTGACAAACACAATATGGCCGCGGTCAATAAACCTCGGCATCTTTTGACATGATTGTCAATTCCACAAACTTGGAACATAGTCTGGTCCTCAACCACAGCTTCATATTACACAAAGTTGACTATGGTACAGTTAAAAAAAAATTAATATCATACTTTCAAAATTTATTATAGATAATACACAAATTAATCTCGTGTAAGATCAACAGTCGAATATGTTAAGAGGAGTAATTAATGGACAATAAGTAAAATAATCAATGACAAAACAGTAAATATAAACAAACACATAGATATATAGTGGTTCGGTCCGGATGACGTACTCCACTATCGAAAAACGACAGCGGTGGTCGAAAGTCTTTATTGATGAATAAAGAAGTCCGGAGAGTTACATTGTTTAGGAGAGAGAAAATATGTGTAGTTGGAAGGTGTAGAGAGACAAAGTTTAAGGTGTAGTGTGTTGGGAGAGATGTGGTGAGCTATGTTGTGAAATGCCTCTTCATGTGGAGAGAAATTACAATATATAGTTTTGGTGAGGCGGTAAAGTGAGGGAGAGGACACCACCTCTTTGGTAAGTACAATTATGGTAAGATTGATTTTCATGAGTGCAAATCTCGATATTATCTTTTTCACGTGTTTTTATCTTCTCGGGCTCCTTGGACCCTGTCAGGGTTGAATTGATAAAGTAGGTCTAGATTGCCTTTTAACTGACTTGAGCTTAATTGATTTATTGGACCTGGTCCAATTGATTTTTGGGCTCATCAATTAAAAGATTTACCATTTTTGTGGTTAATTTATCATTATTTTGAAAAATTTTACCATATTTGTTTTACTACATTTTTTTTGTATAAAAAAAATTATAACTGTTATGAGTGATTTATCACATTTAATGATATTTTTATCACATTTGTTAATGTTTTTATCATTATTGTGATAATTATTTTTTTAAATATTATAACTATGATAAAAATATTCTAAATAAAAATATGTTATAAAAAAATATTAGTACACTAAGCAACTCGCATACTGTTGTATTCATGTGGTCCCCCCGGGGTGCAGAGTGGTCGCGGGTTGGATAGAGGCGATTACCAACAGTTGAACATTTGGACTCCACTACTGTACGGCATTTACTTTTTTAGCACTATACAGAAAAACCAATAAGAGTCATTAATAAGTTTGTCCTATAAGCTGGACCGCATTTGAACATTTACTTTTACTTTTGAAATAACCGGTGCCCTGCTGATCAAGCTGTTACAACCTCCTTTGTCTGATCAGGAAAGTTTAACAAACAAGAAAAATCAATAGAAAACTCTTGCTGCACAACCCAGTTGGCAAAGAAATCAGTCAAACCATTTGCCTCCCTATACATGCACCAACTAAAATTCAACCTCTCCAATATTTCCTTAATCTGTCTCAATATCCTCCAATATTTCTATGCCTTTAGATGGCCCTTTAACACCATATTAACCATCACCTCGTAATCAGATTCAATTTGAATCTGATATGCCATCAAATCATGCCTTTCAATCAAGCATAAACCATCCTTGAATGCCCTTAACTCCGCCTCCATATTAGAACATTCATTATAAAAGAAAGAAACAGCAACTACCAAACCACCCCAATGATTCCTTACCACATCTCCCCCTTCTGCTTTCCCTGGATTCCCCTTTGACACGCCATCCACATTCGATTTCAGACAGCCAACATTTGGAGGAAACCAATTCACCCAAATGACTCTGATCTGTACTCTCTTATCATTCTCAACCCCCAAATCCTACAACGTTCGTTAACCAAAATCATTCTCAGGTACTCTGGGCCTAACACCATACGCTTGCAGCCTTAAAGCAAAACAAACCCTCCTAAAAATAGAATACACAGTCAAGCATCCTTCCCCAAACATCCTTCGACATCTCTCCCTCCATAATTACCCAAACAACACCAAAGCAAGATCTCAAAGTAATATGTTACTTAGAGATTGCTTTCTAAAAATTCTATTCAACCTCAACATTCTCCCCAAAGCTTTAAGTAATATCAGAGACCTCTAAGTAATATGTTTAAATAAGGGTTAATTATAAAATATTTCCTTCAATTTTGGGTAGTTTATAATTCACTTCTTTTGATTTGATTTCTACTTTGTTGAAAAGAAATAATTATTTTTACACATTTTTTTCTTGTACTAAATATCCATTTTTTCCCCTTTACCCTTACACCTTTCCATCCTCCCTTAACTCAGATGGTTAACTCTCACTCCCTTCTCTATATGTTACAGCGGATGCAAACATTTTCTTATTTTTTAGTATGGTCTTTTTCGTTTTCTCTTTTTTTAAGGTCAAATTTGGCATCTCAATAAAAAAATATGAAAAATAATGTATGAGACGGAGGGGTGTAATGATTCTTTCAGGCATTTAGCCACTGTTATTAGTCAATTTAATCCAATTAAAACTTAGAGAGGACAAATTACAACATTTGAAACCACAAGAAACTAATTGCAAGAATGGACATAATTGGGGGGAGCGGATTGTAATTAACCCAAAAAAAAATTATATATGACAAATAGTACTACTTAGATAGTAATTAACTCAATGGTGCGTTAGTACCACCAGTGGAGATGCATTTATAAAAAATGGACTTAGGTTACTATTTATTAGGGTAAGGTTATCACTATTGTGAATAAAGTTATCATATTTAAAGGTTACATTACAAATATTGTGGATAAATTTACTAAAAAAATGGATTAAATTATAACCACTGTGAATGAATTTGCAACAATTGAGGATTTTTTTTTTTATTATAGCGGAGGTGCATTTATAATAAATAGGGTAAGATTACTACCTATTAGGATAAGATTTCCACCGCTATAGATAAAATTATCACATTTAAACATCACATTATAAATTAGAGTAATGCTACACAATTCAAATATAATCCAAAATATTACAACTCAAATACATATCATTCATTAAATGAGTGAATTCCGTAACGTTTTTAGTACTTTTTTTGCACCAGCGTTTACAACTAACTTTAAAGTTAAATCGCAACTTATTTGAGGTCAATTTACAGCTCCAAAAGATGAATAACAATTCAATTTGGGGAAAAGCTATGGTATTTCTGTGGTACGGTACTAATCAGTAGAATTTTTTAAGATTAAGGCATAATTTTTTAAGTTATAATTTATAAAGAACACGATCGATCATGGAAGATTGTAATCCAAACCAAAAATTAAAACTTTTAATATTAAGTTATAACTTTTAAATGTCAAGTTATAACTCATAAATAAAAAAGGAAAATGGGATGAAAATAGCGACTTTTTATAGTTTGGTTAAAAAAATATATATATTTTTATGTATGTTTTTTAGCTATTATTTTTTGTAGATATGTTTACATTTATTTTTTTATTTATTTTTATAACTAATTAGTGTGACACTGAATCTTGAAAATTTTATTTATAATAAAAAATTATTTTTATATGTAAGAATATAATAGTAAATTAATTACATATATCTTTCTTTCCTTCTATTTTTTCTCCAATACCAAACAGTATAAATTTAATTCTTCCAATTTTCCATTCATTATACCAAACACAAAAGAGAACAAATATTTTTCTTTTCTCCAAAGATAAAAAAGTCTATTTCTCACTTTTTTTTTTATCCGTCTAATTTTTTATTCCTCTTATCAAATGAAACATTAATGTAAAGTACATTGGGCCTCCCTCAGACAGAGCGTTACTCATTGGGCTCATTCTGTTCATTCCAACACATATGGGCCAAAGGATGTACATCAAAGGAAGTCATCTCAAATCCCCTTATCAAATTTCATATCCACGCCAAGCCCATGAATTTGATTATAAACAGTATCAGCTTTGTTGATTTTTTAAATTTTTTTTATGAAAAAGTAGGGGCAAAAAATAACGCATAGAGACTACTGGTGGGATTATGAGACATTTGATCGCGTTCGTTACTTCTTTTGATAACAAATCTAATTAAGTTAGTATAGCGGTCAACCACCGAATTCCAACGTAGAGTTCGAGACTTAAACTTCTAATTTCATGATGAAAAATTTGGCCGATATACCACTTCACTCGATGGTCAAATTTGTTGAATTTGTTTCTCTTCAAAGTAGCACATATTCTATCTCAAGTATTGTTGTCAAAGTTTTATCACTTATCATTCTAGCGGATAATAAATCGTATCATGTAAAAAAAATTTCATTTACAATTACATATTTAAAAAATAATATTTTTATTTTAGCTATTTACTTTTTTAATGTAGACTTCAACATATTTTTTATATTTTTAACTATTTCCTTTAAATATTATTTCTTATTTTTTTGTATTATTTTTTTGAGAGAATAATGAAAAGGAGAGAGAAGAGATGAAAGGAAATGAGGAGAGATAAAATTTTATAAAGTACTTCTACGTATTGCTAAGAGTGTAACTATAGTAAAATACTATTTTAAATGCTTTGGAGACGTTCTGTTGAAATAAAATTTTAAGGTAAAATAGCTAAATTATATTTTTTTTTTTTTTTTGTGTATTCTAGCTCTTTTTTAGAGATGCACCAAGTCAAGGCAATTTCCTCTGCACCATTCTAACTCTTTTAATAAAAGCTGCTATGTCCCATGAGGATATGCATCTCCTACGTTCAAGATACTTTACTATAACTCTAAGCGGCAGTTTAAATTGTAAGAGAGGTAAATTGTAAATTTAAATATTTTGAATTTGAATTTTGATAATTTTTTGAAGTCCAATTATGAAAAATTTATTTTTCATGAATACCTTACTTCCCGCATGGATAGTTTACATTTGATTGAAACGAGAAAAAAATTAGTCAAGATGTGCGTAAGTTTTAACCTAAACACTCTTGACCTTTAAATCAAATATAAAAAAAGTACATGCTTTGCTATCATATTCACTATTAACTTTTCGAGATTTAAATTTCTTCCAATACATTTTTTTTTAATATTTTTTTAACAGAAAGAGTCTTACAGAAGTAAATGATAGATTTCCACCAAAATAAAAATTTTAAAAAATACATTTTGGAAGGGACCTATCAACTGGAGTCACCTTTCTCTATTGTTTATTTGTTTTTTATCAATTTTTGCCCATATCAAATTGGTCAAGGTTCTAAAGATAAATACATGGAATAATCCGATGGGAATTTTTCTGTTATATTAGGAATATATATTTGGCGGTGGCCACATTATTCTGACATTATGTCAGCCTAATTTATATATCCTACAAAATTGGGAAAATTACATTTTAAGCTCTTCAATTATGACTCCTTTTATATTTTATCCCTTTAATTATCATATTTTACATATTATACCTTTAACTATGTGATAATAATTAAAGTCCGTTATAAATTTTATAAAACATGATGGCAATAATCTTTTAAAAATATAAACTATGTTTGTATTTGGGATAATAACGTGAAATAATTCAAGATGTTTAATAAGACAATTGGGTGCAAAATAGAGATTTAAAACACTTCATAAAAAAATTAAAGTTCAAAAATTTCTTCGAACTTTTTAGGGTGTTATCGAAAAAGTCAATTTTTCTTTGGATAAACCTGATTTATTAACTTTTCCTTGGTGTCGATAGAAGTTGTTATGGCACAATGAGTTGACAGAAAATTAGCCCGACAAGTTTGAGTCCAAACGAACTATACTTCTTTTCCTCTGAATTCAATAAAAGCCGAAATTTTCAGTCTCCAAACAGGAATATAAATATTCAATAGTTTAAAGGGGAAAGTAAAATCAAATTCATAGTTAATGTGGTGAAAGTGTTATTTATCCTAAAAATTCCGAGAAGATATTAGCCAGAAGGGTATAAAACGCGAAGCCAATCAGAAACAGAACATCTGATCCTAATCAAACCTTCCATTCCAACCTCTTATTCCCAGGAACCCTAACATTCACATACCTTATTCCCCTCTCTTTCAACATGGACTTCCCAAAGATCGCCATACTTCTCTCATCGCCATTGTTTATACACAAAAATTTTCACTGATTGATATGTCTCCACCGCCACAACTCCCAGACCACATCCATAAAAAACCCACATCACTTCCAGACTTCATTTTCACAGCTTTTTCTCTTTTCATTATCTTCTCTTCCTCCAAACCCACCATCAATCTTCTACACAAATTCCCACCTCCACTGTCTTTCCCACTTAATCCTCGTCGATTTCTCAAGATCCACACCATGTCCCGCAAAAACCCTAATCCTAATCACCCATTCCCAAACCCGCAGTCCCTCTCCGAGTGGCTCAAACCACGCTTACCCTCTGATTCCTTCGCTTCTTGGGGAGTTAAACCAGGTACCAAGAATGTCAACAATCTCTGGCTAGAGCTTTCAGAGGGCGAAATTTCGTTAGCAGATTCAACCCCTCCGCTCCGGACAGTTGAGGTTATCATTGTTCGAATTATTGGGAAGGAAAACAAAATTCTTGTTGAATCGAAGCAAGAATTATCGGACGGGACTGTTAGAAATCGGTCTCGACCCTTGTCGGAAAAAATGAAGCCCGGTGAGACCGTGCAACAAGCTGTTGTTCGGGCAGTTAAAGAAGAGCTTGGATCGATGGTTAAATGGTCTTCTGATAATTGTGATGATGGTGGTATTGTGAAAATTGTTCCCAACTCTTATACTAAGAAGGTGGAGGAAAAGGTTTCCGTTTCGTACCCAGGATTGCCTGCATGTTACGTGTTGCATACAGTGGATGCAATGGTGGAGGGTTTGCCAGACTGCGAATTTTGTACTGAAGAAGGCGATGAGTATGGGGATTCTGACGAAAAGAAAATAGCAGATGGGGCGGTTTCTTGTAAAAAGCATTACTGGATATGGGTTGAGTCTGATTATGTTTGATTTTGAGATGGGTGGTGAGTTTGAGCTCTCCTTCCCTGCGTTTCTAGTTTTATGCATTTTTTATATTGTCTTAACTGTGGTACAGTAACGATTTTGTTGCCCCTTTCTGGTTTAGGCATGTTTTTTGTGACATGAGAATATAAATATTCACTGTAAATGTAATTAATATACTAATCGAATGAAGAAACTGTATGATTCAAGTTTGAATGTTCTAACTTCTACATTGCTTCAGTTATTGATTCATAATCTTATTTTGATTCTTGTTTGAGTTCTGATTTTGATATATGTATAGCAGGAAATAGGGTAAGCAGAAGGGCAATTGGGGACAATTGGGGACTGGTTAATGTTGCGAACTATAATTCATTAGAGTTGTGTGTGTAAAATATTTCTAGACATAATATTTCGCATAGGATCATTTGTCACCTGCATTGATTGTTAGCCATTTTATTGCTTCATTGCCCAATTTTTAGGAAATTCTTCCTAGACATGCTCAAACGAGAACCTGTAAGGATATGGCAATATGTTGAGAGTGCGAAAAGCAAATCGAGCTTGAATGTTGAAACAATGCAGTGTGACCTTGAGAAGGGAGGAGGGGGGTTGAATAGGTCTTATGCACTCAAATGTAGAATATGCCCAAATAAAACCTAACTCATACAATTATTGCACGTATGTAAATTAAAATAGTGAATAACAAAGAATTGTTATGTTATTCTGTTGATATATTCTATTTTGTTTCCCTTTTACCTTTGCTTAATCTTTAAAATTTTTCATTTGGTGTGTTTTCATTATTAAGCATTGGATTTTTGCAAGTGATTATAGTTTATGACATATATATGTTTTGGCTGGTTTTATAATTGCAGTTGTTGGTATCATGAAGGTAAAGACATTGTTTACCCAAAATTGTTGTTTAGCGGTTATGTGTTTACATACCTAAGAGTGAGGCACAGAAGATTAGAGGTTTGAATCTAATAGCATTAATCAGTTGAAAGAATGCTTTTACACTAAAATTTACTCTTCCAAACAATATGATTGGTGTGCAAATCTGGAAAGTTTATACATGAGAAAAGCAGATTGAAAATGTAGAAAAGAGACCATATCGATGGGTGGGAGAATCCCTTACAATTTGAAAAGGTCCTACAAGTTTCCTTGCTTAAAACACCGAAGTTTCTGGTATGGAATATTGAGATGGTGATTTATTTGAGGTCTTATTGTCTAAAAGCTTGGCCAGTTGGCATTTGAGAAAGGGCATTGTATATGAAGTATGATATGCATTAGATCTTGCCATATGTTTTTCCCTTTTCCTTTTCTCCTTTTTTTTTTCTCTCTCTCTCTCTTTGTTCAATCTAGTCTTTTTTTTTTGGTTGGGGGCAGGGTTTCTTTAGGTATTTGTTTTGGTGGGAATCAACAGGGAGGCAGTGCTAAACAATCACATAGAGCTAATAAAGGCTATAGGCTGAACACTGAGTTTTCTTAAGGAATGCATCTCACTGCAGATGCTCATGGAGCTTCAGGGCACGCTCTTGTGCCCTTTACCGCTGTTTTATATTTAATATAATATCTAGGAAAAATTAGGTAGAAAGGTCTAGCTTTTGAACATCACAAAAGTTGCTTTACTTTTGAAATATTAGGCACTAGTTTTTATTTCTTTACTTTACTTATTTTCTCATGGTGGAGTAGAGGACTGTTTTTTGTCTGCATCTCAACCCTTGATGAATCCCTTCTTGGACATCTCCAAATTGTGGCTATCCTAGCATATATTCAACCTGCTGTGGTCCCTTTGTCAAGTGGCCCAGCAGCTACTGCAGAAAAATGCTTTAGTCGGACCTATATATTAGATTTAGTAAAGGATTGCCTTGGTGGGGTGTTTTAATATTTGTATGTACAAGATAAGAGAAGAGGGAAGAAAAATAGCTGTCAGAGACTTATATTGTCATGTCTGCTGGATGTTTTAAATTATTTCCTCTGTGAAATTTAGGCTTCCTTTTCTTAAGCATCATTATACTGGAATGTAAGTATAACAAATAGATATAATAATAAATTAAAGAGGCAATTAACTGAAAGAGGATTGAATGGCTTTCATTCAGCCTGGAACAACAATTTTTCATGAGAATGGATTCCATAACCAGCTGCGGGCAGGAGTGACCTCTTGCCACTGGGTCATTTCCTCACCTCCAAACGTTATAACTAGCTGTAGGGTTGATTTGTGTTATCCATAGCTTTTCCTTGTAGTTGGGATGATTCAGAGTAAACTTGAAATATGTTTAGAGAAACCCCCGAGTTCCTGGGGGACCCAGCAGTTGTAAGTTTGTGTTTTCTTGGGGGCCAAGAGTCCCATTACCTCTACAATAATTAAAAGAGAGATTGACGAGGAAATTGAAGATTCTCTAACGAAGAAAAGTAATTGATTTCCCGCTTCTTTATTCTCTCTTTTCAGCTTAGAATCTCATATTCTTATCCATCATCAACCCTTTCATTGCATCCCTCTTTCTTATGAGCCATGAACACAATCCAATAAACAAAAGCGAAATGTTTCCTCCTCATCTTTCCACTTGCTGAAATCCACGACAAAGACAACATGAACCATGTCTTTCGACTCTTTTCTTTCCAGTCAGCCTCTCACTTCTAAAGAAAAATCAAGCAAGTGTGCTCGAAAAGAGAAGAAGATAAGACAAACAAGATTTTCATCATCATTATAATCTTACTTTCAGTCGTAGCATACATTGTCAATTTATAAGCACTATCAAGCAAATTATCTTAGCAGTAAACTAAACGAAAAAAGAAAAGATACAAAAATCTCATTACATGCTAATTACACGCATTGATCAATCGTCTTTCAAACCATAGTAGAACACTGAGTCCCTTGCTTAAAACTCAGTGGCCCTGATGGTATGGAAGGTCCAAAGGGCATAATAGCGACACAATTGACGTTGAACCTATACCTCCCGGAAACCCAAGTGCCCACCTTCCATCGAAGCCGGCCATTTGCCTTAAGATTCAGGACAAGTTTTCCGGCGGTCTGATCACGACCCACTTCATAACCAAAAGAGGCAGCCACCGGTAGCCCCGTTCCAACCAAGGACGCTGTTAGGAGGTTGCTATCTTCATGCCCTTGATAGAAAGGAGGAATAGAAGTATCAACTGTTATCTGTTGACCCTTGTAAGAAGCATATACTTGCAGCACGTCGTAGTAAACACCAACCTTCTTATTTGGGTTTTTCGAAAGTAAGGTGATTTGAATAGAAGAGTTGAGAAGGTGAGGATCTGAGAGGGTCAGTTGGTAGATGTCAGCTTCTTTCAGGGAGAACTCAGGCTTGGTGGGGTGTAGGATAAGCCAGATAAGGAAAATGAATGATAGAATAGAGAGGAGAAAGGTAGAGAAAGAGTAGAATAGCTTCCTGTAGACCTTGTTAATGCTTAATCCTTGCTTGGCACAGTGTTTGGGAGATTGTGCATGGACTATAGACATTTGCAGTATGAGAGGGAGAGGGAGAGGGAGGCGAGGGGGTGGGGGGAGAGAGAGAGAGTTCACAAGGCTAAGGAAAGGGTGGTGTGGGTATTAATAAAGAGATATCTGGGCACCAGAAAAGCAGCAATTATTTTGCTCTTGTTGCTTTTGACTGGTAGCTTGTCATGGAGGTAGAAGTTGGCTACAATACATTTTAGTTCTGTCTTCTAGACTGTACTGTTTAATGCTGTCTACTGAAATTTGATTTGATATTTTTGTATTTGTACATATACATTTGATGTTCATCAAGTATACATTTTGGCAAATATGGAAGCATCGTGACAAGGTCCTGTGTGCTTGGTATTGATGGTGATTGATGAGCACCACCTGTGACTTCTGGTGGGGATATCTCCCATCATGAATATGCATGCACTTTGCTATGGGATCACTTTAGTTAAGTATATCTTTCTTTAAAAGTATTATTCTTTATGGACTACGGTGATTGATGAAAGAGGGGGATACGGTGATAGATCTATCTCAAGCCGGAATCTGCTGGGAAGTGCCTTTAGAATAATTGAACGGAAAGTTGAGGCTTTTTATAGTGCTAAGAGAGAGAGAGTAGCCAATAGCCTTTCCTGTTGATTGGAGTTTGAGGTAGAATTTGTACAATGGTTTATCGAAGTGGGAGTTTTGAAGTCTTGAGTCTTTGTTTAATTTATTGAGCTGGGCACAAAGAGTTCAAAAGAAGAGGCAGACATGGAGAATCTGGGTTGAAAGTCTCTCAGGCACCCATTACTTTATCTTCTTTTTTTTATTTTTATTTTGGGATACAAGACAGCCATTACTTTTAAGCTAAGAAAAGGGTTACAGGGTAGGAGATTGTATTGGCCATTTGTTGTTGAGAACTTTCTGATTAGCAAACATCACCACCCTTCATTCTTCACCGTCCGATTACAGGAGCACAATCAGGGCAGGTATGGTCTGTTTGATAATGCTTTGGGACCCTCCTACTTAGGATCTTGGAAAGAATATTACAGTCTGCTTAGCAAAGTACGTTGAAATTAAGGTCATTGTTCACTTTTTTATGTTACTTTATTTTCAGTTTTTCAGGCCTTCAATCAGGAAAAAGATGGTCTACCCCATCATTTTAAGTGATTTCTAATCTGATCTCTTTTCCTTTTCCTTTTTGAATTTGATTATTTCTTCGATTTGGGACCAAAGAAAGGTCCACACGTCTGAGATTGCAACATGGTAGAAAGATCTTGGCCTTTTTTATTTTATTTTTTTGTATTGAAGAAGACCTGTGTGGTGATGAGGCCAAGTAGGCGGTCATGGCCGTCACCTTCAGCCAAGTTGGCTGTTTATTATGTTGCTCCACCATGTTTTACTGTCGCTTTACAGTAGTTTAGGATATGAGTTGAAAAAAATATGGAATTGTGTGACAAAATGACTATAGTTTGCTCATTGATTTCATGTCTATTTTCTGAATGTGTGCGTGTTTGTTCATTTTCATATGTTATCCCAAAGAAGAAGAAACAGAATAGAAACTCTTATCTGTTAGAACTGTGAAAAATTATTCGAAAGAAAATGTGATGATTGTTAACGTACCTGTATGATTGTAGTGCACAAGCATATCTAGTTAAGTATCGATGAGTGTTTATGCTAGAACACTGCACAATTCAGAAGGAAATAAAAAACAAAGAAAATGGAATCGTAGCATGGTAAGATTGGAACATATGATATGGTGACTGTTAAGTTTTAAACTCTAATTTCTCTCTTTGGGAAAAACAAGTCTAAAGTTCAACTGAATAAAGAGAAAAGTGAGGAAAAGGAAGATAAAAAGATGATTTTGTCCAGAGTGTGAATGTTTCCACCATTTACACCGACTGATACATGATTTTTTGTCATTCAATCCACCCATTTGGTGGGTCAATATCACAGTGTTCTTCAGTGGAGTAGCATTCATCAGTCTCTAGACTGAAAGCTCAATCCACTTTTCATACCACCGTAGCTGCAATCATACATATGTCATTGTTTTGAGGCGTTTGGACTTACTTGCAGTCAAGCATCTCTATGGGCTCCATACCTTGCCCTTAACAGTACAACACATTGCAGAAAATTTAAACGAGATGAAAAGTGGGGTAAAATGGCCACTAAAACAACCACCCCTCTCTCTCTCTCTCTCTCTGAATTCTGTACAAGTTACCCAGCAAAGACAAACAGTATGTCCCTCATTGAAAACGAGAGTTGAACATGCATTATATATTTATATGAATCAATTGTTTCGCACTAGTTGTAGCATGCACATGAAATCACCCTATTTAGTTTGCGTCTCAAAAAACAACATTCGAATACTGCTTTTGAAAAGAGTTTTAAAAAAGTGGTGTTTTTTTATTTTTTGTGTCGCAAAATTTATTTGATTATATGATTCTAAAAACAATTTTACAAAATAAAAAATAATAAACAATAACCCAAAAAACAATAAAATATATATATATATATATATATATATATATATATAGTTGTTGTAGAAGTGTGGTGGTGGAGCAGGTTGTGGTAGTGGTAGAAACTGTTTTTGGGAGTGGTGGACATGGTGGTGCTAGTATTTTCTACATTTTGGAAAGATTGTTTCTAAAAATACGCACAACAATCTTAACTTATTCCCTAATTTACCCAATTTTTGTTCTCAGTTTTTAAAAGACAAACAAAAAACAGCTGACCAAGCAATTTTTCTTTCAAAAACTCTTGAGATGTAAATCAAACAGGTTCCCTCGAGTGCCAAGATACAAAATTTGCCAACAAATTACATTTAATTCATTTGTTTCCATACACATTGTTTGCATTGTAGTCATGAGTTTAAAATGTGCGTGAATAGGACGATTTATCAAAAGAAAATAACTATCTATTGTTTCCTTTGCAGCATAATAGGGGATTAATGTTCAGTGTTCATGCTAATGTTATTCAGTCAAATTCAGAAATTTACATCAGTTGGACATAAAATGAATGGATAAACTGGTTCTTTCTATTTCTGGTCAGTACTGAAAGAACTGATGAGCTGTGCACTAAGTTCCCATGCAGACTTATAGAGTTATGATACAGAATGTTTCAATATATGAACAGAAGGGACACAAAAAGGCAGCCTCTCAAAATATGAAGATTGAGTGATCATAGAACTCTGAAACTATATTTTACAACAAATAAATGCTAATGTACTCATTTTAGGATTTAGGAACGAACAAGCTACTAATATTAGCACCTTCAGATTGCGTCGTACCCTTACCCCTATGTTCCTCAAGCTTTCAAGAATGCAAGTTGAAGTAATATCTGTACCGATTGATCTAGTATCTTTGGTTACAGAATGGATCTATGTGCTCCTCTGTTTCATCGCATGCCAACTACCTAACCACCTGATGAGTTGCCACAGTGATTATCAGCATGTGTCAATTGAGGTTCAGTATGCGCTTGACGAACAAACTGTCCTTTCACCCGAGGACGCTGCTCTGCAAGTTTTTTTCTGCTTTCATATCGTACCTGTGGAGAAATTCTTAATTAACAACTGGTAGCTCACGGAAAAACTGCTTGTGATCTGCAGTTATATAACCATTAGATATTTAAGTAGATCTAGCAGGCTGAATCTGTAATACCTTTGCATGTTAAACTCTGCATTCAAAGAACAGAAGTACTACTTTTTGACATAGTAATGATGATGAGAAAAGTGATAATTCTGTTAATCGAGATGGAAAAACAATTTTCATTCCCACTTCAATGTTCATCTTAGGTTGCTATAGTAATCGGAAAACAATGATTAACAATATTCGTGGCCTAATGTGCCAGCAATACCAGTGGTGTCACTCCTCCACTAGCAAAACCTGTTACACTTCTCAGGATGGAAGCAACTAAGCGAAGAACAGTCTCATTTCAAAATGACATGTCGATTGCAATAATTTAGGTCCAACACAACTATATCAACACATATACTCCAAATTTCAATTTCAAAAAGACCAGGAAAACAATATTTTCATTTTTTGTCCACATGGCACTCTTTACTTAGTAACCGAACAGATGCTAAGATGATTATCAAGTTCCAACAATAAGAAGGTGATTATGGTATCACCCTGAGGCACTTTGATCCAGCCAAACCCTGGATCATGTTTAATCCAAAGACCTGGAAGTTCATTAGAGTTTGTATCTCATAACCTAGGTGCAAATGTGGCATGGGAGAAGAGACAGCTGCATTAAGTAATAATTATACTGGGTGATTGTGATGAAGATGATTGTGATATACCTTCTTCTCATAGCATCTTTCTTTCCGCTTCAACCGGAATTTGGTTAGTGCTGCTTCTCTTTGTGTAGATCGATGAGACTTGCCATCAGGAAAGACGAAACCTTCTTCATTCCCACATTCTGATGTATCCCTGTTGGCTGAAACTGGATTGATGTTGCCATTGCTTCCACAACCAATGCTGTTAAGATGACTTACATCACCATTACAAAAACTGCTGCTTACACTCTGGTCAGTGGCAGAAGAAAAATGTGCTCGATCTTCCAAGGATTCCAATTTGTGCCCCTGCTTGTCCTCGATTTGCTCATTGGCACTGTCACCTTTTTGATCCATCAGGTCATAAAGTTGTTGAGAGTTTCTGGCTTCAGGATTGAATGGCTGAAATGTATTCATTTGGTAGCAGGGTTCCTGATGGCCAGCTGAACCTGGACTTTGCATTGGTGAAAGATCTGATTGTGTCCAAACTATTGGAGGCATCAGAGTACCATAAGCGGTGCTTAGATTCTCAAACCTTATACCTCTTACTGGAACCGGAAAGACTTTCTGCTGAGGGCAAGGAAATGACATTTCAGCTTGTCCAAGTTGACCAGTAGGCATAGCCGTCGTATTTTTCGATGAACTTACTGTTTGTCCATGAGTGTCAGAATTATAATCGAGGTTGTGATTAGTTAACTTTTTAGCAGAATTAGCTTCACAGCCTTTCTGTTGATTACAAATGCTGGGTGATGTTGAATGCCGGGACTGCATTGCACTGTTAATGTACCTACATTTAAGATTTTTAAATCAATTATAAAGCTATCTTGAATTAGCTGACTACCTTTAGAAGCTGCATCAACATATAAGGACCCCCTCTGTGACAACCACCCCCACGCATACAGATGAGAGAGAGAGAGAGAGAGAGAGAGCGCAAAACTAAAAAAATAGGAATACATTAAAAAAATATAAACACTACACTCAATTAATTTTTGCTCTTCCTATGATTTTACTATAGCTTATATTCTCGCAGTATACAGACTATAGGGAAAATAATGAAGATCGAAAAAACAAGAGCAGCAAGAAATTGAAGGGTTGGCAATTGGAACTCACCTCGAAAATGCTGAGGCATCGGAGTGGTTCAATTTATGTCTCTCATCTGTAACTTGATTCACAGAGCCACTAGGATGAGACCTTCTCAAGGAAAGATCCAATAGTGATGAAGAATCGATCTTGTTTGCATTATTGCATGAACCAGAACTTATGTAATCGCATTGGTGGTAATTATCAAATGCTCCAATTAAGTCGATGGCTTCTCCAGAAGAGTTGACAAGAACATGATTGTTATCACAAGCTTGACTAATGTTATTAGCATCCACATGCTCACATTGACTATCAGGATCAATGTCTTCTTTCTGATAAATTGTATTATCATCTTTGCTTGTAACTGCCAGCGATCCTAATTTTGTATAATAAAGTTCCAAAATGTTAGATACTTCCCTACTGTTGCAGGTGAAGGATCGTATTAAACATTAGGAAGAGGAAAGAATAAGAAAAGATGTAATTTACCCCCAGCTTCGCAGTCATGCATTTGAAACTTCATATTCGCTTTGGTACACTCTTCATGTTTTTGTATATTCATGTCACCTGAAAGAGACTTGTTCCATTTGGGCTGTGAAAGGTCCTCCAGATGTTCCATGTGTGCTTCCTCATCTTCCAAATCCGGTTTTGTACAAGAGCTCTGCACAAAGAAACAGCGAGGATGCAACTTTGTTATCAAACTAGAACTGACTGTCATTAGGAGACGCTTCCTTAGAGTTCATTAATGACATTTTGCTTACTTGAAAAAACTACAACTGATAAATTGTCAGGATATTGAACCAACAGGAAACTACTATTTATTTTTAATCAGCAACTGCAAAAGGAACAAAATAGAATCCCCAAAGAGGGGGCAAGAGAAATCAATCCTTGCCAGCAAGGATTGACCCCTTTTCTTCTTAGTTGAGAGAATCAAAGTGGCCAACTAGGCTACACCTAGTTGGTAACCAATAGGAATGTACAAGACCTGTTGGAAACTCGTTTCCCTTTCTGAATGAGAAAGCATGTTAATTGATGCTTGGAGCAACAACAAAAAATACATTATTGCTCTGGCTCATTTATTCAAAACATATTCATGCCTCTTTCACATTTAGAGTAAAATCAAGTGGTCTTTAGATTCTTTTAACCCGTTTATATGATCATGTATACTGGTGGTAGGCTCTGTTCAGATCTAAAAATCAGGCCAACATTATAAATGAATTCGTCTGATTTAGCCTGTTTGTACCAGGTCCTCCTTGTCCATTGTGTGCTCTACTTTAATGCTACAGGAAAATTAAGGGAATGATTTTCTTTCCATCAGATGCACGTGTCTCTAAATGGAGATTGCCTAATTATGGCATAGCTTATATAGAGATGCTATACTACATAAGCACAGGTAATGCATTACAAAATGCCTTGGAGAAAGTGGATGGTACCTGAGAGTCGCCCCCTTTCTCGATGCATTCCCTGTTTCTCTGAATGCAAGCCCTATATCCACTTGACTGATTACTAGTTGCATTATTTTCCGCAGTGGCTTCGACCTTTTGTTGTGCAACACTCTCATCCAGGGGCCCAAGTACACTACCACTTGACTGATAGGAAAATATGAAACAAACAAAGATTTTATGCAAGTGTTAACTTTTAAGTCCACCAAGTAAGCAAAGCAATCATGCAAAATGGTAACCAGAAGTAACAATTAAACTTACAGCTTGTCTCCTCCAGACATGCTGCCATAAGTTCCTCAGCTCATTTTTCCTAACAGGCTTGACAAGAAAGTCAGCAGCACCTCTCAACATGCATTGATAAACTGTACTAACTGAATCTTGAGAGGACATCACTGCATGATCAGGAAAGACATGTTAAACCTACTTTGAAACAAAAATTCCAGCAAAGTGGCGAGTGTACAACAGAAGTTTGATTGATCATATCGTACTTATAACAGGAATATTTTTGCACAGTTCGTGCTCCGCAATCAAGGTAAGAAGCGCAAATCCAGAGATTGATGGCAGCTCCACTTCTGTCAATATGAGGTCTATGTTATGAGGTCTTCCTTTCAGTACCTCCCATGCCTTTAAGCCATCAGAAACAGTGGCAACTGCAAAACAGAAAAGATGAATTATTTCAAGTTCCAGGAGGGATGTGCAAAACAAAAATCCTTGTATATAACCAAGCAGAAGAAATTAGATAAACCACTCATAAACTCAACAAGGTCTTGACCCAAATATATGGAGCTACTAGCCAGCTGCCAAAGCTTTTTTCACCAATCAACGGTATCTAGGATCTGGGACTTTAACCAAACTTAAAAACTAGTTGAGAAGGACTACTTGGCGCTTTTCAAAACTTCCTGCCTTACCCAATTCAAGGAATATAGAAACAAAGAAAACATACACTTATGCATATGCTGAGCATGTGGAAGACAAAAAAAAAACACACAGATAAGGCACCACTTTAAGTTTGTTCCTTTGAACTTCTTTATATATTAGAAAAAAGAAAAATGAACGAAAGAATGAAATGAAAGAGCAAGATGAGGGGCAAGAAATCTGATTTTGTACAAGTTTTGGTACCATGATAGAAGACCAAGTAAATCACATGCTTTAACCAAATGTATAAATTATAAATTAACAGGCCAAAGGGCAGAGCAATTGAGTCGTTTCCATGATATGGCAATTTCTGTAAGAATAGAAGCAGATTTACTTTAGGAGGATCTCCAAGCAATTCAGAGTAAGTGAGTCATTGTCATGAATCTCACAAAATCAGAAATCTATTTACAAACATCAACACGATTATGGATGATGTTAGTGTAATGGTGAATGGTTTTTGCAGACATTGAAAGATGAAAAAGGCCCCTAAAATCCCAGTAACAGAAAAAAAATGCTAATCACACCACCAGTTTGAAGTTCAATATTGTCAGATATTCATGGCTTACAACAAATGAAGAAACCTTCTAAATGTTCTCGCATACAAGGATAGAAATACGGACTCAGTGAGAGATATATGGAATTATAAACTCAGATTTGGAGAAGTCTAACAAAACTTAACTGTGAGCAATCTCTTTTAAAGGGATTTTGTTTTGTTTTCAATGGGTTACTAAATACCAAATTCAAAGCAGCCATTTTGCAGTTTTTTTTTTAACAGAAATAGTCGTGTATTTACCATCTATTGATTTGCAGGAATTCCAAGGTTTGCTGTACTGAAGGAGAAGAGAGAGTTAGAAAAATAATCCAAATTGACCCAAATCTGTCCAACACAACCCCCAAAACACAAATAAACCCATTTGTTCTCTAATATCCATCTGAACAATGGAAAATGCAAGCAAACCATTACTCATGTCCAAACCGACAAAGTCTTTCTTCAGATTCAAATTATAAAACAAGGTCAAAAATCCAAAGCACAAATCGACATGTACCCTTGATATAAAGCTCCACAATGAGCAATGCTCTTCAAGTACTTAGTCTAAACGAGGCAATTCAAGATATACAGAACCCACCTCCATAAGAGAATAAAGAACTAACCTTTGTAACTGCATTTCCTGAGGAGTGCTGCAATAATTTGTCGAGTAGAATCGTCGGCTTCGACCAACAACACTCTTAAAACCTTCCGAGGTAGAAACCTCTCCCATCTGACTACAGAAGGGGTATCTGCTGAACCACCTTCGATCTCCTTCTTCTCTGGCTGTGTCTCCATCTCAATCTCTGTCTCTCTTTCTTTTACTTCCAGTTCCCTCACACCTTCGTTGCTCACCACCACAGCTTCACCCATTTTCTCTCTACACAAAATTCAAGTGTTCTCATAGGTGAATGGAGTCCATATTAATAAAGCATAGCGTAGCAGCAGTGAAGAAGAAGTTTTAGTTGGGGGTGAAAGCCAAAGTCCAAGGATTTCTAAAATTAGGAAAAATTACACTTTGACCCTCTGAATTATAATCTTGATTTTTTATTTTGACTATCAAGCGACTAGAATTTTCACATTACCTCCAATTGTGATCATTAGTGTTTATTTAGTGTTCAATAGACTTGATAATCGATCCAAACTCATAGAGCTTGTGTTTTTTAAACGAGATTAAAAATTGTTCAAAGTCGGCTCGTTTAAAAAATAAGTCAAGCCTAAAACGAGTCGAACCGAAACTAAATCCAAGTAAGTAACTCTACTATCTTACACGTAAACAAGTCGAGATTTACGAACTCAAGCTTGAGTCAAGTTTTTTTTAGTCTGTTCTCTAAATAAGTCTTGTTTAAAAAATTGTTTAAACTCTGCTCGACACAAATCGAACTTGAGTCGAGTCCAATTTGAGTTGAACTCAAGTAACTCGGCTCAATTATTAACCCTAGTGCTCAAAAATAAACATTCAAAAAATGTACACGCGTTACAATAAATTGAAGTAAAATCACATAATTTGACGACATCATTAAACAACTCGCCATCAAATTGGAATACGACGCCAAGTAGTGAAACAATTTGAAAATAAAAATAAAAGTAAGGTATAGTGTGAGAAATATCATAATTTAGGGGTAATATAAGGTGGGGACATAATTGAAGGGGTCAAAGTGTAATGTTGACCTTCAAAGTTAAAAATATCTAAAGATGGACGATTCAAGTTGCATGATCTGACGGTTAATTTTCCAAGTGCAGCTTTAACCGCCTCAGATCTGAACGGCTCGTATTTGTTGAAGGAAAAATATCTGGGAAGGGCAAGTGTGTGGCCCAAAACGGCCACATAACAAAAAAGTAAGGGGCTCATTGGGAGGCCACCCTTTGTTGTGGGTTTGGTGGCGCAATTTTAAAGGTCAAACGACTGACTATTATCAGCCCTATATAAAAACATATGCTCTCTTTGGGATATTTTTCTATGGGCCACTTGCTATTGTGTGGGCCCACCATGAAGATATTTTTTTCAGACTTTCGGATTTGATGGATAGAAAATCGACACGTGGCAACTCCACTTGAGATCTTTTTATGTGTGGCAGCCAAACAATAAAAATGTCATCGTTTTATTTGTGCCTGGATTATGTACTACCTCCGAAGGTATGAAATGAAATTGTACTCGCTGCTCCATTGGTCGAAAAATTGGTTTGATTAAAATAAGGTTCTGCGATTCCTAGGTAGTGTGGTATCAATTTGTTAGCTATAGGTGAATTACTGGTATGCCCTCCATCAAGTTTGCTTGTGTGGTCGTTTATCTCAAATTACCCGTGATTGATACGATTCTCGGTGCATAATTCATTGAACTTAAATTATAAAGAATTTATTTATTATAAATATCTAAATTTTAGTGTGAATTATCTATTTTTGAATGGATCAAAAATAAAATTAATCAAAATATACATAAACTAGTATAAACACTCTTAATTATTAAATAAATAAATAAATAAATATATATATATATATATGTGACTGAATCACGAAATCCGAGCCTTATTTTATTTGGGCTTAAAGGACAAATTGAATGGTAAAGAAATAAATCTTATTCTGCTCTAACGTACTTTTTCAGTCCAGGGACATTGTACAATAACAAGTTTAATATTTATCCCCCATGTATTTTTTCTTTTAAAAAATCACATCATTTAATTTTATCACATTATCACATGTTTAATTATTTAATATTTAGTTAATTTATACTTGAATACAACTTTTATTTCATATATTATTCATAAACGATAGTGTATAGATGTTAAAAAAAATTTACCGAGTTATGTATTTTAAGAAATTTTGACGCTATTTTTAAGAAAATAATATGTAAAAATTAATTTTAAATGACGTAAGTAAAGAATTTAATTTTAATTTTAGTATAGCAGGATTAATTTTTTAAATGCTAGAATCTTATATTTTATCGTGTCTTAACACACAGGTTATAACTAGTTTATGTATCTATATTTATATATATAATAAAATACAATATAATTCACATCTTAAAAGATAAATAAAATGACTTTTGTTTTTTGCGTTAAAAATCTCTTTAAATTTTACTTTAAAGTTAATCTGATGGTTAATATTAACATTCCAAATTTAATAGGAAAAATATGTCTCTAAAGGTGTTTGGGATAATTTTTTAAAAATACTTTTAGAACTTATAACCTCTCATAAGTACTTTTAAAAAAAATTATTTAGAACTGTTCTATTGCCACCGCACCACCAATGTTGCTGCCACCCCACAACCACCTCTATCACAACAATAGTTGCCACTATCGCCACCTCACCATCATCACTATCATCGTTGTCGTCATTCCACTACCACCACTACCCTCACCGCTCCACCACAACCCCGTAATCACCGCAACCGCCACCCCACCACCATCACTACTACCACCCCCCTCCACCACTACCATCACCACTGTCACCACACCACCACAACAACCCTCACCATCGATATCGCTATCTTACCATCGTCGCCACTGTCCTACAAACCCCGCCCCCACTGCCCCATGACCATAACCACTACCACCCCCACCACCACCACCAATGCCGCCACCAACGCCACTACCCCACTATAACCTCTACTGCCCTCACCACTGATTGCTACTACCATCGTCCACCTATCACCATCGTCATCTCATTTTTATATTTATTACCACTATCACCTATCACCATCGTCATCACATTCTTATATTTATTACCACTACTACCATCATTCCATTACCATGTCGCCCACTTTTAGCACCCACCACCATCCGTCGTTGCCCACCATTATCGCCAGCCACTGTCACCCACCACTACCCGCACCCGCCACCATCACCACGGTCACTCATCGCTACCACTACCATTATCATCACGTAAAATCCATAATTACCATTGTCACCTATGACTACCACTACCACCACGGTCATCTTCACCCACCACTGTCGCCCACCACCTCTACCACTACTCACACCCACTACAATCAGTGTTTAAATTTTGTTCTTTTTCCTCTATGTTTGTGATTTAATTTTTGGTGTAAATATAAATATGTTTATTATTGATTATTTTTTTTATTACTCCGTGCCTTCAGGCATGAAAAATAATTAGTACTACTATAAAATGTCAACAAAAGTGAAAAACCTTATTTGACTATAATACCCCTAACAAACCAACTAATTCTATTGATCAATCTTTCTTTCATTTTTTTCAATTAATTACATAACTCACTCAACCCTTTATCTTCTTCAATTAATTATGTACATAACTCTTTGATAAATAAATATATTCATATATAACTGTTTTTCTACATAAATCTTTGATGAATAATTATCTACAAAACTCTTTTTCTATTTTACCTAATATAATTCTACAATCTCTCTCTTTGCATTAATAAGGCAATAGTAATTGTTGTAGACTTTCTCTATGTTGTCAGTTGTGAAAGTTGAAAGTTGCAACGAGTGTTGATAGGAAACCTTTGATTTCCAATAATACATTTCATGATGTAAATAATGACAACATTTAGCTTTTCATATTCTCCTCCATAACAATTGTATATGCACTAGTTGGGTTTAAGCAATAGATTAAAAGGTTGGGAACTAAAAAGTTTTTCTTTGGAGGAGATATTAGATATGAAGGAACCATTTTAGTTATTTTCTTCCCATGTCTCCAGAATCCAAACTTATCTGAGGTAAGATTTCTTTCATCACAATTCATTCATCTACTCTGATCGAGCAAACTAATTTGCCAAGTATGTATGTTTAAAGGTTTTCTCAGGTACTTCCTCAATTATTGTTTCCTTTCCCAAAAAATTGTTCGTAGAATTGAAATTATTGGCAAAAGTTTGGCCCTTAACTTAAAGTGTTTGTAGAATCCTTATCATGGATTTTTTTTTTTTTTTGTGCTTATCCTTACTGGAAAAGTGGATGACTTGTATATAGGTAGCATATGAATTAGTATCTCTTGGTATTGTATAGTTCATTTTGTTGTCTAAGTGTGGAGAAAATTAAGAATTAAGTAAATTTAGACTTTTATCTGTTTCTTTTTTGATTGTTATATATAATTTGGTCAAATTATATTTCATAATATTTTCAATTCTTGTAGGATAAAGTAAGTCTTTTTTTTTGGTTTTGTCGATCAGTCTGATGAATTGAAGAGGGCATTTCAGTATGAATTTCTTTAATGTCATGTCGTAGACGGTTGTATCTTTAAATTTTTATCTTCTTTTTTTCTTCACACTAACGTTAAGAGCAAATTCAAGCTTCTTTAATACTCCTTCAGTCAAGGAAATGCCCGATAAACAACATATAAATAAAAAAAATACATTTATAAAAAATGTGCTAGAAAGATTCAGCTGGACTCTTCTAATCTTAGAATTCTCTTGGCTTCCATCTCGGTAGTGATATGTTTGATTAAATAAGTCCAAATGAATGCCTTGATTGGGTTAGAGCTAATCTTCCTTGAGGAAAATGTCAAATACATTTACTTATGGATTAATGTTATTTGTAGTGTCAAGGTTAAAGAAACTTATGGCATGAAATCACTCAAGAGTCTCAATTATTATCCAATTTGGATGATGGGAATTCTGTATTTGGTGCTAAATAATAATTACTTGAGTTTAAATTTAAATTCCGACAACACGTATATGCATATTATTTGATATGTCAATCCAATGTCTTGGTTGTTGCTATTAAGAAGGTAAGCAAGGGTATGAGGGTTTAATAATAACTATTGTGAGGCCATTACTTTGGAGAATTCATCATGCTTAATGCTTATGAACCGTTCTACCTTTCTATTCAGAGTATTGGAGTAATTGTAGAGGTCATTTAGCAATGGGAGTTCCTAGAAATGAAGTGTTAAGCTCTTCTAATCATTGTTTATTCATTTGTACATACAATTATTGTACCTCTATCTCCAAAATATGAGAATATAATTTAGTACTTATACCCTTGATATTAAAATTCAATTTATAATTTATCGCTTATGCTTGCATAGGGCTACTTAGTCCTTAGTGTTTAATTGTACTTTTTTTGGGTGGATGCAATTGGAGTATTCAATATCGGAAATTTGAAACGGTGATCCAAGGTGATAAAGTCTTTTACCCTCACCAAACTCGAAGCAAGGAAACTCAAGTACCCAATTATTGGGACAAAAACTCTCATTAGCAAACACACAAAACATGTACATCATTTCATAGCTTGCTATGATTTCCCTTGTAAAAACTGCTTATATTAGGTATCATGTATTACTCAAAGAGACTCGTGAACTAAGAGTCTAACTTCTCCAAGCATAGATGATACAGTGTGTTTTATCTACCAAACACTTAGAAAAATAAGTTTTCCTTATTCAATAGTCTTATATGTTTTTAATAGCATTACTGTGTCATCACGCCTTTATATTGAAGAACCAAAATCCAAGTGAAAATGTGTTTTTTGAGGAGCTAAAATTCTCTTTTTGAAAATTGATATTGAGAGCGTTATCATTCAAAAAAACCCTAATTTTTAGTCTTTCGTCTTCGTTAATTTCAAGAACAAAATTCTTAGGTTGTTTTTTAATTTCTGGGTGCACAAGTAAATGACCGCTTATTCTATGAATATCTAAATAACTAAACATTTGATTATCGTTACATAGTAATTAACAATATCTTATACTCAAAATGGTCCATTTGCAATGCACATGTACATGATCTAGTATTATATACAAGGCATTAAGAAAGATAATTTGTAGAATACACTCTTAATCCAAGGTTGAAAATTTGGATGGGTAGCTAAGTTTTGATGCGGGGTTGCCCAAAAAGACTTTTGTGAGGGTAAAGATCAACAATTTGTAAACAAGTTTTGCCCAATGCCAAAAAAAATTTGTCTAATTTAGTCGGCCACCATCATTAACACGTGTTTGGGTAACTTATCCGTTAATGCATTTCATCGAACACTACTTTGTGCATAACTTACAATTAAAATGTTTTGTCTGAAACCTTGATCGAAATGCTTAATGTCGTAACACCAGCGATAAAAGTTTCTAAGTTTAAGGTATGACCAATTAAAATAGATATCCTAGGATGACGAACACCTTGGGAAAATTTCTAGGTGGGCCAAAAATTTAATAACAAACAAGGCTTATGACCGAACTCAACATTGTTACTCAACGTAACTGCAGTGGCCTAATCAATGCTAAAACAAGGATTGGGCTAAACAAGTCCATCTATATTCACCTTAACACAAGCCAAGCCCATAATCTAGGCCCAATGTCGAAATTTTTAAAGTGGTTGGGCCAGCTTGCCTAGGCAATGCTATATCCTCCTTAACCCAGCCATTCTTTTTTTTTTCTTTTTTTCATTACTTTCTAGCATAAACTTTTAACAAAGGATTTTTATTTTATTTTTATTTTTATGTACTTATTCCTTTATGAAATCGCCAAAGAGAAACAAAAAAAGAAATAAATGATATAGGACGGAGATTGAGACCCTTGGGCCATACCAAGGCAACAACAGTGTGGGTCAGACTATTGTAGTTATCCATTCAGTGTCGACGATGGCCTACTGTATGGACCCAAACAACATGGGCCGTGGGGACCAACTGAATATCTCGGGCCACGTGTCTAAAACAAACCATAAAACCCATCACCATCTGAATCTGGACTGGATAATGAACTGATATTGCCACGTCCGATCTTCAAATCTCTGCACCCGCTCCCATTTCTCTCTCTCTCTCTCTCTCTCCTTGAAGCTTCTCCTTTCAAAGTTCAATCGTACTTATAAATCGATATTTAAAACCCTAGTTGATAGATATAGGTTAATAATCTACAAGAAGAAAGGGGAAAAAATGGGTACTCTGTTGGTTTCGTCGTCTGTACAGAAAACCTTCCACCACCATCATTATCATCATCGGTCCAATCTCTGGTGTGGTTCTGCAATTTCGTCCAGTTCATCGACTCACCCCCAGTGCGTGGTATTACCGTGGCGGCGTCATTCGAATTTTCTAAACCCTTCCTTGTTCAGCAAAGTGCTGAAGTTCAATGCCAGTGTTCCTGTAAGGATCAGCAGAGGAAGCAAGTCAATGAGCATTCGAATGGCATGGGATGGCCCTCTCTCTTCCGTCAAATTGATCCTCCAAGGCAAAAACCTCGAGGTACTACTCCTTTGCTTTATTCAAAACCCTAATTTTTCTACTCCGTTTCGTTCCCCAGAAACACATATTATGTTTCCTTTTTTTATGTAAAGAACTTTCCTCTCTTACCGAACGATATGGGTAATTCTCCTAGCTTCGCTTCGGTTTTGCAATTGTTAAAATTGTATGTTTTGCTAATGAATTTGTATAGGTCCGTTTATTTAGCGGAATAATTCTAGAAAATATAAGAAAGTAAAATTTTTTATGTGTTTGGTTAGAGCAACTCCAACGGTTTATGAAATTTTTTCCTGCATGTTTAGATTTTTTCACAAATAACAAACTCTTTTTTTTGGGTAAAAACCACAAGAAAAAGCAAAAAGTTGTTATCAATAACCTCACTTCTTATTTTATTTTTATTTTCTTAAAATATTCAATTAGTTATTAATTTTTTTTAAAAAAAAACTTGATATAAATTTGGCTAACCATAGAATCTAGTCTAAAGATTTAGGTTCGGGTCAGACATTGTTCCAGGAGCAAATTTTTTAAAAAAAATAAATTTTAGACAATTAAGAACAATTTTTTAGTAATTTTTCTTTATTTCAAACAATAGAATGAAATTTTTTATAAATTTTCTTGAAATTTTTCGTGTTAACCATATACATATATTTTCTTTCAATTATCTTTTCCTTCTTGGTAACCAAATGAACCATATGGATACTGAGACATGAAAACTGAAATTTTGTGGAAATACAGTTAGCTCCTACTATAAAGACCCATGTGGAAGAGAAGGTTGGAAAGGCGGTTCAAAAGCATAGCCATTTAGTGCGGGAAGTCGATGTTAGATTGTCAGTTCGAGGTGGGGAGTTTGGGAAAGGCCCCAAGATTCGGAGATGTGAGGTATGTGCACCACCACTTTGTAACCCGAAACCTTATATAATCCTGTGTCAATGTGATTTTTTGCTTCGGGTTGTCTAGGTTTTTTTTTTTTGTGGTTTTCCTTCCTTTAGGTGACTTTGTTTACGAAGAAACATGGAGTGATTCGAGCTGAGGAAGATGGAGAGACGCTATATGAAAGTATAGATTTGGTGTCATCAATTATACAGAGGAAGTTGAGGAAAATTAAGGAGAAGGATTCGGACCATGGTCGGCACATGAAGGGATTTGATAGACTCAAGGTGAGGGACCCTGGGGTACTAGTCGCAGAAAAGGTTACAGAGCCAGATGAAGATGAAAAAGATTTCATGGCTGAGGTAGGTTGTCTCTTCGCTTCAACTTCCTTTCAATTGATTGTGTTTGTTTTGTTGGTTTATGTACTGCACTTTATGTTTTCCAGTGGAAATATGTTGCTACTTTTCATGATTCTTATACTTCGAGGTTGCCTTATGCCACCAAAGATGTTTGTCTTCCATCACGTGAGTAACACTTTCATATTCCACCATTCAAGTGTATAGGCCATACTATTGTTTCTATTAATCCAGAGCAACTCACCCAACCTTAGCGGTGAATTGAGACAATCTCAAATTTTTTTCCTTTCGTTCTCGGTTCAAAATTGAATAGCATTTAGTTGGAAAACAACTCTGAGTTCCCTATTGTAATTTACATAGATCCAAACCAATATATTTTCTATTCCAGAAGAGGCCGCAGCTCTCTTGTCTTTTAGACTGGTGTATTCTTTTCCAGCAAAGAAATCTAATGGACGGACAGAGTCCAGATGACTAGCTAGCCGAGTTTACAGTTCTAGTCTAAATTATCAACCTAGTCATTGTAATAGGTACAAACTTCAGGACCTCAAGAATGTCAACTATTCTTGGATTTTCCTCAAACACATGTAAACACAGCTGCATTCTCCACCAGATTGCTCATGGCTCACCCTATGAACTGATTATCAGGTGGTTCGCACAAAATACTTTGACATGCCACCTTTGACGGTCACTGAAGCAATTGACCAGCTGGAAAATGTCGATCATGACTTCTATGGATTTCGAAATGAAGAAACTGGTAAGCTGATATGGCAGGACTGGTTTTTTTTTTTTTTTTGCCTTTGATATCTGTTCCCTAATGATGCCATTTTGTTAAGTAAACCTGCCCCCTGGCACAGGTGAGATTAATATACTGTACAAAAGAGAAGCTGGAGGTTATGGGCTTATTATCCCCAAGGAAAATGGTAAAGATTAGAAATTGGAGCCTGTAGTGGTGGAACCAGCCAGTGAACCATCCTTTGCGGAATAGATGCATTTGGTGTAGGATGACAAAACGAAGGCTACGATATACTCAGTGGTTTTGAGGGGTATTTTCCACAAGAATGATTTTGTGGCACACTGGAGTAGCTATGATTTCAGTTTGTATGTAGATTTGTAATGGAGCCAAGATCCAATTTAGGGAATACAGACCTTTAAATGTGCAAGGAAGTTTGTTTGGCACATGACTGCCCCAGAAATAGGGACCCAAAATTTGTATATTCATCACTGAATGCAATTACAAGTAAACAATATTATATCTAGAACAATGCAATGCGTACTAATCATTTATCAAATTTTGTATCTCAAATCAATATAGATGGTTGAATTAGTGGGATCCACTAACTTTTACCAAACATTCAATGCACATGATTTTGACACATTATTTAGAATATAACATTTGGTAAACAAATTTAGGACGCATAGTTTTATTCTTATATCTACTTATCCAAATTAGTTTTTCTCCTCTAAAATTAATAACACTGCTCAACTTGTTACAAGCCTCTTGGGTTTCTGTCAAGATGTCATACATTTGTGGAAAGGGCAATTGTATAGTTGGAGCCAATATGATAAAAATCTAACAAAAGCCGATAGAAGACTCTGCCTGCCATTAGTTGCATAGTAGGTTTTGCTGCAGATGCTGGTTGCTTCCACTTCAGAATAGCATACTTAATCAAGCCTTGAGAAGTTTTTGAGTTGCCTCCAGACAGCTTTTACCAATGCTTGCCCCATTTTTCTTACTTGTAGGAATGCTTTTAACAAGTACAACAGATGAGCCTTCCTTTTTCAACTTGCTGGGAAGCCTGCAAGACATTTTATTAGGTGAATATATTCAACTGAATAATGGAAGCCAAAAGTGTAAAAAGGAAAAAAACACACAAAAAAAAAAGGCACATTCTTACAAGCGCACTTGCCTCTTTGTAGGAACTTGGGGAAGAATAGCCACTGTCTCTTTACAGCCTTCTTCCACCTCGTCACTCTGATGATGGACCTGCATAAGGTAAGAAAAACCATAAGATGTTTGAGCACTGGAGAGGAAACCATGTACAGAATCTAGGCTCACATGATCATGTGAAAACTCCTTCACAGCTGAAATTCTCTACATTTCACAGCACACCCATCCAAGTAAAAAGGACGCTACCTTCACGCCAAAACTATAACAGTCCTGTTCCTTTTCCATTCTACATTAACTAACTGCAGCAATCCCTCCAAATGTGGCATGATGTTCTATATAGCTTTCCAATCAGAAAGGCCCTAATCAAAGATGCAAAAAATTCTGGAGAATATCCCACCGACATAACAGATGTACAAGTTGTGATACGACATATTTTAGCATGATAAAATACTGATTACTGTTTGCCATTTTGAGAGATGGGTGCCCAATACATGAAGACGAAGGAACTAAATAAATTCACAAGGTAATAGTATGACTGAAAGTATGCATCAAGTGTAGTTACTCTTAAAACTAATTTGATGATAAATAAAAGAGGACACCAGCAATAATATGAAGATAGAAATCTTGATTTAATGCAGGCTCTAATATCCATAAAAAATGCAAGTAGAAAGAATAGAAAAAGAAAATGATGACTCAAAATTAGCAAACAACAACATAATTGGATTGCATTCAGCCACCAAACTTTCAGATATATAGCATTGAAAACTTTATTCCTAGGAGCTGAAACTAAGATGACAGAGAAAAAGATGATGTCCTCATCAGTTGTCACCATTTATAGTTATAGCCATAGAGCATTCTTGACGGGGATAAATCAGACATCCATTTGTAAGCAATTAATGTATATGCCCATCCTCAAGCTCAAGAAGGCAACTTAAACACCAATTCAGCTCCTATATATGAAGGTGCATACCATCATCCCCTTTGCAACATAACTTGACATCAGTTATGGACTTGCTATCTGAAGTAAATTTAATATTTTAGACTGTTGTCAAAACCACCAACAAGTAATGGAGGGAAGCAAACTTTTTCAAACATTCAATATTACAAAACACAAGGGGAGACTTGGTATCAGAGCAATGAGCTTAAAATGTCAAAGAATGATCGCCAGAAGAACTGCATACAAGTACCAGAGGAGCTTGAGTTCAACAATCATATTCCATATAAAGAAACTATATAACCATTTTTCGGAGTTAAACCATAAACCCATTGCATACGAAACTCAGAAGTAACATTTGCAACGAAAAACTTACTTCATTTGGCGGCATTGGACCCTCCTCTCCATAATTTCCTTCCATGGAAGAAGAACACTGCCCAACAGAAACCTTTGCTTTCTTCTCTTCAGCACAATCATCCAATACATTCGCCTTCCTCTTCTTCTTCCCCAAATTAATCGCTTTACTCTTCTTATCACGAACTTTCCACACATTCCTATTTCTGAACAACAACTTCTCAAATTTCCACGACGGGCAGCTAGTGTCTATCACCGTAACCTCAGTCTTCGAAAACTTGGATAGATCTGCATGACACTTCTCTTCCTCCTCGCCAACATTACCGTATTCTTCTTCTTCTTCTTCTTCTTCTTCCGTTGACTTCATGTGATCGGTCGCTCCATTTATCTCCACACGACTATTATCACCACTGGACGGTAACGTGGGCGAATTATCTTCCTCTCTCCGAAAATCGTCTTGGCACGTATTCTCGTCCGTATTCGTAGACGTTGAAGCAACACAAATTCTAGGGTTTGGCTGTTTCCGAAAACTCTTTTTCCTGTTAATTCTCGGAAAATTATCTACGTCTCCCATTACAAAAAGCTCAGCGAGGACATTGTTTAATACACTAACCAACTCTTTGCTCTCATTTCGGTTAGAAGTCTCCGGCGTTCGACTGCGATCCAAAACAGGTAGTTTGTCGAGCTGAGAAGATGAATTGAGGTTTAATTTTGGACCAATGTTGTTTGTGTTTGAGTCCGCCGCTTCTGTATCTGAAGAGTTGGAGACGTTAGGGTTGTGGTGATTTAGAAATTGTCCGAGATCGAGGTCGTCGTCGGCCGGGAAGCCTTTGGATGATCGAAGCCGATCGAGCCATTTGGAACCGCATTTGCCAGTCGAGATTGAACAGAGCATCTTTCGAGGCGTCAAAATTAACGATCGAAGCGGTTTGAAGATTGGAGAATTTGTTACAGAAATGTGGAGATTGGTCGATGAATTCGAGTTTGAGAGCTGGCTAGGGTTTGAGAGTGCACATTTCTTTGCTCATACAGAGCTGGATCTGCTGTACCTACGATACGCATGGGTGTTTTGCTGTCGGTCTGTGTGTCGGTTGTGTCATAAGTCATTTATTAATTCATGGGTAAGGGTAAAAACAAATCGTACAATTTCGAGGTCATGTTTGTATTTTAAGAGACAATTACGCCTAAATTTTTTATGGTTTGTCTTTTAATCACCCAGACTGCATTATATTTAAAATATTACACACAGATTTCTTGAAGTTTGTACGGATTTAATACTTAGACCCCTGTTATAAATATCCCTAAAGTTTGTGGGTACGTAATATTTAGACCTTTTAAGTATAAAATATTATATTTAGACAAAAAATATTTCAATCAAATATAAAATATTTTAAATTTTATAACTAAAATTTATGTTCTATTGTATCATTTATTGAAATAAAATTAAAAATAAAAATTCAATTTTTTCTTAAAAAATTATAATTAATATATAATTATATTGTCTGTTAGAATTTAATTTAATCGTTTAAACGACCAAATTAAAATATCAAACTACCCCCATTAAAATTAAAAGATATTGTGTCAATTACAATTTGATTTATTATTTAATTTTGTTAGTTTTGTTCTAATAGACAATATAAATATATACTAATTATATTTTTTTAAAATAAATTTTTATTTTTGATTTTATTTTAATAAATAGCATAATAAAACATGAACTTTGGATGTAAAATTCATATTATATTATAAATGACTTAGACTCATTGTTTGATTTTTTAGTTTTATTCCAATAGATAGTATAATTGTATACTAATTACGATTTTTTTAAGAAAAAATTAAATTTTTATTTTTATTTTTATTTCAATAAATGATATAATAGAATATGAATTTTAGTTATAAAATATTTGATATTTGATATTTGATTGGAATATTTTTTATCTAACTATAATATTTTAAACTTAAAGGGTCTAAGTATTATATACCCACAAACTTTAGGGGAGTCTAATTATAATTTATTAAATGATATATTTATAACAGGGGTCTAAATGTTACGCGCATACAAATTTCAGGAGGTCTGTGTGTAATATTTTAAATATCAAGGAATCTAAGTGATTAAGTGATAAACTTCAAAGGGTCTAACTGTAATTCTCCCTTATTTTAATTGATTTTATTTATATTAATTTATTGAAAAAATTTGAGTCACACTCCTCATAATTTATTATATCTTTAAGGGCATCACTTCTATTATCAAAATTATCACTACACCTTTTATAGTTTATATTTAAAAATCACTAACACCCCTACCATTAAACTACTATTTCTAACAAAAAAAAATTATCTAAAATATCAAAAATACCCCTACATAAATCTCAAGTAATTTTCTACATAAAATTTTATTAAAATTTTAACCGATTAAAATTTATTTTTTTCCATATTAATATTTGAACCAATTAAAATTCGATTGAAGTTGATTAAATTTAATTTTTTTAACGTATTAAAATTTATTTTTTACAAATTAAAATTTGAATCGATTTAAACTCTACCTGATTTGTTAGCGCCGATTAAATTTCGCTTTTGAGTCAATTAAAATTTATATTTTTTTACTTATTAAAATTCGTGTCAATTAAAATTTATATTTTTTTATGTATTAAAATTTGGATTGATTAAAATTCAATGCGAGTTGATTAAAAATAATTTTTAATTAACTCAAATTTTAATATGTAAAAAATATAAATTTTAATCATCTCAAATTTTAATATGTAAAAAAATAAATTTTAATTAACCCAAATTTAAAAATTTAAAAAAAATTAAAAAATAAAGGAGGTCTCATTAAAAATATATTTATCTAGAGGGAAGTGAACCACCATCACTACCATCACCACAACTGCTGTCGTCATCTTACCACAACCACCCCTCTCACCTTCCCATCACCACCCCCATCCCCACCCCCTCCACAATCATCACCACTTCCATTGCCACCACCTTTTCACCAACAGTCACTATCATCGCCCCACCATCACCACTCCACGCCATTACCCTCTCCCCAACAACCACCATCCTCATTACCATCACCACTACTATCACTATCGCAACCTTACTATCATCGTCATTGTCCCACTATCACTCCTACCATCACAAACCCTGCCGCCACATTATCACCATTGACAGTGTCCCACCATCACTCTCATTGTTGCCACCCACGATTGCCACCATCACCAACGGTCGTTGTCACGTACCACAATCATCACCGTCTCTCACGACAATCACCACTACCACTACTCACCCCTATCACAACAGGTGCATAAATTCCTTTCTCTCTATTCTATTTTTGTAATTTGATTTTGGGTGTGAATATAAATATATTTATCATTGACTATTTTTTTTTTAACTCCGTACTTTTAGACACAAGAAATAACTAGTTTTAAAATGTATGACTTAAAAAAGATTCAATTTTTTTAATTTTGCATCTTATTAATAAATTATCTCATTAATGATGTTGTGTCAAGTTTATTTATTTATAAAAATAGATGACTTAAAAAAAATTAAACTCTTTAATTTTATTTTGTATTCTTATCGTATTAATAAATTGTCTCATATTCTAACATCTTTAACGTGGTGTTGTCTTGCATGGACTACAAATTAGAGGTAACATTCTAAAGAAAATACACAGTTGGGAAAATATTCACTTAACTGAAAAAGTGGTTCTTGTAGTTGTTGAAATAGTCAAATTTGGCTAAATCATAGAGTACGTTATTATTTATTTGTCAATATTTTTATGTGGTATTAATGTTATTCTAAAATTTAGATTTTATCTAATATTTTTATTCTTAAATTCTTTAATAAATCATTCATTATTAATAAGTGAAAGACTCGAATGAATTTCACTTAATTTCTCTATTTTTCCTTCTATCCCTAACCACCATTTTTTTTCTTCTTTTAGCGACAAAGGATGATAAAATTTAAACTATTATATTACGGGGCATTATGAATTTTTTTCTTCTTTTAGCGTCAAAAGATAATAAAATTCAAACTACTATATTGATAATGCACAAATGTATTTAATACAAAATCAATCAAAAATGTGATGAGGTATGCTTTACACAATCAAACATAAAGATTAGGTGATTCGGTCTAAGTGACCTACTCCACAAGGAAAAGCTATGGTGGCCAAAGAGTTTTATTACTCAAGGTGTATAGATGTGTAGAGTGTGGAGAATTGTGTGATGCCCCCATGTGTTGGTGGCAAAGATTACAATTTATTGGTGAGTAGCATTTCACAATGGCTTCGAGGGAGTCTTGATTGAGTCGCCATAACGGGGAGTAAGGTGGTTCCTTGAAATCGGCGTCATTCTCATAACGGGCGAGATGATTGGTAACGTGCACCTAGATGACTGCGATTCACGATTTCCTTCCTAAGATGGGGATCCCCACGTGTGCTAGTGATAAACTGGTCTTTCAAGGCAATGTGTTTGGCCCAATTAAAATTATGATAAGATTTTGTTGGCATATATCTGTGACTTGGGTCTAACTTTGATTTGTAATTTAGACTTAGTCTACATCTGCGATCTGGGCCTAGTCCGAACTGGATCCATCAATATTACGAAACATCACGAGTCATGACCATGAATTGGAGAGTAAATAAAAAAAAAAATTTGTACCTTTTTTTTAACACTAAAAAAATTGTACTTAATCAGAAAATTATATTCATGTAAGTGTTAAGTGGTCTTGACACAATTATATTGAATTGTATACTTTTTTAATGATATTGTTTATATGTTAGAAACACAAGTTCCTATCAGTTTTAAAGTGGATAATGTTCTTATTTGTGTTTGAAAGAATGTCCTCTAGTTTATTTTTTATTAGAGGAAGACTGCAATTTCAGCTTCCTCAATCATGTTTGATTCATGGCACACATTACAAAACAGTTGCAGTAGTCCATTTATTAAATGGTGAATGCTAGGATATTGCAAAACAAATTCAGATTTTTTAGGATTTTTGTGGGTACGTTTCATTTTCTAAAGTTTTTATCATTCATTCTAACATTCTATGATGGGCCTTAAATTAACAGAATCGGTTGCAAACTCTCCAAAATTATAACAAAAATCATAAAAGTTGCAAAATAATTATAAAATTTATGATTTTTTTTATAAAAAAAATTGATTATAATATTTTAAAATTTATTTTATTTTTTTATTATAATTGAACTTCAAAAACTTATATAAGGATGCATAAAAATTATAAACTTTAATATCGTACCTCTTTCTATATCCAGCGAAATTCTTCTTAAATAATAAAGTATTACGGTTAATGATATCTGAATTAATTTATACGCATCTTGATTAATCTCTTTTTCAATCTGATTTAAAAAAATTCCATGACCAAAAATTCATAAAAAATTATTAAATTTTAAATTCAAAACGTTTGAATTTACGATTTCTCCTCCTCTTGTCCTGAACATTTTAAAACTTTATACTTATCCACTAATTTAGATATCAACCCCTATCCACAACAATTAGGGATGGATCGGAGAAACACGGATATTTGTTCAAACCCGTCCTGTTTGGACCGAAGATGAATTATACGTATTGAACGGTGGACGTATACGAAATATCCATATAAACTCGTGCGAAAATAAAGACGGGGATGAACTTACCCTTATTTCTGCTCTGTCCCCGTTACCCATTATATATATATATATGTATATTAGTGTTTAGTAGATATCATTCATTTGTGCTGGTGACAAGTTCAGACCACTAAAGTGTATCGAAATATTTTAATAAAGCATTCCTGAAGACCGAATGTTTGAAATAAACATTGTTCCAGCCTTCAACCTGCTGGACATTTGTGTTGTTCTGCAAATTACGTGGGCAAACAATTGGGGGGTCGTCAAATGCATTAACGATTATGTTTGGGCTTGCAGGGAGAAGTAGGATCAGGGACGAGAATTATAAATTTATTCGTAGACGGAGACGAGAATAAAAGCTATACTTGTTAACGGCGGTGAATTAAAAATGAACAAATTTTTTTAAATAGATACGGTGATAAAGAGTATACCTTTACCCCCACTTCGAGCCCCATCCCTAACAACAACAACAGCATAGCCTCTTTCCTATTGGACGGCTGATGTGGCAATTTGTCACCAATTCTCCACAGAACATGCTTTTTACGAGGTTCAATTCACACAGTAGACGTGGAAAACGAGACATAGTCACCGCGGCGACCAGAATGAACACTGGTCGTAGTTTAGAACGAGTTAATTACGACCACCGACTTAGGAAGTCTCGCCCTTTGACCTCCTCTGTCTCTCTCAAATCAGGAAGGAAAGCTGTATGATGACCATTCCACCATTTTTTTCACGCCACCCTCTGATTTTTAAAGGGTCTAGTGTTTTGATTTTCATCATCTGCCAAAATTGTACGTTTGTACTGGAGTTTTTGGATGAAGAATCCCCATAAAAAACGTCAAACTCAAGCTCACCCACAATCTCTACAAGCTTTCTTCCCACCTTTCCTGTCATCTTCTTCATCGTAGTACCCAATATTATTATCTCGTTCTGTCGTTTCTTTGTCTCTCTCCCTCGAATTCTACGCTATCCTTAAAAGGGGGTTTCCTCTGGGGTTTGACTTCTATTCTCATACAAAAAAAAAAATCTCTTCATTGCTTCTATATTTTATTATCTGAAACTGTTTGTGAGCTCATGGTCATGGCGTTAATTGACGCATTTTTTGAAATTCTAAAGAAACCCACTTTTGGGGAAGTACTTTTAGAGCTGATGATGTTCATGGGTCCAGTGTTGATTGCTGTTCTTCTTGGAATTATGGTTGGATGGGCTTGGAAACCCAGATGGGCTAGCTTAGGGAATTGCAAATTCGATTGTTCGACACCCTCCGCGCCGTCTGCTTTGCCATTGTCCCCAGTGAAGGTTTTTGGTTCAACCCATTCAAATTGCAGGTAAGTGTGAATTGAATTCAAAAGTTTGTCCTTAATCAATCGTTCAGCTTATATTTCTTTTTCGTTTTTATGTTTAAGAATTCAATACGATTTTTGTATTACCAAATTTGGAATTATGCACTTGAACTTGATTCATCAATGCCAAAAGATAGGTTGAATATGCTCTTAATTCTTACTATGCACTTGATTCTGACTATGGAGTATCATCTAGTTCTTCACAGCTGAACAATCAAGAGAGAGTTGTTGTCACGAAGGAGGATTTAGAACATCTATGCCATCTGGTGGAGAGGAAAGATGGTGGTCCTGCTTGGAAACATATGATGGACCGTTCAACATCCAATATGAGCTACCAAGCATGGCAAAGAGATCCCGAGGTAAACGTTGCGACTTGCAGGCCCTAATAATTGTCTTGGTTGGGAAACATTTGTCTTTGCTTGATCAATCAACTAATTTTGAAAAACAAATGAATCACGATGTTCTGCAAAATTGTATGTTTTCTATATCATTTGTTCTGATTGGGTTCCTTTGATGGATGTGTTAGAATGGTCCTCCTCAATACTGCATCAGAACTGTCTATGAGGATGCCACACCCGAATTGTTAAGGGACTTCTTCTGGGATGATGCGTTCCGACTGAAGTGGGATGACATGCTATTACGTGCTGCAACTGTAGAAGAATGCCCCACCACAGGAACCATGGTAGTGCATTGGGTTCGGAAGGTGAGGAAATTTTGCTCTGAGTTTTATGACTCTGATTGCCAACAGCCTAATACATGTTATTCCTGACGTTATTTGGCACAGTTTCCTTTTCTTTGTAGTGACAGGGAATACATCATAGGTCGTCGAATTTGGGAATCAGGAAGATCATATTACTGTGTGACAAAGGTATGTAAAGTGGGGTCTTTTTTCAACATTTTTGTTGTGTAAGAATGACATACTCAAGTAAGAGTGATTATACTTTTATTTGGGGCTGCTTGTCTTAATTGACTGAGCAAGCAAGGTGGCCAAAGTGGACATAGTATTTGAGGTTTTATGGGGAGAACGCTTATCTGCAAATATTAAATGAGATTTGTTCATCAGAAAATGTTGGACAGCTTAGACAAACTGGGTGATATACATGAGAAATGTTGTAATCTATGATCGGGAAGCTTGTGAATCATAATATTAGGAGGAGTGCTGGGGAAAACCTAGTAGTAGCCTTCGCCGTTAATGGTGAGCTAGAAGTATCACAATGAGAAGTAGCTCTGTATAATTGGAGGGATGCCCAATGATGTTTTACTTGCATTGAACTTTTGTAATAATTCCCGAACATATGTCAGGCAATGATTTCATGTACAAAATAATTTTACTCTATGCTCTTTTTGTTATTTATTGTGCTTGTCCAACTTATGCCTATTTGAGTTGCTTAAATTTGAAGTTCCCATCTTATTGTCCCTTTATATTTTTCAACAGGGTGTGCCCTGCCCTTCTATTCCAATACAAGACAAACCGAGACGCGTTGACTTGTACTATTCAAGTTGGTCTATTCAAGCAGGTGAGTTGAGGCTTTATTTTGTTATCCTATCCATTATTAACATAGTCTCTCTTCGATGCTGACAGATACATCTTTTGGGTTTAATTATTGGAATTTAGTGAAACTGGTTAGTTTTGCAAAGGGGCATAAATTTTGTTTCTATGCTTTGAAGTCTAACTTTTGTTGGAAAGATAATGTAGGGTGATTCAAGTCTTGCCACTATCTATCTGTATTGTATGTAGTCGTTCGTAAATTCCTAGGCTGAAGTTTCAATGACTGAGGCTCTTCTTTGGTGTGCATGTAATAGTGGAATCCAGAAAAGGGGATGGCCAACTGACAGCGTGTGAGGTGACACTCTTCCATCATGAAGATATGGGCATCCCATGGGAAATTGCAAAGTTTGGAGTGAGGCAGGGGATGTGGGGAGCTGCCAAAAATATCGAGCGTGGCTTCCGTGCCTACCAGAAGGCAAGAGCATCTGATGTACCTCTCTCTCGGCCTGCATTTATGGCTCAGGTCAACACAAAAATTGATCCAAACTACCTGAAATTCGTGGAAGATGATGAAGATACATCTGAGCCTGAAATCATTGGTTCCCCTGTTAAGCCAATCGGCATGAACATACCTAAGCTCCTCGTTTTTGGTGGGGCTGTTGTTGTTGCTTGTAGTCTTGACCGGGGACTCTTGACTAAGGCACTTATATTCGGTGTTGCCAGAAGGTTTTCAAACATAGGTAGAAGAGCGTGCCCAAGGACATAAGGTCATTCATTTATACAATTTAGCCTTCTATTTTTTCTTGTTCCTCTTCATACCAGCTCATATGAGCTTTTGTCATTCACATCTCATGAAAGATGGGAGTTGTTATTTTATTTCTTATTTTTGTGTTTATATTCGTTGTATTTTCGAGTTTAAGCTTGCTACAGTTGGATATAAAATATGGCATTGTGCTGATTCACCAGAAGCGGTGAATTTTCCCTTGTTGCATACACTGGCTGTTATTTGCTGATTCTTTATTCAGTCTATAACTTTGTTTCTAGGAGCTTCATAAGGTATATATGCATCATAAAGAAACTAGCTAAGGATAAAATGCTGCCTTTTTCTCTATTTCTCTTGGATCTGAACTTTGAATCCTGCTAACAGATGACAATTGGAAATTTGCAAAGGTCCAACTTTCTTAAGAGGGTTTTTCAGAAATCACCTGAACTGGTGGTCTAGTGGTAAATCGTACCTATTTAGGATTGTCCTTGACTCTCATGTGGTTATCAAGTAGGATTCGATTCACAGGAGCAATATGGTTTGTTGCTTGGCTTTGGTGGTGCTGTGGTGATGAGCTGCCCTTCTGGGTTAGTAGCTATGGCTCAAATGGGACATTTCACAGTGAGGGGATTCTCATGGTCACGCGCCAAAGTTACTATTTACTGGCTGCCCTTCCCCTCTTTTTAACCAGCAAAAAAAAAAAAACAGGTTTTCGGAAACATTGTCTGTTCAATAATGGCATAATGATACATGTTTGAGAAAAAAAAAATGTGATAGCAATAGTAAATAGTAAGTTAACAAAATAAAGACTCCAATCTTTTGTAGAGATTTTTTTTTGGTTCATGGAATAAGGTCTTTCTGCTGTCACCAGCCTTTAATATCCTTCCATCGCATGGGAGGTTCAAGCTAACCAGGCACACAGAAGCCGGTACTAATGACCCACCAGGGTTTCAAAACAGTGCAACCCGTCAAACTTTGGTGCTAATTTTGGCATCTGAGTGCTCTTGAAGCCCTCTTCCTTCACTTTAGCCACCAAATTTTCCATAGATGGCTGTATTCCACCTCCAAGTTCCTGAAAATCAAGAAACAAATAAGCTTATCTATTCTATAAAGAAACTACCGACGTAAATCTCTCCAAATATGGACTATACATAATAACAAAAGGGTGGTAAAGTGCACGGGACTCTCACGAGTGCAACCTTGGGGAGGATTAGATGACTATACATAATGAAATTAGAAAAAAGAAACCCGAAAAAGGAAATTGAAAGACATACATATACCTTGTTGCCGTAACGGTATCTGTCAAAGAAATAAAGCCCAATTGCAGCAGCAACTGCAGGAGCTGTCATGTAAAGACAAGTCATAGCCATGGCTTATAGTTGTTAGAACCGAGCCTGTCTTCTTATTGCTAAGAAAGAGAAAGGGCAGCCTAATCCTTATATGTGAAATATCTTTAGATATAAAGGTAAAAAAGAAAGAAAGGCAAAGGAATGTGAGATTTCTTTGTGGTGAAGATAAGTAAAGAATGATGTGAAAAGAAAGAAAGCCAGGAAGGCAGGCAAAAGATTAGAAGACCCTTATTCAAATAGGAAAATGTGAATATTTGAATGGGTACATATGGGGTGGGGGGATTCCCATACATGGGAAATACCATGTTACCCAAAAAAAATATTTATAGTGTCGTATCAAAAGTTATTATAGAATAAAGATGAAGTTATGATTCAATATGAAACGACAACATAAGATTATTTAAAAATGATCTTAAAAATATTAGTATCACAAGCAAATTAAACTTTTGGGTTTGTAACTTTCCGTAATCTCACAAGATTAAGTAGTAACATCACTCTTATTTTATCATAACTTTAAGCATGATACCAAACACGAAACTATAGCCATTTCTGTATTTTTCATATTAGGCTTCTGTTGACCTACTACCATGCACCAACTATGAAGAGTTGTTTAATATTGGACAGAAGAGTGGATGATCATTCCACTTAGGAGGAGAGAGGTGCTATGTTTGGTTGGCTTTAACAAGGAATAGATAACCCTATCTATTTCCATTAAAATAAGCTTTGTAGAATGAAAATCAACCACGTTACTTCAAGTGCGCCAACTGTAAGCACTGTGCTGATCTTTTATCTCCCAAGGACCCTTTAAAGCAACTTGCAGGTCACCCACCATTCTCCATAGCTTTACATGGCTCGGTTCGGTTCATATCTTCGGACCTAATTTGGAGAAGGAATGCAATTAAAATTTAATATATTAATCTAATTTACTATAGTTATTGAATTAATCGTGTGTTTTATCAAACATTAGAACTTGATGTTAATCCAATAAATACAATGAAACAACGTCATTAAGTCAACAATTTAGATCAAATTTTTATATCTCAATAATATTACTTAGTGACCTAATGAATTGGAACCGTTAGATTAAAAGTTGGTTTTTTTCAACTCGCAATTTATCTAACTAAGTATAATAAATTAAGTAATCAAATTACGCCTGTATAGCTAGCATTGCTTAAATCCTTATCCCACAGGTGACTCATGAGACTCAATTGCTCTCCATTTCCCACCCCATAAACTAGTTTTTTGATATAGTTATAGAATATAACGGGGCCCGAATTGACATTTGTATCAGGTCTCAACACGTGGACACAAATAGTAAAGCACTGAGACATTGAATCGGTCCTTAGGTCATGATTCAAGGACATTGAATCAGTCCCTAAGTCATGATTCAAGGAGATTCTCGAAGTTGAATAAAAGAGATCCACGGGGTCATTGCATATTGATATGGCTCCACCATAACGTGATGTATCAAAGAAACGATTACACACAGTAGCCAGTCATATTAAGATTGCACAGCAACCACCCCCATTAGATCCAGATAAAGGCATGGTCTTGATTCACGCGGATCTCTTTATGGATAGTTTATTTAATGATCGAAAACAGAGTAATGAGTATCCGGTGTAACTCAATAATTAATTTACAAATATCATTAAAAGTCGAGGGAACATGCATTGTGTGTTCGGCACCCCAAGTTGGCTAAACATTATGACATCAAATCCCAAGTTAATGCCGACCTTCCACAGGGCCTAGAAATTATACGGCTTGACGAAGGTATAACTGATTAATGAGTAAGCCTATGAAGTTCCCCTCAGCCAGCTTGATGAGAAGCCTACACCACTACATCACCCTATATAAATGTCACATTGAATGGGACTTCAGCTATACATTCGTGAGCAATCAAATAAAGTAGAGGAGTTTTATCCTACTTTTGGGTTCCTACTGATTTATATTTGTCTTAAAGGATAAGTGGAACACGTCTTCAACCCTCTTTCTAATTCAATTCTTTGTTATAGGAATCATTCATTTAATACTGACCGTGGATCAACTATCTCAATCTACCGCAAGAATTTTCCCGTGCAGAATAATTTTTTTAAGAAAAGTGACCAAGTGTGTCACGCAGCCCGTTTGCGTGAGTGCCATGCTCCTCCACTTTTCATATGAAAATCTAAACCAAAGTCCAATTCTTTGTCTTGCGCACATGCATAAAATAAAATAGAAGAAGAAACAAACTAGAAATTTCTTAAACAAACGGCAATCAAGAAAGACGATTGATTTAATTCAAGAATAAAGAATTTTAGTTTCATTGTATTAAACAATTTACAACAAATAATCCACAGACAAGGAATTAATTAAAATCAGCATCTCAGTATAGGACGATGGTCTCAAAACAGTGCACGCCGTCCAGCTCCGGCGCGAACCTTGGCCTCCTCTGTCGCCGTTGATTGCTTGACTTCTCACCATCCGACGGCGGTTTAGACGGAATACCCTCCTTAACCTTCTTCATACCTTCGATTGACAACGAATCCTCCTTGCGATCCGTTACGACGAACGTTTTTTCTTTTCCCTCTTGACCGGAAGCCCAAGAAAAGCCGACCTTCTGACCAAACGACTCGGCACAGAAGGCATCAAAAGAACTGAACATCGACATCAACATAATTGATTTCTTTCTCTCTCTGTTTCCCTCGGTCACAATCTCAAAAATAGAGCTATCTGATCGACGATGAATGAATCCCTAAAAAACCTTCAAGAACTGCTCTGCTATGAAAGAATCGGAAAGAGTAATTGAAACCTTGAAGAAAACGAAGAGTGGATGCGATGTATATATAGAGGGGAAGCAAAGAGGAGAGAAAGTATTCTACTTTTTGGCTGGCGGGTCGGCGAAAAAACGTGGAAGAAGATTTTAGCGTGTGGCGGCCAAGTTTTCTAGACGTAACTGGAAGTTACCTAATTCCACCACGCAAGCAACGTGGGTACGTGTCTTGATATCTTTGGTCCACGTGTATTACGCGACACGTGTGCTGGCTTTGAAGACTCCGGTCAGCAGGATGAGTTGGTCTTCCTATGTGTTCTTGTGACTCGTTGAAACTTCGTAGCTGGTCCTTGGAAATTTAGGATGATGTAAGAAAAAGTCGGGTCAATGTAAAGTAGCGGGCTGTGTCCGCTTCTCAATAAAGATTATATTGATTATTATCATGTATTAAAAGTCTAAATCTCGTAAAATAATCCAACAATTACAAGTTTAAGAAATAAGTATGTAGGACAGTAGGAAATTATCCACGTAATTAATTTAAGCTCATTGAAATTTGGTTTTATTTAGAAAATAGGGTAAAATATATTTTTGGTATGTAATGTGTTTTGTGCCAGTTTAATTTTTAATCTTTTTATTATGTCAATTTAAATCTCACCACTCTTGAAGAATCACTTTGATTCCTCAAATTTATAACTTATATCACTTTGATCCTTCAACTTTAAAATTTTTGTCACTGTAATTTTTAAAGTTTTCAAAGAATGCACATCAAATATGATCACGAGGCACGTGACGATCTTTGTTAGTACTTCCACTTGCCCTTTTTCATTGAACTAAATTAACATAAATTGAGAAGTTGAAATACTAAATTAACCCAATTAAAAAATTGGGTTAATTAACCCAATCAAATATAGTATTCTAGTTGGTTTTGGTGTAGTTTATTTATTAAAAGTAGAATAAGATTAGTGTTATTAGTGTTTTAATAAGATTAAATCTCTTGTTTTTTATGAACACTTTGTGTATGAGATTATTTGATTTTTGATATTTTTTTTTAAAACCCACAAGATGCAATTGTAGACAATAATACACTTGGAGAACATTGTCGTAAATCATTAGCTCGGACATTAAAGTATCTCCAAAAACGTAAGTAAATGATACAAAAACTTCAAAATTTCGCTATTTTGTCTTAAAATCCTACTTAACATAATATTTTCAAAGCATGTAAAATAATATTTTTATGATATGTATAAATTCTTTATAATATTTTCTTTCTCTTCCTTTCTTTTCCTCCATTCTCTCTCTTTTGCCCATTCATTATTCTCCAAAAAAAATAATATAAAAGAAATAAAAATTAATACTTAAAAGAAATAATTAAAAATATAAACAATTTATTAGAGTATGTATTAAAAAACAAGTAATTAAAATAAAAAATTTATTTTTTTAATAATTAAACTAACTTTTATTATTAAAGATCGTCTTAGAGTGCTTGCAACTTTAGGCACCCCTTCTTTTGCAAAGATGACCCGAACGTACGTAAAAAAAGAAGCAATTGTCTTCCCTAAATTAGATTCTGGATCTTTGAACGTGGAGAACATGCATAATTTCATTCAATTCCAACTTTCAAAGTGCCACACCCTAATTGACTTGGGTACAAATAACCGGTCTTGATGGCACCTTGCACCAAGGCATGTCAGAAATTGAAATCAAGGTGATGCAGCTAAGTGGTTTGACAGATTAGGACGAACCAAGGCAGCATGAGACCACCCGGTTGAGCATGGCAGCATGGGTGGGCTCAATTGAAGCAATGTGGGTGCAGAGCTTCGGATTGCATGGCATGGGTTGAACCCAGCATGCACATTAGTTCGTGTAGCAAGGTTGACTGGTGAATGTGGGCACATGGCTGCTGAATGTGGGCACCTGATTGGCACATGGCTGCTCAATGCATGTGACCAGGAGGATGTGGGCAGTTATGATGCTGAGACTCAATCAAGACAGTTGCTGAGGCAGTTCTGGACGTCTCCAGTCTGAATCCAGTTTAGATGCATGCTGATGAAAGGGCAGTTCCACAGCAGTTACTTGAAGTGGTGGAACTGTCTGCCAGGTGTTGCACAGAGACCAAGTCTACTAGTCCAGTATGCTATGAAATAGCAAAAACGTGGGTAACTACCCCTTTGCAGATGGGGGTGTCATCTGCCTTTCTCTTGTATAAATAGAGGTGCTTGAGCATTCTGGAAGGAGATAGTGTTCTGGCTTTTGAGAGTCCTTATAAATTGTTGAGTTCAATATATAAGGTTTGGGAGTATTGTCCCAGTAGATTCGTGTGTGTCTTCTGTGTGGTTGAGTGTAGTTGGTTGTAATAGCAACGCCTTCACATATAGCCTCAAAAGAAAAACGAAAGTTACACTGTGACACAAAGCCACATGCAAACAATATTCGCTACAACAGTATCACTCACCATCGTTTACTATTCTTTGATGGTGATCAATTGACACGTGTCAACGTACCATGAACTCCAACTCTAAGAATAATTTTCAACATTTTTTCAAAAGTATTTTTAATGATAATAGAGTTGAGCTTAAATCTTAACAATTTTTTGAGGTCCGGAAATGAATTCTAATGTCTAAAAGGTCGTTATAGGAGTAAATATTTTTTTTGGGGTAAATAATGGAGAACTTAAGAGTAAATATTATGCATAACGTTGCACCATGAGAAAATATTTAATATAATGGTAATATCATATTATCATTAATGACATAGTATTACTAAATAATAATAAAATTTTAAATGGATAAGGTGAACCTATATATATATATATATATATATATAGATATAGATATATATAGAAGAAGAGTGAATAATTATTGATTTATATTGATAAGTAGTTATTGACTTGTGTGACGTTCGTTTTTCTATTTATTTATACATTATTAATTAGTGATGTCACATAATAATGTTGATGTAATATCAACATTGCAATGAATATTTTTTTCACATTAACATTTGTTATGTAATGTTATTGTCCAATATTAAATAAACAATGCACGGGACAAGGTGATTCTATTTTTTTTTTTACAATTATTACCTTACATAAAGAAGTGGTTATTTGAATGAGTGGGTAAATTATCACTGGACTGTTAGGTTATGTGGGTCCATATTACAGTTATGGTTTTTATGGAGTGACTAATCTGGCACAAAAAATTTTTTTTTTTTTTTTATTGAATAAGACCTAAAACAATTATAATATTATAGAAGGGTCTAAAATAAAAATATAATTTATCTCACCTTCTTGAATACCATATTCTCTTTCCCTCAATACTTGCCAATATCAAATCACATACACAATTAAAGTCGTACAACTCTCTCTACCTCCCTACCCATCTCTCTGCCTTTGAGGGCCTCGTGTATCTTCTTAAATGAGAGGTTAAGCTTTGACACAACCAACAAATTGTGACATGATGAGCATTAAGAGTGCACGTCACCAAACAACCTATCTACATGCAAAACTAAAACTGCCATTTTAGACATTCTCAAATAAGACCAAGATAGAGTTTATATCAAGTACCCCATCTCCTGTTCGAAATCCCAACCATTCTTCCACCCCCTCCTCAAAAGTAACTAAGACCAATTTAGTCTCCTTTCCATGCTCTCATTTAACAATTTTCATACACTCTTTTATATGATGAGCACCGTCCAATTTGACAGGCCAACCAAGACCCCCCTCTCCTCATCAATGATAAAAACAGCAAACAGCTCTTCAATCCAACCCAAAGTGCACTTAACAAAATAAACACAGAACGATCACAAACAACCATACAGTATTTCAAGTTTAAAACAACGGTGTGTGGCAAATAAAACAAAACAAATGTCAATAGTCGACAAGTTTTAATAGGATCCTCCATCCAACTCGATGGATATTACCTAGCTACGCCAAATTCTGAAGTTTCTACTTTAATTGACAAGTTTCACTCGGTAGTCCCACTCAGATGTCATAGATGCATATGCTCTGGAACTCTCCCATCCAAGCAGGCTACAAGAAGTCAACTCAGGTTGTGAAGGCATCAGTCACTACCTGACCGCACCTGGAATAAGGACCAAGCTTCAGGGGAATATTTATCTAAAACATGAAAAAGACACAACATATTAAACTACTAAAGTTATTCGAGTTATTATTGCTAAAAAATTCAATACCAACCATGAATTCCCTTTAAGAGTTAGACAAACCAATCTATAAATAGTCCTCAAATTTGATAATTTCAAGTGTTGTGCATGGCGAGTGTAGAATACACATGCAAAACAATATCCTCAACTTTTTAAACTAAATTCAAATTAATGCCTTACCTGGCGAGGAGATGCCGACCTTGACCTAGATCTAGGTCTGCAAATTAAGTAAACAAAAGCTGAAAAAACTATGAGAAAATATAAAGCATATACACAAAAGTACAACAATGCCCCAAATACCTGGACAACTTGACAGGAGAAGCAGACCTAGACTTTGATGCTGATCTGGAAACAGATCTTTCTGGTGATTTGCTGCAAAGAGGAACAGGAAATATCTGAGAGACCTGAAAATGTGTAAAATGGAACCAAGAAAACACACTGTCCATACGTTCTATTCTTTCTTGGGCTTCTGGTCCTACTTCTGCTTCTTGATGGACTGTCCTCGTATCTCCTTACCTACACCCATTGAAATACGATAATCTAACTTGTGCATCACTGACAAAGAGGCAGGAGAATGCAGGTGTTGAATTTGTGGATGTATTATGTTGGGGAATATATTAATAACACCCCTTGTAGATTGGCATAATTTAAGAGAAAACCTTTGGATTTTCTAAGTAATTACAGACAAACAAATTTGCAGGTTTTGCCAATATCCGATGGAACAGAAATTATACAATTAATCGCATTTTCGCATGTTCATACATACAAATATTATACATCCAACATCAACCAAATCTCTCCCTCTCTCTGCCCCTCTGTAACCATTGCACACCCACCGCTCACCCAACCCCCTCTCTCTCTGCTGCGAGCACAATCACCACTCTTGAGCACCACCAACACCAACCTCTCCCCATTTCTCTCTACACACCAACATTGCCACCACCCACGAGGCCACTCACCAATTGCATCTCTCAAGACCATAACTCATAATAGCAGTTACAAAATGAGTTGAAAAGTGGTGGTGGAGGCGGAGCTTGGCATTCTTGGACTCGTTTTTTCTGTTGATTTTGTGGTTGCCCTCCTTTTGCCATTGTAAGACGTGTAAGCAAGACGAAGAGAAACTTTCCGAAAAAAAAAGAAAGATGAAGAGAAACAAAACTAGATCAGAATTATGAGGTTTGAATGTTAAAATTGAGAGGAAATGTGTGAAGAATTGAAACTATCCAGTGGCAGTTGTAGGGGCTGTGGTGTTTGCGCGTTCAGTGTACAGTATTGGAGGGAAGTGGTGAAAATGGTTGATCTACATCTGAGTTGTAAGAGAGAGAGAGAGAGAGATTTTCTTTCTGTTTTGTTTCTGTATTGATTTTTCATGGAGAGCAAAATTGATATTACATGAGAATTATTTGACAACATCAGCAATATGAAAGCTTGTCAGTGACACCTTTAAAGGTGGGGATAATATGTGAAATGGACGTATAAGCTACAAGAGAGTGCAATGATATTTACCCCACACTTTTTTCTATGAACATAGTAAATATTTCTATGGCTGTAGCAATATGCAGAATATAAGGAAAAGAATCATTCCAAACAAAGTAATTCAATGGTTGTGAGGATACTTTTATATAATAAAAGATGTGCAAACAAAAAACAAGAAGGAAATCTACAAATTACTGTATGTTTAGATTTTAAAGGAAGACCCAAATGCAAGAAAAATAGCAAGGGATGAAAGATACCCGAATATAAGTTTTAGTCCAAGGATTTCTGAACTCACTATCATCTAGTTTCCGAATCTTCAATAACACAAAACACATCAGTTGACAAATTGGAGTAAACAACAAAGATGCAAAAACCCAAAAGAACAAATTATTAGAAAAAAGAGGTAATAACTTACAGCATATTTCATGTCTTCATGATTAGTATAATCAACCAGACCAAAGGTTCCTGACCAAAACACATGAAATTATGCGCCACAAAAAATTAATGAAATAATCATATTTGGGAAAAACCGAAAAATGTTGGGAACAGAACCAAAGTTTAAACAGATACAATCCCATTGACATCTATTATATACTGATTGCTTCATTAACACTAACACGAACAGCTGTCTAAATGGAACTTGTGAATACAGGAGAAAAATCATTCAAATTACAGCATCTTATCACTCTCACAAGCTTTGAAGAGTCAACTACATCAAGACTTTAAAAACCATAACCTTCAGTGTCATCTAGAACTTCCCTAAATGCCAAATTTGTGGTTCTTCAGCAAAAGCATTGATCCACGCTTCCAATTTAAGTCCCCCATTGACTCTTCCTTTCTTTAGCCTAGGAGGTTTTTCCAATTCCAATCTCACAGACCACAGTAAATTTAAAAGAGGTCCTTAGGAAGATCAACCCATGGGAAAATCAGTTCCGAAAGAACATCCCAAACAGTGAGGATCACCTGACAGGGCGAAAAGTTTTCATGATTGATCTAAAAAACTTGTAAATACACTGAAGCATTAGAATTGTGATAAACAATAGTTCAAGCTTGTGACATTTAAGATTGTAACTTTCAGATGTTATGTCGCTGAAAACTTGACAAATAAGAGATTCTGCAAGTTGTTCCCATATATCAGATATTGTCAAACAAAGAATAATTAGCATAGAAATGAAATCCAAAATCCTAACAACAGTGAAATCAATATGATATTTTCAAAACTCCTATAAAATATAAACCAAATGTTGGAAAGAGAAAATCCATTCTTATCATTTACTATGGTACCAAAGACATTTAGTAATGATTCAATAGGGCATACCATCACTGTCTCGGGAAACTTCAACGAAACACACATCACCAGCTTTTCGCATATGATCCTGAAAAAAAATTCCCCAAGAAGATTAGCCTAATGGCCATGCAAAAAACCAGAGAAAACAAGTCGTATTCTAAAGTGTAATATCTTTTTTGTAACCTTCAAATCTTGCCATGAAGCAGAAGATGGAAGCCCACGAACGATGACTGCATCCGCATAAAGAGAAACATTTAAGAAATCTAAAACAAATATAGAATAAACAGCACAGGGGGGTCGATTCCCCAGATGCACATTTAGTATCTTCACAAGCAAAAAAGAACAAAATAAAATAAGCAGCACTATGTTGGTGTACACACATCCAAGCAAACTATAATTTCAATATGGATTTATAACTTTAGCGGACCTCGATACTCAGAATGGCGAGAAATTCCAAAACGGCCTGCTCCTCCTCCTCCTCCTCCACCGCCACCACCACCACCACCACTACTATAACCACCACGACGATCACTTGAAGAAGATTGCCCTCTGCCACCATGTGCAAGCTCAACCTGCATTGAGGCGAATATGAGAGATAAATCAAAGAAAGCAAAAAAAAAAATGAATGCATGCATGTGAAAGTAGATCAAAATTCTTGCTACCCTCAATCGACAACCATCGAAGTTATAACCATCACGACCTCTGATTGCATCTTCTGCATCTCGAGCATTATCAAACTAGAGATTGCACAAATTCAAGAGAGTCATAAAGCCTGGAGATATTCTGATGTAACAAAGCCAAACCCAGGGTTCCGAAAACAAAATGAAAAACAAAAGACGAGGGAAAATACCTCCACAAAGCAGTAAGAAGGAGGACGAGGTGGAATCTTCAACTCAATATCCAATATACGACCATACTGCAAGACAGCAAACAACTGTTACAGCTTTGAGCTTTATCAGTTTATGCTAAGAATTTCTATCAAAACATAAGGACAAGTCAAATGTGTCGATTAAACACACCACCTTGAAACAAAAAACCAGCCTTAAAAAATGAGGCAACAGAATAATAAGGAATAGAAACCACATGTGCACATGCTTTGCAAGTGGTTGACTAGAGCCAAATCTAATTATGGTCAATTTTTATTCTTTATTTTTTGATAGGAAACAAAGATCTTGTATTAAGAAAGGTCAAAAAGTACATGATGACGCCAAGGCCGAAATCACGTTAGAGCAAACTTATCATTGCGTCAAGACCCATCCTAAAGCATAATTGTATTTCAAAGAAGAATAGGAATATATGCAAAATGTAAACTGACTAGTAGTATTCCATCAAATGAAGCGGGGTTAAGACTTTGTTCAATTCACAGCCCTCTTTTTGTTAGCTTTTGTTTTACATAAGTCCCCGTCATAAACAAGGTCATCATGCACCAAGATTGTGTTTGATTAACTCTTGCTGATTTACCACACAAATCAACATTAAGCTTTACCAATTAATGTGAAAGTACAGAGCACAATTTATGAATAAGTCAAGTCAAGAAAATGCTGCAAGTTTTGAATTGCCTACAAATTATACCTAAGGCATCCTTTATTAAATAAATTCTGTTAAGCAAAATCTTTAAGCTTCATTGTGGAGAGAGAAATGTATGTCCCCAATACAGCTAAACAATTATACTAAATTAGTTGCACGGCAGTGGGATGAATACTTTAATTCCAACTCCTCTTACATTATGGCCAAAGGTGCACCTTTCATTGGTTAATCATTACCTACATTCTTTCTTCTTGGTTCGATCAACAAGGAGGAATTTCAACACTATTTGCACCTTCAGGCAACTACTTGAATTGCCCAAGGCCATTGTCTCTCACTAACTACAGCAAAGACATGGCATCTCAAAAAAAGGGTTCGCTTCAATCACCAACGTTTCAACAGAAAAAAGGAATTTATGTAGCTGCGCAGCTACATAAAAATAAAGCTCAAGTATCTAAACAAACAATTAAATTGTCTATGGACAAACGGCACTGTTGGGTGTTTCCAAACAGCACACACATGCAAGTCAAACAACCGCTTGAACATGGTGAAGAGATGCATAAACACTAAAAAACTTAAATCACAAGAATGGAAATGGTGTTCCGTGTGGATACTTTGAACAAAATAACCATAGTTGACTCTGACAATCAATAAAAAAAATGCCAGATTGTACCGCAAATTGTGAAACAAGAAACAAAGAATAATCATTCTCATCCAGCAAAACAAAAGACACAATGGACCTATATTCAACACAAACCTTGTAGAAGAGATCTTCAACCTCCGATTCTCTTATATCTGCTGGCAGGTTTCCAACATAGATTGTGCGAGAAAAGCGTCCACTCATTTTTGGTTTCAGACAGAAGACTCAGTAAACACGCTTCACTGCAATGCTGCATACAGAAGTTAGAACCCATACGTATTATGAAAGAACAAACTAGCGTTGCTTGTTGAAAATGAGTAATAATATAGTAAACTAAAAATAGACTTTTCAAATCCATGTACTCAATTTTGATAATAACATAATTAAAGCAAAACAAAAACCACGAAGCAAACCAAGAGAGCAATCCTCGAGGTGAGCGGTGCTCCACAAGCTCCATTGCTCATATGCTCCAAGATGCTCCAAAGCTATAATTTATTTGTAATAAAATTTGGTCTCCTCATCCTCTCTAAATTTTTCGCAGATGAATAGATCTTCTGATTGAGCAAGAACATCCAATCCAATTATATACAAAAACTCACAACTCCACCCTGATTTCTCCCACTCCCCATATACATCCCTATGTATGATTCCAAAGCTCAAATTCGTCCAAGCGCTTGACATCTATCATAAACAAAGCATCCTTGTCATGAGATGGTGTAAGACTGCCACATATTTATGCATATTACCTTACTCAGATTTCGTTTAAGTGCACTGAAGAAATTACCCTGGAAAATATGAAATTTATCCCACCTGCTCTAATCCCACAACTCAAACTCAACAAATTTGTACCAGTTTCACCTCAGGCTTTCAGCGTTTAATCAAACGTAAATACATATAAAACATTGAAGCGTGAGGTGGGTGTAGGAGATATCTATGTATAGAATAGATGTGGACCATTAAAAGAAATAATATTATCCGAGATTTGCCTTTCAATCCTCTGTAAAATCCCACCAAATCCTGAGACTTCCCCGGTGTAAATCCTAAACATTACCGCACAACCCTCACCAAATCTAAGTCACAAAACAAATAGTACACAACTGATTTCGGAATATCCCAACATACAAACGTGATTAAAGAACATACCAGAGCTGAAAGAGTGCTCAACGAGTGGACTTAGCGAGTGATTTTGCAGTTCCTTGGACCGCAGAGGCCGATTCGTCAAGCTAGGGATTCTTTCTCTCTCCTTCCCCTTTAACAGAAAGCCATTGAAATTACGTCAAAGGTAATAATTGTGGTTACAGAGAAGAAAGAAACTATCAGAAGACTGAAATGGAGAGAAGGGACTCCGCGAGAGGGTTTACCTTTGCAATGGATTGGGGTGTACTGGAAATCGTTGAGCAGATCTATTTGCTTTGAAATTTCCTTCCTGCCTTCTTAAGTAAAACCTTACGGATTTAGGGCTTACGGACGGCATGGATCTGTTTTACTCTTCACGGCGTGATAACGTTTTGTTGCCGTCACTCGTATTTTTGTTATAGCAAATTTTGGCAATGACACACCATTGCAAATATTTATACTCCTAAACCAATGTTATTGTGAAGAAAAATGTTGTAATTGACGAATTTTGTAAGGTCATTAAGAATATTTTATCTCATTTAAATTTACGATCAATTAAATTTACGGTTAACAGACAAAGACTAAAGCAATATATGATGAAAAAACTCCAGCTCCATAATAAATGTACGAATTTTTTTTGAATCTGATCAAATTCAAGTGAGCTAAGTTGATTTAGATGCTTAGTTACCGCAATTTGATTTAACTTAAGTGATGAGTATTAATCCGTTGATGACTCATATGTTTTTTATGTCAAATATTTTTGAAACTTCAGGGGTTGATTTTTGAAAACAATTTTTTGCAAGTAAGTGATTGGATGGATTGATACAATACTTAAAAAGTTATTTTGAAGGATTATTTTTTTGGGTAAACTAGTAAATAGTGTACTCTATGTGCTCTTGAAACTTAGGAAATCAAGTAGGGGCTGAAAAACAATTTCAGCGCTCTCCAACGTTCAAGCGTTACCCTTCTGATTATTTTAATTTGACTTTTCTAGTGGCTGGTGTATGTGAAATTCAAAGAGGAGAGTAAAGGATCAAGGAAAAATTTCAAAAGAAGAAAAATGAGGATTCCACAACAACGAATTGTGGATCTCAATTCGTTGTTTTTTGAAGTTAATTGTCAAGATGTTTACGGTGGATTTTTGGAGTGAAAATTTAAGGGAATAAGCTTTTATCCGTCTATTAATTGAGGTATACAACTTTGAACTTGTGATCTTAGTTTAAAATTAATGGACTAGGTTAGGTAGGCTAGGATTGGCAGGCCGTGATTATTTGTGTTATGGGAGTTGTTGTCGTTGCATACCTATAGTATTTATTTATTCATTATGCATTATAAATGAATTTGTTGAATCCCATGTGTGTTGATTGAATGAACAAATTTGATTAAGATTTGGTTGATTAAATTTTTGTGAATTGTGTGAAATGAAATTTTCATAAAATAACACATGCACGTGCACTTGGTAGGTCAAAGGTCTACATCACTTAGGGATTTAATCATGTAATTGTATGAGTTATATTCTATTTGGGCATAATTTTGTATTAGAGGGCCTAGACAAATTCACCCTCCTCTAAGCTAAATTGTGTTGCCTCACCGTTCCAAGATCATTTTGTATTTTGCACTTTACGAGGGTTGTTTGGTAAGTGACTATGGAGAAAATAGTTCAATAGACTCCTAAAATCCTTGTTTGAATGGTTTTTTTAATCTCGACTCATAGCTGGATTGACACCTTAAACCCTTGAATGTGGGTTTCATCAAACCCATCGGGTGGGATCCGGTCAAGGCATACTCAAATTAGTGAGATAAATGTCATTTGTACCCCTGAGTTAAACAAACATAAATATGAATTAAATTAGACATTTATAGAACAATAATATGATGATAATAATGATACATCTGTAAGTCCTGCATATGTACATATTAGATACCAAACACAAGTATGAATTGAATTTATTAATGAATCTCATGAAAATAAAAGTAGAGGCTAGGTTTAGAAGAATTTGGAGAAACCAATCTAATCCCACCCTCAAAGATCATCCAAACAAGCCATCAGTAATATTTTGGTTAGAAAAATTTGATTAATATTCATTGCACCCCTTATGCAATGATAAAGTGCTCCATTAACAAGCATTAGGCTGTCTATTCTAATTCAAAGAGAGTCACTTTATGCCAATAAAGTACAAAATCTTATATGTTTTTTTTTTCTTATACGTTCAATCCATGTCTTTGAACACCTGAGTTAAAAAGGGCCAAACTAAACACCTATTCTACAATTAAAACCTCCTCCTCCTCCTCGCCTCGATCATTCATGCTATTGAAACATATGGATTTAATCTAATCTATTAATTTAATAATGTGATATCATTATAATTATTAAATTAATATTAAATTTTAATATTTAAAAGAACTTACTGTTAATAAAATAATTATAATAAATTAAATCAAACCCGGCATGATTGTTAATTCGCGTCCCTTTCTCGGTTGATCTAGTGGAGCAATGTTTTGCCTCGAAAAGCAACAGCAATTATTGTCGACGTGGCAAAAACAAGACCATTAGAAGCGTTCTAGGGTCTTCAAGTGATCCACTAGATCAAAGGCTGAAATGAAGCAGTTGTTGAATCATGTGCAGGTTAGGTGGGGTCCAGAGGAGAGAAAAAGTTTACCGTTCACCTTGATTTTTACTTTGATTTGTCAAGAATTAGGTTCACCCAAAGCCCGGTGGTCCATTAAACAAGTGTTTGCGGTGATTCTTTGTATTTGCACCATTCTTTTGGTCGATGGAATAAATAGAAATTGGGCTGGTAAAAGAGGTACTCCAATTGGTAATATGGAATATGGATGAGTTATAAATTTAAATAATTTGAATTTGAATTTGAATTTTAACAATCTTTTAGTATTAGGTCATAAGAAAATTATTTCTTATAAATATTTTAGTTCAGGTATGAATGACTTATTTTTGACCAAATTAAATAGATAATTAATCAAGGTGTGTATAGACTGATCCGAATAATCTTAAATATTGAACTAAAAAAAAGAAGAAATGATTCAAGTGAAATAAATAAAAAGTGGGCGTTAGAATTCAAATTCATCATTGATAGGATCGAATACAATTCTAAATTCTTACCACTAACAATTAAATTAATTATTTATTTATTTATTTCTCATTTTGATAAAAAAAAGCAGGTCATTGACGTCATAATTAAAAAATTCATAAAAAATAAATTTATTATAAATTAATTCTAAAAAAATTATTAATTTTTAAATTTAAAATATTTAAATTTACAATGTATACGAATCTATTATGAGTTATCTCTTATCAAGTCGAAGTGTACTTAACAAAACATAGGCCACAAGTAGCACATCACACGTTGAAATCAAGGAATATTAAAAAGGGGTAGCTTGAAATAATGATGAGGAATCTTTTGACATTAATCCAAATATTTTATTCTTATAATTTGTGATTGGATGTATGCTCACAGTATAATTTTTTTTTGACCAACAAGAACAAACTCATGTGACCCATTGGGTTACTAATTATAATTCTTATTTGAAGACACGATAAAATATAAAATTTGAACGTCTAAAAAATTGATTTTACTATATTAAATTTTTTTAAAATATATTAATTATAAATTAATTAAATATTACATAATTAAATATATAATAAAAATGAGTTGTGTGATATTTTTAGGGAGAAAATATATAAATAATTAAATATGTGATATAAATGAATTATGTGACTTGACATTTGAGTCTAACAAAAGGATGATGGGTGAGGAAAATTATTTGTGTCGATTTTAAGGGAAAAAATATGACTAAAATAAAATTCAAACACACTCTTATTTTATTATATAGATTGTTGTTTGCTATCAAAACTTTCCACTTTGTTAATTTTTCCTTGTTAAAAATTAATGGCGAAAACTTAAAACGAAGGGACCGATAAGATAGATTTTTAATAGAAAATTTACATAAAAAAAGAATATATATTTTCACGTGGTTGCGAGATTCAAAAGCAAAATTATTAGTGGTTAAAATTGTGTATTATAAATTTTATGCGTAGTTCAAGTAGTAACATAGACAAACTATAAACTCAGATTTCTTGAGTTCGCATCTTGACAATTTATTAAGTCATGTCATGAAGAATTTATCTATCATGAATACCTTAGTTTTATCGTGGATGGTATACCTTTAATTGAATTAGGGAGAAAATTAATCGAGGTGCACGTAACCTGATTCGGACACCCTAGATTATTAAAAAAATAAATAAATTTGTGCATTCATTACATATTGTTTGAGATTACCTAACTCACGTAATTCTTATTTTAAGGCAGCATTATTGGCATTTACTTATTTAATTGTTTATACCAAATTATGGGTAAAAGCATCATTGTTATATTGAACTGTATTATTTCAATAATTATAGACCGATCAAAATTTAGGATTAAATTTGGTAACCGAAATGATGTGGCACGTTGACATGTAAGGGGTTTAAAAATATTTTATTAGTGTATTTAAGTTCTATGTCATTTTGACTGTCAAAAATCTCAAAATTTAAGCGAATTTTGAAAACTATTTATAATTCCTATGTAATTTGGGGAAAGTCAGTTTTGCCTCGGTATTTCAAAGTAAGAGTTAGGCCTGTAAATCATGTCGGGTAAAATTGGTTTGTGTCGAATTTTAATAAATTTGTGTTAGATTTTAACGAGTTCGTATTAAAAAAATATACTACTCATACTCGATTTATTTATTAATATATATTTAATGTGTCATATATAGATGACAATTGACCAAGGTGGGGGCAGGGAGGAGTAATCTTCATCCCTGCACTCACTTTTAAAATATTCATTCACTCTCCCGGTCCATCCCCATTAACGAGAAAAATTTTAATTCTCGTTTTCATCTGCGGGTAAATTTTGATATTCTTTCTCGTCGATAACAATTAATTTATATTATTTTAAGAAAAAATGTAAAAAAAATCATAAAATATCACAAATAGATTTAGAAGAAGGATGAAAACTCATTATATAACAAATAAATCAAACATAAAAACTCATAAAAAAAATATGAATAACAAATGTGTGTTTCAATTAATTATTTTATTTGTTATTATATATTACGGGTTTAGCAAGTCGGGGTGGAGATGAGTTTTAGTCCATCTCTACACGGATTTATACAAATATCTCCGTATACGTCAACTGTTCAATATGTATAGTCCATATTTGATTCAAAAGGGATGGTTTTGACGAATACCCATTTTTCTTCGGTTCACTGACATTCATAGAGTCATGCTATATCGGGTTCGTGGCGAATTTTAATGAGTTTGTGTAAAAAAAATACTTCACTCATACTTAATTCATTTATTAATTCTTGTCTAATAAGTCATGTCATATCAAGTTTGTATTATATTATATATTTTTTTATTAGTTTTATTCATACCTAATTTATTTATTTATTATATCACATCGATTCATTTATTTATGAAAACAAATAATTTAAAAAAAATTAAAATTTTCTTCTTAATTTCATATCATATTAACGAGTCGAACTATATTTTGACATAAGTATTACTCCAGGGGGTAAACCATAAGCAGCGAGAGTCATGTTTTTTGTGTACACGCGGAAGTGGGGTGTGGGCGCGTGGTTGTTGATATGATGCCCTTCTCAAGGTGTCTGGGACACTGCAGTGGATAAAGACTGGTTTCATCAATTTGCGTTTTGGGAACACTTAAATACACGCTCACACGTGGCACCACGACGTGACATTCACGCCCATGCGGAGAATAGTAATAACATGACGATATCATTTGCTTCTGTGGTGTGTACTTAACATATGCATCCAACACACATGTGCATACATACGTCTCACACGCATATGCATCTTATGCATAAAACCAACAACCAATGCTATAATTGTCGTCCGGTAACTTTGTGTTTTTATTTTGTTTTTTGGTATTTTATGACTAAAAAAATAAAAAATAAATATTTTTATTTTTTAAATTACTTCCTTTTAAAAACAACACTAAAATATGGAAACATGCAAAAAGATATTTTTGAAAACATCCCAAAAAATGTCCATTCAAAATGTCCTATTTAATAAAATTCTGACTTCGATCCTCCTTAACAACAATAAATGAATTTTATTATTTTCGTATAAAAAATTCCTCTCTCTTCACTTTTTTTTCCCAATCTCTCAACTCTTTTCTTGACTCTCTCTCTCTCCCTTCGCTGATGGATTTTATTAGAGAGTTTGTAGGGTTGGATTTTGGGGGTAAATAATGGGCGGTGGTGGGGGGTTACGTGGTAGTGAGTTTCGGGGACGAATAATGAGTTTTGTTGGAGAGTTTTCAGGGATGGGTTTCGGTGGTGGTAGTCTTTTATTTTTGTTTTCACAATTTTTTAAATATAAATGACTACTAAATATGTTTTATATTTTTAATTTTTATTACGGAAAAAATAAAATTTAGTTATGTTTTTTTTTTATAAAAAATAACATAAAAACGAAAACGTTACCAAATGCACTCAAATAATTGTAAACATTATTTTTCTACACCATCTCAATATAAATCGTTAGATTAATAATTGTCATTGAATGTTTAATGACTAAAATCATTGCCACATTAGATGACGTAAATGAGATAGTACCCAAAAATTATGTACATATCATTATTGTAAACCAAAAAAAAAAAAAACGAATCACTATGAATGAATTTGATAGTCGAATATTTCATGATATATAATTCACATTTTCATAAATAAATCATGATGGGTAAATTCATGCATATATTCCAAAAAAGAAAATTAATGTATATGTTGTTATGGGTATCATATAATATAATGATGTAAACATAGATTTGTATTTTATTAAAGAAAAAGGGTTGGGGGGGTTGGGGTTGGGTAGGGCCTTCACTGTTCATCATTTTTTGGGACGTTGTGTAGAAGGTCCAAAAAGGTGGAGTGACCGAAACGGACGATCCGAAGAACCCACCTCTCTCTCTCTCTCTCTCTCTCTCTCTCTCTCGGGCACACTAGGTAAAATATAAACACACATAAGAAAAAGGAAAGTTGTGCTCTGTTTTAGCCCCTTTTTTTCTTGTTCTTTGTTTGACGATCTGAGTTCTTGCTCTGGTCTCCGATCAATGGCCGCCCTTTAGACTTAATCAGGTATGATTTTCCTCACAAGGGTATTTTTTTTTTCTTTTTTCATGTTCTCCTCAGTCAAAATTCTGGTTGATCAATTAAAGAAACTAAAATATTGAACAAGATAAACATTTTCGCAGAACCCAAATCAACTTTCTGGAGTGTCAGAGAGGTTTGATCATGGCAGTTGTTGAGAATGCTGGGATTAACGTTGTTGGGTCATCCAATCGGACTGACTCACACGTACCAAACGACATCGAGCAGTCAAAATCGAACATCACGAACCCTTCGTCGAGGTCAAATGATCAGAATTTCCACATGATTGTTAATCAGCAACAGCAACAGAAAATAACGCCACCACCAACGACCTTTCAGACAAACGGCACGACTATCAACAGCAAGCCTCATCAGATGAGCTCAATCCAACAGCAGCACAGCATTAACGGCAATGGTGTGGCAGATCATCATCTTCAGAGTGTGAGGCGAGGTGTGGATTTCAGGGGAAATGGTAGAGGAAATGATGATGATGATGGTGGGGAAGGGTTTAAGAGGGAGATGATGGATTTGGAGGAAATGCTGTCTAAATTGAACCCTATGGCCGAAGAATTTGTGCCTACCTCGCTCGTGAACCACCATAGCATAGTGCCACAGCCTGGTGGTCAGTTTGGTTATTTTACTAACAATTTTGTCATGCACACTGAATCTGGAGTTGCCAATGGAAATTCCACCAGACGGGTAATTATATGATTATCTTCTTTTAATTTTTTCCTTCATGCTCGGCTTGATTGTTGAGCAAATGCTGTGGAATTGTACAAAGTAGCAAAAATTTGATATTTTCCTTTATTTCCTTAATTGGATCAGAATGAAAACTGGAAATTTAGTGTGACCGAGGACTTTTTGTATTACTTGCATTTATAGATAGGAAACAATCTGAGAGAAACTATAGACTCTTAGAAGTAATTTCTTATGACCCTATTTTTTTTAGCTTATATACGGAGGACTGGTTGTTTTATTCTGTGTTTTTTCTGTTTCTTGTTTAGTTTCATAGGTATGTTTTGCTGATGGTGTGGCTTTGTAATTCTATGTTTAGAAGAAGAATAACTATAGTCATGGGAAGCGAAGGATGAATAGTCGAACAAGTATGGCACAGCAAGAAGATGTAATTAGGAGGACTGTGTATGTTTCTGACATTGATCATCAGGTAAATCTGCATTAACGTTTATGGGCTGCCTATCTTCTGGGAGTCCTGTGACTTTGGGTTTTTATTTTCTTTCATTATCAAACAATCTTTGGGCATTTGGCATCGGTTTTTTTTCTATTGTAGGTTACTGAAGAACAACTTGCAGCACTTTTTATCAGTTGTGGACAGGTAAATATTATCATATTTTCACTCTTTTATTCGTTATAATAGAGACCCAAATGAATGGATTTCTTCCATGTTCTCTGCTGAAGGTTGTCGACTGTCGTGTATGTGGTGATCCTAATTCTGTGCTCCGTTTTGCATTCATTGAGTTCACTGATGAGGGTATGTGCATGACCCTATTATTTGAGATATATATATATATATATATATATATATATATATATATATATATATATGAAATTGGGTGGTTTTACGTTACATTGTACCTAATATGCTTGCAGAAGGAGCAAGGAATGCATTGAGTCTGGCTGGGACCATGCTTGGGTATTATCCTGTCCGGGTGCTGCCTTCGAAAACTGCAATTGCACCTGTTAATCCCACATTTTTGCCACGGGTGAGATGATATATGCCCTATGTTTATTTGCTTGCTTATAACATACATTTTTGTACTTGGAGTTCATCTTTAAAACCAAGCGCATATGAAAGCTTTGCTGATAAAACTTTATTGCTTTCCTGCTTGAAATATAGTCTGAAGATGAAAGGGAGATGTGTGCTAGAACTATATATTGTGCAAACATTGACAAGAAGGTAATTTGGTATTTGTATATCACTTCTGAATGAAATCAAAGAACATTGACGGGAAATTTGTGATTGGTATTATGGTTTAATGCAGGTTACTCAAGCAGATGTCAAACTCTTTTTTGAATCCTTTTGTGGAGAGGTTTGTAGCTGCATATGTAACAAATCTGGGAGTGCTGTTCCTTCTTGAACTCCTAACAATATGTGATGGAATGTGTTGACTGCCATAGGTTTACCGCTTGAGGTTGCTTGGGGACTACCATCATTCCACGCGTATTGCTTTTGTTGAGTTTGTAATGGTAACTATCACAAGCTTTTCACTCAATTTATTGTTTGATGCATTTGTGTGCAATAGATAATGCTGTCTAAAATCTGAAAGGAGACTTATCTCTATGCTTCAGAAACACATCATCCCTTTTGCTCGTCTTAGTTGGAGTCAATTATGTAAAACTTGCGCTGCCCTATTAATTTTGTAGGTTTATCTGTGTAGTTGATTCTTAGGTGTTTGGTTTTCTTTCATGACAATTCTATTTAGGTTTTTGCCACTCCTTTTGTTGAGTTTGTAATGGTAACTATCACAAGCTTTTCACTCAGTTTTCTGCTTGATGCATTTGTGTGAAATAGGTAATGCTGTCTAAAATCTGAAAGGAGACTTACGTCTATGCTTCAGAAACATATCATCCTTTTTGCTCTTGTTTGAGTTGGAGTCAATTATGTAAAAGTTACGCTGTCCTACTAGTTTTGTAAGTTTATCTGTGTAGTTGATTCTTAAGTGTTTGGTTTTCTTCATGATAATTTTATTTAGATTCTTGCAAGTCTCGATGTATTTCCTTTTGCATTCTGCATCATCCCTCATGTTTATCAGGCTCACAATTTTCTATTGCGAGTGAACTGATTTTTTCAAATTCATTTTGGAATATCCTTTGAAATCATGGTTCAAATGAGTTGGTTGAGTCGTATATAATTTGGCACCTTCCAAGACGATACCGTTATCGTCATCGAATCGATTGATACGGTTCTGTGACACTGCAATATGACCTAAATCTCTCGTCATGTTCAACATTTTTTTTTTGGACGTATCGCAACGCCTGATTGATGTGTCTGTCGTTGGCCGATATTGCGATCTTGAACTATGTTTGAAATCTGAATTTGAATTTTGGGTTTAGCAAATGTATCTCCCATGTTTTTGGTAACATTTGAAAAGAACCACTTTTCTTGATTAATATGATATTTTTGATGGAAGTATTATAAGGATAGAAGATATCTGCAAGTTTTATTCTATTTTACAAGTGACAGATTTATGAAATGAGTGGATATTATATGACTTCATGGATGTAGAAGGACCTACATAAATGTGGATTAGTTCTGTCATTTTCTTTTGAAATCTGGACCTTGAATTACGCGAGGAAACGAAGAGTCTTCAGTGATATAGAGTCAAATGGCCTATTGAAAAGAATAGTTTTGACTTCAGGTTCGATTACAATCAGACCTTCTACTGATGTTGGAATTCTGGTCAAAATTGGATTGTTATCCGATCCATTGATATGGCTAATTCCTAGTATGGGGTACATAGATAAATAGTAGCATTCTAAAGCCCATATTCAGGTTCATAACTTCTCAATGCACTCTAATATTATAACCGAGTCTGCCCCCGACCCCAAGCATTACAAACTCTAATTTTAGGATTTCACATTGTTATTCTTTTGGGTGGTCTTTAAGAGGTTAGTCCCCTATCATCACAATTAAAAGGCATAAGATAGAAGGAGTAAACTATGAGACCCAACACCATTGTTCAGACTTCAGAGTCCAAAGATGCCTTTAATTTGCCATTTTACATTTGGCTTTGGTGTCGGCAGTAGGTGCTTTATGGACTTAAATGGAGCAATGCTTTTCTCTGGTTTTTTCCTGGGTATTGTTGTTCCTAATCTCTCTCTCTCGTTAGTTTGCTGCTATCTTCCTTCCCCTACATGTTATTGTTATTTTCATCATATTGCTTATGTTCCCCCTTTTAGGATTGAAGTTTATTTTTATTAGTGTCTTGGGCCATGACTACCGGTATGGGCTCTCCAATGATAAAAGTCATTGACTCAGATTAGTCATTGCGTTGTAGGCCCAGCAATGTTAGTGAAAGAAGGTGTTGCATTATTCACAAATGGGTAAACTTGTGAACATGTTTTTATTTTATTTGTTGTAGTGGCTATAATTTTGCTATATATATATATATGCTTGTTTGAATGATTGCTCCTTGAAGTAATAACACTTGTTATCTGTTGCAAAGGAGAAGGTGATGTAGAAGGCCTCATGCTTGCCTATCTCCTCGATGTGGATTATGTTTTGGGTGTAATGTATGGCCCATATATTTATTCACTGCCCTATATCGTTATATTTGTGGCATAAAGTTTTTATACAGACGGCCTTGGTTTGGGTTATGCCATGCAATTGTATTCCTTAATTGTGGAATGTTAGTGAATTAGACATTAATGAAATGTTTCATAAGAATCTTTCCCAAAATTCCCAACTAATACTAAATTGTAATGTTTGATTATTAGACCATGGTGCCTCAACACTTTCTGTTGCTTTAAATGGTGCGTATGGAAAGAAATAGTAGAATTTTTTAGGTTGAAGGAGGATTTTTGTGATTTTCTTTTTTCTGTTTCCTTTGATAAATTGCTTGGATCTCTTGTCCACATATGTGTACTTTTTTTCCTGATTTTAATGAAAGTTTTTTATTTTAATAAAATTTCATATCATACATTACTTTATTGTGTGGTGCAACTTGCCTCATTCTTTGTGGCTTGGCGTATGAGTCATATTTGCACACACCAGTTGCGATGATAGTCTTCTGTAATTTGCAGGCTGAGAGTGCAATTGCAGCTCTGAACTGCAGTGGTGCTGTCTTGGGATCGCTGCCGATAAGGTCGGTAATTGAGTTATGCACCCGTTGTTCGTTAGCTTTTTTCTTTTCTTTTCATTTTTCTTAATATATATATTTTTTATTGTGGCGATTAAGCAGGGTAAGCCCATCAAAGACACCTGTTCGGCCTCGCTCTCCTCGCCCATCCATGCACTGAATCTCTTTGCATTTCTTCTGAACTGATCTTCTGCAGAGGAATATATCTAAATGTAGCTTTGTAGATAGAGATACTTTCAAGGTGCTTTGTGCTACCTTTGTGGCATTTATTTTTATGTCTTGTCCGTCGCTTCTCAGCCTGGTATCTTACCTGTAGGGGTTTCTTTATGAGTTGTTCATTAGCATGTCGAGTTGGACAGAATTCGAGGCGTGAGTTGGTTTAATTTATGTTCCACAATTATGTTGGATTTCATAGGCACTGCCTCGGTGGTAATACTGTTCAAATGTTTCTAAATGAAAAATCTTGAAGACTCATTTCATGAGTTTCTATTCCTTATTTGTCAATGCTCAAATATGTTGGATTCTCAGCTGCTCTATAGGTTTTCTAGATGTTTGGAGCATTTGATGGCTGGCTCTTTGCTGTTTTCATGCCCGTGTGGTTGGCATTTTCAGTGACATGGTGTCTTATTTGATGGTATAAGCATGAATACTTGGACGAGCCGATGCTCACTCTTCTCAGTAACACAACTGTGTGCTGACAAAAGCAATGCGCCACCTGTGTCTGCTGAAGGCATTCCTCTCTTTCAAGAGAATTTCCAGCATGTCAAGCCCTGGTAAGGTTCTTTGTTTTGCATTGAACTAAACCACGTGCTACACCACTTGTGTAGGCCCCGTCAATTCCTTTTGAGTTTTATTTGAGTATTGTTTGCTTTGAAATATCAGGTGACTCGATATATTCCAATATACACAATTACATGTATTATGGTACAATATGGATAGGGGAGCCAAACGAGAAGCACTCCCAACACACTGCATACGACATAAACTTAGCAAATGAACTGAAATTGGTGCCATCCCCGTGTCTAATAGAAACTGAACAAGATTTACTGAATATCCACGTCAATGACCTTGCGTTCTACCTTAGTCTTAGTAAAGGAGATGAAGTGAACTCCATTTTTTACTTCTGCTCTGACTTTATCCTTCTCGCCATTCTCTGGGAGCTGAAGACGAATATCATAGTTGCTTAAGCTCCTGCCTGACCATGAATCATCTGCACCTTGTTCCTTCTTGTGCTCTCCTTTGATGACAAGCACATCATCCTCAACAGAAACCTTCACCTCCTATTGGAGTGTCCAGGCATATCGAACTGCATCTTAATGTCATGTTCATCTTCTTGGATGTCCAATGGGGCACGCACCTCCCCTGCCGACGGCTTCCTTCCTGGGAATGTCGGGGCATTGGCTAGTAATCGATCTATCCATGGCCATCTTTCGAGGCCGTTGAAGGGGGTTCCTCTGTTGTTGCCTTGATCACTGACGTGAACATCCACGGAGTAATATCCGGTCGCCTGAGCTCTCACGACAGGCAGCCTAGAGGACTTTATTGCATTACATGCAGACGGAAATAACACGGAAGATTGTCCCACTGCCTTTATTTGACAACAGAGGCAAGGCAGAGCATGCCAGGGTGTTGGCAGCCATTTGTGATCAAAAGACAACACCCAAAAGGATTAAGAAGATTGCGAATGAGCTAACTAACGATGAAACAGATATCGATGAACTTTCAGTTGGGAGGTTCAGGTGATACCAGAAAAAGGTGAGGAAAGAGATGCTTAATATAGGCAGAAGAGGGAAGTGTGATGAGCAATAGTGATTGATTGAGAGAACGAACTCTCTAGAGTCTACACCCCTGTACATCTTATCAAATACATTTATATACAGTTCTCTCTCTCTCTCTCTCGGAGAATCTTTGTAAAAACCAAACCAGGGTTTTACAAAGTTAAATCGTTTTTTTTTAATTTTTTTATATCCCAGTTGTGCTAATAGATTATTGCATGGAATAATGCTAAAAATTGTGTGAAATCGCCTCTCCATGCAAGAGAGTAAATATATGAGTGGTGGCTTTAAAGAACTACGCGTGGTAGGATATTGCCTGTTTTTTCAATGAAGATATCATTAGTTTATGGGTGTGGTGGTACTGGATTTGTGAGGTTGTATACCGATGGTGGTTGGGTTGTGGGGCGGTGGTGGGATGGTGGATTTGGTGGGTGGGTGCTATCAGCTATGTGGGTGACCGTGAAGGTGGAATTGGGTTGTGGGGCGTGGCAGATTTTGGTGGGTGGTGGGAGATGAGGTTATATGCCCAAATCTGGGTTTCTGCTCAAATGGCTTCGTCTTCTCCAATCAACTACATCGCCATCAAACTCCGTAAACCATCAACCCTATACTCAAACGACTTCATTGTGTTCGTAACAATCAAAGCCTCATCAAGAAACTGCATAATTCTTACTCTGCATTGCCTCTAGCCTCATCACCACAGCCATATTTGAAACCAAATGAGAAATTTTTGAAAATCATGACATACAGGAAAGTGACTTGCACAATATACAAAATCACAATAGATTGGCACAATTGTTTGGGACCTTGAGTTTATGGGACGAAGAGGCGTGAAGATTGATTAATTGGTTTTTGTTCAGTTGAAGAATTAGTTTTGAGTTTGCAATGAACTGAAAAACCAGAAAATTATTAGGTGGTCTTGAGGTCATTTCCATGAAGAAGAGAAGCAGAGCATAAGGAAGCAGTTACTTTTCGTTTACCCCTTCTCCTAAACGTCCAAACCAGGCCTAAACCAATATAGACAAATGACTATTCAATAAAGCATTTTGTCAAACAAATAGTAGAACACCACTAAGAGACATCACTTTTCAATTTGGAATTTTGATCCAGTTCTCGTAGATTTTTTCCGACAAGGGCGGGACATGACAAAAGAGGGACACTTTCTTGGAGCTGGCAAAAGAGAGACATGACCCTACTGGTACTAGTATTGATTAATGGCAAGAAGATTGTCAAGATCAGCCGGGAAAGAGACACCCATCATCCCCACATAAACAGAACAACAAAGGAATGATACACAAACCATTTCACTTCGCATTTTGTGAGAAATCTATGTATATGCCAAAAACAAAATCTTAGAAACTCAGTCTGGAAGCAAAAATAAAAACTAACGAGCAATAACATATCAAAAGTTGAAAATATAAGCTGACCAAAATCACCAAATCCCAACACGAGAAAGATGTCATATTCGTCTAGTTCAGCCACCGGAGAGCACCGGTTGGACTGTTGCTACCACTGCTATCAGACAGAGAAAGCATTGTTCTGTGGAGAACCCCAGAAGGAGACGAGACGGTAGTTGGCGGAGGACTAACTGAATCGCCATTGCCGGCGTGAGGTGATTCTGGATTCGAGCCTGCCGAGACAGGACGTAAGGCCTCAGCTAGTGGCCCACCTGGTGTTGTTGAAGCCACCCACGGACCAGGGCTCTGCCAGCTTGAAACTTGAGTCTTGTGTTCATCTGAAACTTTAAGACCTAATCCCATTTTTATCATACCCATTTTCTCATCGACAGATTCACCAGCTGCCATGGCCATAGACAGAGTGAGTGAAGAAGGCGAGAGGTTTCCATGAGATGAAACAGAGGACTCGTTGTAGCTGTTATTGTCCTGTGTGTTGGGATTGTCATTTGACCATGCATCAATAAAACCCCTTGAAGTCTCTATTTGGGTCAGCCTCTCCATGGACACAAGCTCAGTGTTGAGAAACAAATTGCTCTCATCATTTTGTTGGTTCTCTACAGGACCATTGAAGTCTTCATACAGATTCAAGGACTCTTCTACCCCATAATGTTGCCGGAAAGCGGAGGAGTTTGCCAATCCAAGGTTGGCGTGCACCAAATCCAACCATTCTTGAGCAGATGAATCCATCGTTACCATTTCACCTTCCATCCAATCCAAACTACTTCAATTTGAAACACAAGTCAATCAATTAATCAACCAAACAAGAGCACCCATCATCATCAGACACAACAAGCTATGAAGCTAAGAAATTTACCCACCTTCTGGGTTCATTATAAGAGGCAGGGAAGTTCAGATCAGCTTTAGTATCAACCAACAAAGGTGTCTCATTTGCTTGAATGGTAGTAGATCGAACGAGCTGAGATGAAGAACCCTTGGATTGAACTGTTGGGTTAGGCGTAGCCGTTGGAGTTGTGTGAAGAGGAGGGCGGTTAAGGCAGGTCTTCTTCTTGTTATTATTGTTGACGTTGTTGAGAGAGGAATGAACTTCCACATGCTTTCTTGAACGGGGACGACCTCTGTTCATGTGGCGCTCACAGTACTTCTGGTTGGGCGCCACATCTCTTGAGCACCTCCATTTCTTCCCATCCGTTCTTTTGCACCTTCCTGGCTCTAGATCTTTATTGCTCGAATACCGCAGATTGAACACAGAACTACCAGTACCACCCACTGCCCACAAACAGAGAAAAGAAAGAACTTAACTTTCAAAGAACAAAACAAGCCCCCTTCAACAGAGAGTGAAATAGGCAAAACCCACAAGAGTTATCATGGAGAGAGAGAGAAGAAGAGGAGGAGGGATCATTACTGGGAGAGCGGTAAGCAGCAGGGTCTGCAGGAAGATTTCTGGTAATGGGTAAGAGGAGATCAGGAGGCACAGGTACAGAGGCCACCATGTACTTGTAGATCATAGCTTGTATCTCAAGCTCCTTCCACTGAGCAGATGTAAAAGGAAAGCCCAAAGTCGCTGCCATCCCTCCTGTTCAAACACAAATCCACAAAAATCACATCTCAGGAAACCCTCTCTCCCCCTCTCTTTCTCACTCACCTACTCTCACACATTTTTATGCTCTGGTCATAGCACAAACTCACATCAAAGGAAGTGGAAAAAGAAAGATTATGAGAAAAAGTAGTGATTAGCTTTGTATTTGGCTTCAAAAGAAAAGAGATTTACCTGGGGATTTGAAGGCGGTGTTGGTGGTATTAGTGGTTGAAATACCAAAAGGCTGCAAAGTCCTTATAACAACTGCACCACCACTAGCAGCAGAGGCAACAGCAGTAACATCATCAAGGTATATATTGCCTAACACCTCGTTGGCTCCATTCTTCCGGGTGGGACCACTGCGACCACCATAACCACCTAGCGTCTCAGAAGATAATGATAATGGACGGTGATGATCATGATGATGACCCATCATCGACTTAGGAAGGAATAATGATTCAGTACTTTGCAGCTTCAAAGCCAAAGCAACACCATTTCTATCTAGGGTTGATGATAGCTTGTTTGAAACGCCAATATCACTGCTACTCAAAGCAGTGTCCATACCCATAAAAACACTTCCCTTCAAATGGAAATTACCTTTGCTATCAAACCATAAACACAAAGTGAGAAAGAGAAATCCCCCACCTACCTACTCTGAACCTGTTGTTTGTGTGTGTACCTTCAAAAGTTCCAGTTTCTGGGTATTTAAGGCACCAGTGTTCTCTCCCTTTTTAGGGTGTTGTCTGTGGTGTTGGTTGGAAAAATACTAAAGAGATAGTGTGGGGTTGATGCGGATTTTGGTATTTAGTAATAGCTTTGCCGCCATTCTCGGCCTCTGCTTTGCTTCCATGCTTCCAACATTCGCACCTTTCAAACCCCCCCCCCCCCCCCCCCCGCTCTCTTTCTCTTTCTCTCTCTCTCATTATTGCATTGTCTATCTTTTACTGCTTGCAACGCTTGACCCCAGTGGTCAGCCATACTTGTTATAAATTGTGATTATTTGAAAATAAACGAAGGATATGAGCACTCCATTTATTCACAAACTGGGAAACTTTCTCCATCCCCACTTAGAAAAGAGAGGGCAGGGAGGTTGGGGGTTATGGTGTCAACTAGCTTGTTCAAGAAATGTTAATTAGACAAAAATTGATTTTTAGTCAATATTAAATCCAAATTAATATGGAACTCACTTATAATTTATGTTTAGGTTATGCTACAATTGATTTTTTTTGTTACAACATGTCTAGATTCACGCGGATTAGTGTTTCAAACTCAAATATTGACTGCTATAATTTGAATATGTTTAGAACATGTATCTTGAAGAACAAAAAGAATGGACGCTTAAAAGTATTAAACTTGAGATTTTTAAGTTTTTTGTTTATGCAATAGTCAGAACGAGTTAGCTTATGCAAAATTCGATTAATCTTTTCTTTTGGTCCGATCAAGGGCAGATTATTCACACTGAAATTAAGATATTTATGAAAAAAAAAATCTCTTGTGATTTAACTTAAAAAAAAATTATTAAGATTCAAGTTAAAGACATCTGAGTTTATAATTGACTATTATTATCAATTGAATTAACTTAAAAGATTAAATTTTTGAATTATTTGATGTTAAACTCAATCTTAATAGTCAAAGTTAAAACAAATGAAGGGACATTATGGTCCTATCGACAAGGGTATACGGCAGTGGTCGCTTAACTTTTTTTATTGCCCCCACTTTTTTTTTCTCAACCCAAAAAAAAAAAATTGAAGGGCCGCTCTTATGGACGGATGCCTCCGTAGCGAACAGGGTTCGGTGCATAGTTAGCGTTATGGGGGTGGGTGGCTGTCGTCAACGTCGTTGAGGCAGTGTTCCTCGAAAGACGTGAAGGGGTGGGGGGTCCAGTAGGTCTAGACGCCATCCGCTAACTTATTGTTGTTCCCGCACCTTGAGCAGCTGCCTGCCTCTAATCCGGCCAACAGTGGCTGAGTGGTTCGTGATTCCCAAGCGCTGGGACAGAGCGTCTAATATTTAATTAAGAGGAGATGTGACAAGACATGAAGTACATAGGCCCTATGGCCACGAAGAAAATGACAAGAGAGTGTGTGTGTGTTAGTTACCAAAATAATAATGACGAGAGATTTTTTTTGATTGGGGGTTGATTTCAAAGGATAAGATTTGCCTTTAAAAAGGTGGGCCCCTTCAACTCCATCCTTATTGGCTTATCAAACGGCCCATTTATTTATGCTCCGTTTTGGTAGAGAAGATGAAAAATAAGAAGAACAGAAAATAGGAAGAATATATTTTTTATGTTTTAAGGATGAAAAGTAGGAAGGATATATTTTTTTTTCTTTGTATTTGGTTGGATGGATAAAAAATAAAAATATATATATATATTTTTTGTACCGGCTAAGATCGGGGGTGATAATAAAGTTGAGTCGTATCAAATTCGTGTTGAGTCATTACAAGTTTGTGTCAAAAATTAGTCAAACCTAATTTAACTCATTTAACTAATTGTGTCGTGTCGTGTCGAGTTGTAAGTTGACCTATTTATTTTCGTATCGAGTTCGAGTCGTGTTATCGTATTGAATCGAAAATTTTTACCTTTAGTTAAGATGGAAAAAATATTTTTTTTTAATTTTAAATTTTAAATTTTTTAATATTTTAATTTTAATTTTAATTTTTTTAAATTAAATTATATATTTTTTTATAAATATATATACATATTTTACCATTGCATTTTTATATAAAATTAATGTATACATTAGATATATACACAAATAAGATACATCTCAACACAAATAATTAACTTTCCATCCATTTTCTTTCGGATTTTGGAGAGATTGATTTGAGTGAGTTAGAAGGAAAGTTAATTCATCTACTTTTTCATCATTCCTACTTTTCTTCCTTACCAAACTTGATGTTTTATTTATTTGTCCAACTTTTCATCCTCCCACTTTTTCATCGTACCAAACGGAGCATTACCGAAAGTCTACTTACTATAATACCAAACTTGTATTATTCCTTCCGTTCTTAAATATTTGTAGTTTAAAGTTTTTGCACAAGAATTAAAAAAACTATTAAATAATTCTAATATGAGTAAAAAATAATTACATAAGACTAAAATATTCTTATTCAATACATATTTGGAAGAAAATGAATATAAAAAGCACTTAGCCTCTACCTAATCTAATTTATTGAAAAGTTAAGGGTATATTTGAAAGAAAAAAATATTAATTATGTTTTGGTTTCATAAAATGATAAATATTATGGAATAAAAAAATTATGTAAAACGACAGATATTTTAGAACGGAGGAAATATTTATATAAAATTATAACTGCGTAAAAAAAATTATAATTGATCATAAATATTTATAATCGATTACTAATTTCTCTTGAACAGTTATAATTTTTCTCTTATAATTATAATTTAACTTTTAAAAATTATAAATTAACTTTAAAAGTTATAATTTTTGCTATCGATCGCAATTTTCTATAACTAATTATGTCATTTACAAGTTATAACTTACATCTTAAAAAATTATAACTTAATTTTAAAATGTTATAATTTTTAACATCATACTGTCAACTGGACCATAATATTTCCCATTTATTTAAATCAAAATAATGATTAAAATTAGTTATATGCACGTATATTATATCCGTCAATGTATATAGCTTGAATTAGGGTCTAAAAATATATAAGGCTTTTAAGTCTATAAATATTTATACGAGGGTTTTAAATTTGTTCTATACCAGAATTTTATTTACATCAACCGCAATTCAAGCTCACAAAATTTGATTCATTTATATATAATATAATCGAACTACTCGAACTTAGCTTGATTTATTTTTTAAACAAGATAAAATTGAATAACTTTTTGAACTCATTTAAAAAAAATAAAGTCAACAAACTCGATTAGATTATCAAAACTACCCTCAGAACTGAATTTCTAACCCTCAAACTAAGCTTAGTTGGTGGATTGTAATCCAATTTCTATCTGAAAATATTTATATTCCAAGCCAAAAAAAAAAAAAGTCCGTATATATATATGGCTCTGGTATTAGCCGAGCCCGTTGGTTAGAAATTAATCAAAATTGGTAAAGCAAGGCCTTTACAGACCTTACTTAAGTTGTACGAAATATATTTAAACACAAAATTGTTTTTTTTTTTTTTTTTGCTTTTTTTAGTAATAAAAAAAAAAAAAAAAAAAAGGTAAACAATTGTGGAACCCAGGTAAGGTAACTTTAAACATGGGTTAGAGAAGCTAGAAGAAGGAAAAGAGACAGCTGTAGAGGAGGATGTGGTGTGACAACTACTACCCTCAAATTCCCAAATCCTCTCTCTCTTCTCTTCGCGAAGCGTGCAGTTGTTTCCTAGATTTACATCCAGACACGAGTCCTACCTACGTAACCATTAGCTCCACCTCCCACTGTCCCACATATTCCAAGCACCGCCGCAACGTTTCCACCGCACCACCACCACCACCGATGTGTGCCATAATTTTTTCCGATTAATAACAAACTATAAATTTTTATTTTTAAAATTTTTACAATCGATGTGAATTTCTTACCATCCTATGTCATTTTCCTGTTATTTTTTTTAATCTCTACAGTAATAAAAAAAAAGTGAATTTAAAACACACTTTCATATAAATACCAAAAAAAATAGAAACCATAATGACGATATGACAAAAGAAAAAAAAGAACATTAATCAGACAACAAATTCAGTTATTATTATATGACCCATATTCTCCGACAAGGTAGGTAGTTTTGGGTCTCCTGTTGGTTGGGTCGTCTACGTAAAATCATTTTCTTTCAGCCAAAAACGACCATGTTCTTTCTACCCGAGCCCCATTGACAATGAATATACATACCCAAGCCAACTCTTTTATCCTTACTGTAAACTTAAAACTTAACCAGTAACACCTTCGACTTGTGCTGAACGAAATCCAATTTGCATTAGCTACAGGTGTTTTTGTATGCACATTATGTTTCATCACTGCACAAAGTATCTCCATTTTATGCCTATCTTACGATTTCCTTTGGAAAATGGTAAATAGAGTTGTCACTGTCAGTAAATCTAAAATGGTAACTTTTTCCAAGCAATTTCATTCAAACAAAAGAAAAATTAGCATGACATTGAAACAATCAAGTTCAACTGAACTCAAAGTTCAGAAACCTGCCGATTTCAAAGGCAATAGGAATCACAAAATCTGAAAAAAAACGATATGCTCTCATAAGTCGGTAAAACCAGACACATCCTCTCACAGTGCATTATTTTACAATACCAAATTAGTTTGATATAATCAAGTTTTACCACCGGAAACAGGGTTAGTACAAAATTCAACAAGAGACAGAGATCTTACCGAGAAATATGCAGCAGCACAAATCATAGCTTGTACCAAACTACATGCAAAAAGCATATTTCACACCATTAATATTCCAAACCTTGCTATTGGAATACTCCCAAGTCCCAATGAACAATACAAGTTTATTTGCATTTGCTCATGCACATGTTTTACTGAAATTGACAAAAAAAACTAGCAAGTATAAGATCATCAAGGAGACAACCTTTCACCAGAGTTTGAAGCAAGCAACTTCCCATATCTCTCCATTCTTCTAATTCATAAACAACAATATCCTATATTTCGAATACTATATTGCCAAAGCACAATTCAAAACGCGTGAAAATAATACAACAGCAGAGTATGTGGAATTACACAGCATATAATATGGAAAACGAGTTCATGCATTGATATTAAAATCATAAACGGGTTTGGTATTGGATTATTCCTACCTTGGCCTTGCTTATTCTCTCTTCAACCTCCAAAATGCAGACTCACAATTCGAATTCATCATCAAGCTTGAGTTGCTCAGCAGCAGCTTCCTCCTCTTCATCATCGATGGCAAAATAAGGGTTGTGCACCTTAGGCCTAAAATTATACCCCGTAAACACATAAAAGGCAAGTGTAGCCAATTCAGCTGCTACCTCACTCGTCCATTGATACCGATACGAAGTTATAGTTTTCAAAGCATAAACCACAACCCGTGTAAAGTAAATGTAACATATAACGAATACGTAGTACTGCCTGAACAGTGTCAACTTCATCAAATTCACTGCAGCCTTCCCATCCGTCCTGGCTGCCTCACGTAAATTCTTAATAGACCAAACAATCGGAAACAAAACCGCGCAACAACAAAGGATATCAACAAGCAAAAACACTTGTTTCCACGTATATGTATCCTGCCCATAAGGCCCAGTCTCATCAATCACCACTTGGGCAACATTCGCAACAACTTGTAAAGGTATCACAATCATCAAAACCTTCTTTTCCTTACCTTGCAAATACGGTTTCAAGAACGACCAACCAGTCCCAATCAAAACTATCAATGTGAACAATGTAATTCCCTTCAAGAAACTGAAAATATAGAAAACAACATCCCAACCATGAGCGCTACCGGTTTTCTTAATATACGATTTATCCTCGGCCTCACACAAGAGATTCAAAGCCTTCAAAATCACAACCCCAAGCATGAAGAAGTGAATCCCGTAAACAGATGCTGATCTTTTAGCATGGTATAAAGTATAAGCCCATACACCACCCAATGTCATGTATACCAAGAAAAACAAAAAGAAAATGACGGGGAGAGACGTTTTACCGGCGGACAAATAAACACGCTGACCAGTTTTGGGGTTCCTATTGTACATAGATGAGTGAACATTCATTGAAATCTTGAGGTTTGGAATACAATTGGCTAAGACCAGAGTGAACTGATTGGCGTCGGTGACTTTGACGGTGCTGTTGAAGTGATTGTCTAAGGGTCGAATTTTGTCCAAAGTGAAGAAGAGTTTGACGAGATTGGATTTGAGATAGCAATGGATTTCGCCTTCTTGGAGCTGTTCGAGGACGTGAAGCCAAGAGTCTCGAGTGCAGAGGAAGAACCCGATTTGGGAGAGATCGGGATTGGGGTTTTGGGTAGGGTATTCGAGGAGGATTTGGGTGACATCGAGGTCGAGTTGGCCGGAGTGGGTGAATCCAAATTCGTCGAAGGGGATGGTGGGTCTGTCGTCGGATCGGATCTCGGTGAGCCGTATTTCAGAGAGGGTTGGTGTGATGAGCAGAACGAAGGTGAAGATTAAGAGAGAGAAGAATTGGAACGAGGCCATTGTTGGGTTCTTGTGAGTGGTGAGAGAAATTGGGTACAGGGTTCGAGTTTATTGAGAGATAGAGAGAGAGATTGACTTCGCAGTTCCACCGACGGGGGAGGAGGTAAGTCAAGTCAAATGAAAGTCAGGTTACTTACAGGAGACGGTAGAAAAAGGGAACCAGTACGTTTCGGGCACGGTAGTTGGAATGTCCGTCCCAGGCGACGTCGTTTTGTATTTTTCAAAAGTCAAGGGAAGGGCCAAAATTTAGGGCCGGTAATCTACCTAATCCAAAGAAAGGGAAATCTTTGAAATTCCCTCCTTTCGCCGATGACACTTTGCACCCTATAAAATCTCGCATTCTCAATTTATACTCTAAAATTTTGATATTCCCATATTGCATATCCAATAAAAACAAAAAGATAACAATGTGTTCTATTTAAATAAAATTGAGTATCAATTTTCTATTAAAAATATTTAAAATTGAGTACTAAACAAATTATTATATATAAAAATAAAATAATATGAGAAGTATAATAAAAATATTTGTCAAAAAGAAAACAATGAATATTTACTTTTAGATTACATTATTACCTTTGTATTTGATTATTAAGAGTAATATAAAAATTCTAATACTTCAAGATATAAATTAAGAATTTAACAATATTTTATTAAAGTATAAAATGTCAACCGACTTGACAATTCACCTCGAGAAAATATGTGTAAATATATTTTTGTATTATATCATGTGACTTTACTAATATAGTGTAACCATTAAATTGAATATTTATTCATTTTCCTCATGTTCTACTTCCTTGACCAATGAAAAAACAGCGTTCTCTATTGTATGCTTTTCAAACATAAACATATTATTTCTACAGGAGTGAAAGTGACCTAAAAACCCTTGAGAGAGAGGTAATCAAGATGCTATGAAAGCTCTCATTTGAACATTGAACCATATGCTTGGTTGCTTATATTAGTACCAATGAGTTATCAGCTCATACGTGTTAATGAAACTCTTAATTCAATTCCATAACTAGACACATGCATTGAAGAACACCAACTAGAATATTAACAATGTACCCAACTACCCATCATTAAAACAACAAACAGAATGTCTAAATACCGATAAGATCTTTAACTTCTTCAGCATGATGATGATATCTATTGCTCGTGAAAAGAAAACCAAGTGAAAATGAAACCAAAAAAAAAAAAACATACATTTTCAAATGGAACCATGATGACAGAGTATCAAATATGCAGCACTTGGGGGCTATAATTATTGCCAGGGGAAGAGAGGAGCCACACTACCAAGCTTCACTTGCACACCCTCATACATCTATTGATGTAGGACTAGAAATCAAAGAGAAGAAGAAAGAAGGGGGTGGAAGGGATTTACTCACAGCAAATTCAGAGTTCACACAACAACCGAGTGTTTCTCTCAGTTGAAGACTAAATCACTCAATTCTCTCTGTCATAACCACACATTGATTAAATAAGCTAAGGCGGCTACCTAAATTGTTTAGCTACCTTGGCAATTAGGAACTCTGGTAGGCCAAAAGTAAAAATTGTAGGGATAACCCGAAATTAGAGTCCTTATTGAGGAACTTCTAGGAACCAAGCAGACTCGTGAATTGATATGAGATCATCTGATTGCTAAATAAAACGTTGTTACTGAACAGAACAGTTTTCGCAACTAATGTGATGAATAGTTGAATGATATAAGATTGTGTGAACCAGAAAAATTGAGAGAAAATAGGGGAGAATAAAAATTATGCATAATTTAAATAATGGTAAATAAGTAAAAAAATTTCAAATGTCATTTGAATTTTATACCTAATCACAACTTATTTTATTAAAATTGAACTTAATAGAATAAAATATTTATTTATATACTTTTTCTCAAACAAATCTAAAAAAATTTACCCACATCCAAATTTTTTTTCTTTTTTTAATTAAATGGACTTGCCAATTCCCAGGCCCATAAGAAGTGATCCATTTATGCAATCTGCCAAAATTCAGCATATAGGTAGGAATATAAAAATTTTGTATGTATTTCATATTTTTATTTGATTTTTTAGGAATATTAAAAAATATTTTATTAGTCTACCCAATTCTTTTAAGTAATCGATTACTAGAGTTGGATAGAATACGGTACAATCAAAATTTATTAAAACATTTCCATCTTAATTTGGACGTATATGATTCGCCCACGTACCAAATTTGTAGAGGGTGTGGTGCTTCATCTAGACTTACATGAAAAATCCCGCCTTGGCAATACCATTTCGCCATTTAGTATTTTACCGCTCAATATAAATAACAAAGCAACCCATCAAATCTTCGTATTCTCTCTCGTTTCATTTCTCGAAAATCGTAGGGTTTAGTTAGGGTTTTACATACTGTTCTCATCTCACTCTTGGTAAATCGGTCTGAAAGATGCAACAACCACAACATCCGACGTTGAATTCTACGCCTCCATTACCTTCGAATACCATCACCACAGAGCAGATTCAAAAGGTTTGTCTTATATGTTTGTGTGCTTGTGTTTGTACGAATGAATATGAAATTGATTCCCAGACCTATAACATTTTTTGAGAAACAAAGGTAATCGTTGACTCCCAGACTATAACAAGGTTGTGATTGATGGGTACATCAATAATTTAAGTATTCATTATCGATGGGGTCAAGTTGTTCTCTGAAATTGGATTATTGGAAGTTTCTGAGTATTGAATGTCTTGGTGTCTTATGGCTGATGCAGTACTTGGATGAGAACAAACAGTTGATTTTGGCGATACTGGAAAACCAAAACCTTGGAAAACTCGCCGAATGTGCACAGTAAGTTCCCAATTACCTACTGGAATAAACTTTCTTGATTCTGCTCTGCTACACATTAAAAAGTGTGTGGTTTTACTTAAGTGCCACGAACACAAGTTTCTTTTGATATAGGGAAACTATCAACATAGTATCATATAGGAAACTTTGTTCTTGTATTTGCTTATGCAAGTCCAAGGGAATAAAACATATGGGGTAGTGAACATGCTAATCTGGAAGGCAAGCAAGCAAATTTATGATTATTTTGGGCATGTGACAGTTTTATGTAGAAACGTTTTTCATTGGATAGAGTGGTGGACACACAGTAAAGGTGAGAGCTTGAAATTGGTTTTCGGTTGTTTGAGATCACCCATTTACCACAAAGACAACTCCTAAAGGAATAACTAAGTCTATGTATAATTCACTTGAAAGTTTCAATGGACATACATATGAGGACTTCCAGAGAAAGTGGGTAAGTTGTAGAAAACGGCTATCACATGCACTACGTTATATACTTGGGTAATTACGAGGAGAAATGTGGTGAACTTTCAACAAATAATAATCTCAAAACTGTGTTGGGTCTTCGGCCCCCAACTTAGAATAGCTAAACCCTTTTCAAAGATTTATTGACATTTATTCGTCTACTGGAGGTTTTATTTTGTTCCCAACCCCGTGGCAGTGCAAGTGCTAGGTTACAACTATAGATTAAAGTGGAAAGGTAGTGATATCAAGAGATATGAAAAGGTTAACAATATGATGAGGAGACGTTCCCTTGGCTTTTCTTTGGGCTTTGAACGTCAAAGGATTTTGAAGGAATGCTGTTATTCTTGATTAAAAATCATTGCGCTCAAATATGTGAAGAGTGTTGATGACACCTTTCTATCTATTTGGACTGTTTTCTTTTTTATTACCTCGCCGAGACTTTTATTTTGAGCAAAAAGATTTGGGGCACCCATATGGCAATTCAAAAAATATAGGTATCAAGCACTGCTTCAGAGGAATTTGATGTATTTAGCTGCAATTGCTGATGCCCAACCACAAGGATCAACATTGCCCTCTCAAGTAGGTTAACAAGTTAATTGTCATATTAAATTTTACCGGAATAGCAGCTTTTTTTCACATCCAAAAACGTTGCAGATGGCCCCACAATCTGTTCTGCAACCAGGGAATTACATGCAGCAAACTCAAGCTGCAGCACCTCAGCAACACCAAGGTGTTCCTGGTCCGAGGTTGCCTTTCCAACATAATGCCCTTCGACCTCAAGATCAGCAACAGCAGCTACTCCACTTCCAGCAACAGCAACAACTTCTTCAAGGCCACCTTGGCCTGAGATCCAACGCCAACAATGGCATGCATCAGGCTATGCAACCTGGACTTGGCACATCAGGCAGTTCGGCAGATGCACGAGGAAGTAAACAAGATGGTTCAGAGGCGGGTTCTGGTGATAGACAAGGCAGATCAGCATCTGGTCGAGGCAACAGGGAGGATAGGCAACCATAAGTTTTTGGTGATGCTGGGATGGTGATGTCTGCTACTTGATTTCTCTTAAAAGTGTCTAGCACTTCTTGAGCATTGGGGTACCTCGAATTTTCTCAATACGTGTGAGCAGACGAGCAACATCAATTTTTCTTTAATCATACAAAGAATGGTACTGATAGTGTTGCAGCCAATGGTCCCTGTGGCAGGGTGTTGTTTCATTAGTCACATCTGTATGTGAAGAAAACTAATGCATTTCACACAATTTCTCTTTCGTCGAATGCACTTTACATTGTCAAGCTGAATTTACTTTTTCCGAGTTGAGTTCTAGTGTACTTGTGCTTTATTCTTTCACATAAAAGATGCTGAATGAATTTGCCACTTGTGTAAAAGTAATAGAAACAAATTGTAAATTTAAATTTTTTGAATTTTAATTTTAACAAATTCTTGAGACCAAATCATTTTTCAAAAATATTTTAATCTTGGTGTAGATTACTTGTTTTTAATTGGATTGCAGAGATATTAATCTTAGTATGCATAAATTAGATCAAACATAATTGACAATTGAACCAAAAATTAAAAAAGAAAATATGAACGAAGGACCTATGTCCCCCAGGCCACAAAACAACTTCATCTATGCTAGCAAAGCAGCTTGTACCTGAAGCATCATCCTTAGTGATTGAGCGAACAGATTTTAGGATCATATCGCAAAATTAACTTACAAAACCAGGAAGATAAGTTGGGGCCAACAGATTTTCCAGCAAAGTTTTGGTCACTCCCACGGGATTCCCGAAGTTTGGGGGCATGATCACCCCCTAAATTTCTAAGGGTATCAACAACCGACCATTCCTGGAATATAAACCGAAACATTCTTGTCCGAATTAATGTGATTGTAAACATATAGCATATGGCAATAATTTCTAAACTGCAGTGGCACTCCATAACAACTTGCAGAGTATCCACATAACAAAGATAAACAGCATTGGCATCAGTTGAAGCTGTCACCTGTTGAAGAAATCACTATTTTTTTTTCATAAATTCAGAATCAGCAAGAAAGATGAAACTGCACACATAAATATGGCTGCCAGAAATTGGATGTACAGTTTTGATATCGCCAAAACACGGAGGCAAATATGCAGTTCTTCCAACAGAGTTAAAAAAAACAAAAAAAAAAAAAGAAAAAAGAAATTGGTCAAAAGTTCATGTCAGATTTCTATAAGATGCAAAGGATCATGGAGATTGAAACTTGAAGAGAAAATGATCCCCCTCAATTGCTTCCTGTCATCTCAGCCCCCAATACGCACTTTGGTCCACATTCATTTGGTTATAATATTGTCTGAAAAGGGTCCAAAATGTGTCCTGCCAAATAAAAACATGAAAGATTATTAGAACCAATAGAAGATCAAGTTATCCACTCATATGCAATCAGGAAAAAAACAACAATATGATCAAATGACTACAAAAATTAAGCCCTCTTAAGTCGGACTTTTGAAGTTTGGAGCATTGACAAATATAAACAAAAAATGAAGCCTCCTGGCTCCAACAAATTCAATTGCGCCCCAAGACAAATGCAGAATATTGAGATGTAACATAGCTATTTATTGTTAACAAAAAGTGTCATCGCCAACTGCATATATATAGAGCCGCAGTTTGGCAGACGTCCACAAATCTATAGGGAAAGTGATCAATTTCTCATTTCAGCACCTAAACTTACAGTTGTATATTCATGATATAAACGATGTTATGTTAACAAGTACAAAAAATGCAATTATTGCAGAGGTCTAGATGGAACTCTAATACTAACGAGAGGAAACATAAGTGAATCAAGCATTTGATGTACCAAATTAAACCAAGTGCTATGACATATACCCTTTGGTTTTTTTAAAGTACTTTTGAAGAAGCAAACCATGTTTAATTATTCTTTTGGTGATCTATATGCATCTCAGTAGACAACAATACATTAGACTATTATACATGGGAGGAGGAATGGAGCAAACCAAGACAAGGAAAAAAAAGATAGTAAAAATGCAAAACAAATGCTATTGAAAAAAAGTTCTTTGCAAAAAAAAAAAATGGTAACAGGAACCAAATTCTTGGGATCTATCAGACACTTAATGATGAATATTATTACGCGAATGGGAAGCATAATTTTTGATGACATTTTATCCTCCAAATTCTATCGAACTTCTAGAACAGAGTTCAAAATATATGCACAAATATAGATAAAAAAAATCCCAAAAAGCTGCTTACACAGCTTGTTAAGATCCGTGTTTGATCCACTTCAGCATCAGAAGCAATGTCAAGTGTGCTTATCTTAGCACACTATAAATACATGAAAAGTTAAAATGCTTCAGAGGGAATACAACAATACTTGGCCTCAATTCTGTTTTTGGTTACCCATAATGATTGTTCCTTATTGAAAATCAAGAAATGAAGTTTTATTTTCTTTAGTTTTTCACTATACCCTACCTCACACTATGTTAAATGGAAGTCCATTAATAAGGTGAAAACCAATAGGTGAACATATTTAAAATTGAAAGCTTGAGAAGTAAGGTGTAAATCCAATAATCGTATCTCAAAAAAAAAAAAGAGGAATCAGGAACTGGATGAAGGATTGGCTTCAGTACATCCATTGGCACTGGAGTGTCGCGGCTTTTACAAGGTTGTTCAGTGATATATTGGAATAGATGAAAAATGTTATTTTCAGACACTGATATTTGGAGAACACACCCCTAAACTAGACAATCATCTGATTTGCTCATACATAGTAAAATTATCATATGGATTTTCACAAAGTTCAGTTGTTAGGAGTCAACCAGAAGCAGGAAGCTGCGTGAAACCCAACATGCATTTTCTTAGACATGGGTTGTGAAATGTTCAACTTCCTCAAGACACTTTTCACTTACTATCTTTTAGAACTTGAAGCAGTCCCGATTGTCCTGTCACAAATACAACTAAGATCGATAAGCTTCTATCAATGGTAGTCATGTCAGCAATTTTAACATAAAAAGACAGACATCAGTTCTTTTGAAGTGCTTAAATTGATACCTGCCCTGCTGTTTCCTAACAAAATTTGCACTATGCTGCCCAGGAATTAAACCCTTGCTTTGAGAAGTTCCAAAATCGGATCTCTCAGAATTCACTCCATTTGCGGCCATCAAGAGTACAGATGACTGGCCAGGCCTAGGTCCATGCAGTTCCATATGATCTTTAGGTTTGCTCAAAATTTTTACAGTTGAGACACCTCCACCAACAAATGAAACCCCATTAGAATGTTGATTCCGCATTGCCGACAGCTCTGAAGCATTATCAGTAGCATTGACAGGTCTGGGAACACCAGAGTTGGAATCAGAGGATGGGCTCCTCTTCAGTCGGTGAGACTGAGCCATAGGAGTGACAGCAACAGAAGGCAATAGTGACGAATAAGAAGATGTCACAGCAGCAGCAGCAGCGGCAACTTTAGCAACAGCTGCTGTAGCCACAATGATTTCTTGTGCACCTTCTCGCAGCTGAATATAATCCCCTTCAATCACAAATAACTGAAATAGAAATTGAGAATATTTGGTAACACACATTTGCAGTAGAAAATAATAAAAGTATACTCATTTGATTGAAGATTTGTACAACTCACTTCAGGATGACTGGCAACAAACTCATCAAGCTTTCCGTACTTCTTCTTGTAATCATGCCAATGTAAAGGTGCAAGCATTTTACCAAGCCTATTTGGAAGCTGTACATCAGATGGACAACAGAAGTCACCAACCAAATCAATATTTAGAAACACTGAAAAAGTCGAGTGTCATAATTATCTTTACTTACCGTTGAACTTATCCTAATTCTACCACCAGATCCAGGTGGAATAGTGCGCACAATGCAGGCCAACAATGATCTTTCATCAAGAAGAGTAATCTCTGCAGTCTTTACAACCATAAGTGTATTTTTCTGCCCATTAGTTGAATATGATTCAGGCAGAATTGCACTAGCGGCATTGTTTATTGGGGTTTCATTAAAATTGACGAGATGACTTGGAGCTTCCAATGATGATGTATCGACAGAACTGGGCTGTTCCATTGCTAAACCTTGGGCATCTCGTCCATGATTTACCAAAGTGCTGTTCTCCTGTGCCAGTTAAAAAGTCAAGCATCAGCTTCTATCTAACTACACCTATTTTCAAGAATCCCCACGAGGATCTCGCAGCACCAACCACTTGAGACACCAAGATCCACAATGACACTGAGTAAAGAGAAAGACATGTACATCTTATAACAGACCTGGGTCTCACTATGCTGTTCAAGAGGATCCAATCTTAAAGCATCATGAAACTGGGAAGAAATCTGTTGCAAGCTTTGCTGGGGTTGGGTTCCTACCAGGTAGCTCTTATCAATAGACCCAATAGCCTGGATAAAATTTTTGGTGGATCAATCAACAAAATAAAGTAAAAGAAAAGAAAACCAGAAAATCAAGATTAATAAGTAGTATTCAAGGTTTCACAACCTGTCCTTCCCCATTTGATGATGGAACCACAGAATCAGGCTCCAGCCCTTGGCTGATAGGACTGTTCATATAGTCTGGACGAAGAGCTTCCCCATTAACAGGCACTTCATACTCATAATTAGTATCTGATCTCAACAAGTTCTGTTCAGTTTGTGATGAAAGATATTGGTTGTAGGGTGGCATTTGTGAACTCTCTGATACAGCCTGAAGAATAAAGAGAAATAGCAACCAAATCACCAAACTGTTGCATGCGTTATTTAAAAGGGACCAACAACTGGTCTTAATCAGCTAGTACCTGTTGGTTCGGCCAATGTTGAAGAGATGATATTGCTGGTGCTGAATGAAAATGACCAACATGAGATTGAGCAACATGTGATGGTACAGTGTGAGGAACCCCTTGCTGATGCATAACAAATGGATGCAGTGCAGTCACTTGTCCAGGTGGCAGGTAGGTAGGCACCCCAAGTAGGGAAGGAGCAAGTGGAACACCATAAACATGGTCGGCCTTAAGATATTAAAAAGGAAACTTCAAATGGGACATGACTACTGTAAATAGAAATTTATATTCACACTTTCTTCATAAGTTATGTGGAAAATTGTTGCTCAACCAGAAGGCAGACATGACCTCAGGTATACAAATAACAGTACAACATACAAAGACAATGCCAAAGATGAGTTGTCATGCATATATTGTATCAATAAAATCGGTATAAAAAAGTCTGGGAAGTAACATTGTTGGATATGGACATGGTGACACATCTACACATTCTAGAAAGATGAACACACAACTCCTATAAAAAAAAGTATTGAAATAGCTAACCATTCCAGTTCTTATCAAACAAAAAAATTTAAAACCAAAGATATCCAAAATCCTCCCCATTAATCTTATCTTCCTATGGTTGGCCTTAGTCGAAGATTTATCATGAAGGATCATTTCAGACCAATATTAGTCTTGCTTAACCTAAACCTCCTTCCCCTTCTAATGGAACATTTCTGCAGAAATTCAAATTGGAGCTATAAAACTCAAACCTCGCCAATCCCAACAAAGTATCCAACACTAAACACAGCCACCAAAGGTAGCAGTCCTTTCATTTATAATCACATTAAACAAATGATTAAAACAGAAATAACAGGTCATAACTTATGCCCATTACTTCGTATAATGGAAAAAAGCCCAAGTTGCCAAGCATGAGAATGCAAGATAAAGTTTTAGGATAGAAATTTCATGCTACTGAAGCCCAATACCAGGTCTCATATGCCCATCAACAGGCAAAGCCAACACCATATAATAAACTTTTTACAAGTTAACAATAGCACTAAGTTCATCAGTAGATTCTAAACAAAAGACTTGGTTATTAAACGTCTCTGTTGCAATCCAATCATTTGACCATGGATTTGTTTCTGTTTTCCGATGAATCAGTACCTTTCAAATTCGTAATGCAAAATGCTCATTGAGAAGTCCTCAAGATGGTCTTAGATTATAGATCCTACAGCTATTCATAAGGTCAAGCTTGCTAGATTTCTTCACTTCCAGTCTTTCAAGGAAACATGTGCAGTAGTGGGGCTATCTGCATAGAATACCGTTGTGTTTCATCACTTCAATGTTTAATTTCGGGTAAGCAGGTGAAATGTTCCTACATATCACCAGATAGTGCTACATACCAATTAAAACATACAGGGGTGTGGGGATATTAAAACCTCAGTGATGCTCCAATAAATTTGAGCATCACTGAGGATGTGCCCTTTGCATCTACTCTTTAGATAACCATCTTCAATTTTCCCACAAAGCACGTCTACAACTGTCCCATGAGACTTAACATGACTATCTCAAAAGGGGTTGTTACCGAGTTACATTCCCATTAATAGAGGGTACTGGGAGAGGTGGACAACCTACAAACCTAACATTTTAAACAATTTGAACAAAGTAACTGCTCCCTAATTTGAATTCCCAACCTCATGGTTATTTGCCCAACACTTTTATCACTGCACCAAGTGATGAATCACTAAACTACTTATCCAGTTTAATCTCTATTAATTGGGTGTTTAAAAAAAGGGAGTGAATATAAAAAGGGATTATCCTACCTGTGTTGATGCACTCCCTGGTGAAACAAGGGATGAAGAATCAAGTGCATTTCCATTCGAAAGGCCACCCAAATTTTCATTTGGTGCACCAGTTCCACTAGCCTCCAGTCGGCTTCCATTGCCCTGTGCATATTGAGAAACTTCTTTTGAATTTGTTTGGGAAACCTTAGAGTCATCAGAGTAAGTTCCATTTCTTCCTCTTGCATCAGCCAATTCAAGCTGGAGTTGTTGAATTGTATGCAGGTGAAGCCTCTCCATCTCAGCAAACTTAACATACGGATTAGTACAATTAATATCTAGCTGAAACAAAGTAAATACAGACCCCAAAAAAGAAATCTTGCAAGCCAAAAGAAGCTCACAGTCAATAGCAAACAGTCAAGCTTTTATCAACTAGCTTTAATTGATAGAAGCAAATTGAAAAGGAAAAAAAAAGATGCAGAATTAATTCTACGGAACCTATTTGACAGTCAACATTTAAGATAGCTAAACAACCTGTCTTTGACAACCAAGCCAAAGCTGGTTATATTGTTCTGTACGCTCATGCAATTCAGCTTGTAATGTGTGATTTGCAGTTGATTGCAAGGCATCCATCTCCTGAACACGGCTAATCCAAGCTTGGGCCTCCCTTAATTGTTCATCTTTGAAAAGAATAGTTTCCTGAGCAACCCTATGCTGAAAGATGAAGATTAAAGTTAGGAAATGCACTGCCAATATGATAAACAAAGAATGGTTTAAATACATTAACAGGGTAGTATATTGCCAATGACAGGCTTTTAGCAGGACCAAAATAGGACTCACAGGAAAAACTATATGGCATTTCATGAAAAAGTATTACATGCCCAGAATCCAAGCATTAAAACTCGACTATGTTAAGTCGTGGAACACTGCGCCCAAAAAATGAACGTTGTTCTTCATATAATTTAAGTAAATTATAAAAAACTAGCACAGAGAAAACCTACAAGCAATATAAATAACACAAATATACCTCAGTGAACTTCGATGTATTAAATTTTTTTTTTTGGAAATGTACAATCGCATTGCAGACTTGCAATTCCACAAACCTGTTCCTGCAACTCCACGAACTGCCGCTCCTTTTCCTGAACATGTTCTTGAAAATCATGAATTTGTTTAAGTTGCTGGGCTCTTTCAGCTTCCAAGTTATCACGCTCTCTCCTGAAAAAAGATAAATTCCCTTCCATTACAACCACCAAAAACCCTAAGCAATGTACATCGCCATGATGACACTAATAAAAAACAAAGCTATTGTGAGTCATCTTGGTCATGAAACAGAGAAAGGGGAAGAGTCAAATAGGTACAGAAAGTGGAACCACTGTATATGGTAAGGAACAAGCCCAACTTAAGCTAAGAAAAGGTCTAATATGTTAGCACAGGATAAATTCAAACATATATACACTCGAGCAAAACTGCTTATAAAGCGATACATGAACACTAAAACAATTTAAATTACAATTCTTCTCATGTAGATGGAACACATACCGAATCGCTGCCAGTTCTTTGTTTTGTTCTCTGAGAAGATCCTCTTTAGCCCATGCCTGCTAAAACATACTAAAAAGATATATATTCTACCACCGAATCATAAACTACCAAAGACAAAAAAAAATAAAATAACAAATCAAAAATAAATAAGAATGCTCAGACAAACCGCTTCATTGGCTAATCTGATTGCATGCAGCTCTCTTTCTTTCTCTTCCACCTTCCTTTCCAACTCTTGGATAGTCTTATCCTTTTCATGTAGTTGCCCCTTTCACAACCAAGAACAACCCAAATATAAAATTTGAGATACAAACACATATACATGCACCTAACATGTATATACCCAAATTCATTGCATAATCAGAAATTGACACCTGAAGATTGAGATTGGCATTTGCATGCTCTTTGATCTGAGCATCATAGGTGTTTTGCATCTCCAGAATTTCTGACCTCGCAATGAGCTGAGCTTTAAGGTCAATCTCCATAAGTTGCACCTCCTCCCTCTGTTTCATCACGCTGTGAAGTCTTTGTTCCAATACATCATTGTCCAAGCTTCCGTCCATTGTTATCGAACAGAAGTCCAAATCGGCCGGTTCTTTTCCCTGCTGTACCTTGACAAAGCACGAAAACAACTTCTTGTCACTGATACATTCAATAAAAAACAAGAGTAAAAACTACAGGAAGTAAAAACCCTAGCTCTAAAGAACACATTCATTACCTCGTAAATCAATCTCTCATCCAATTGCCCTAGCTTTGAACGATCCAAGTCCTAGACATCACAAAGTTAACAAAAGTGAATCCAAAAAACCGACAAAAAAATTGTAAGCCTAACTTTTCGACTGCAATGAAAGCAACGTTACTAGTTCTTTTGGTTATAATAGTACCTCGTTGCCGGAATGCCTAACCGACTGTTCGGAAACAACGCGCCACTGTTTACGGGGAGGCTGAGATGACGTCATCGGCAGCGAAACGACACGTCCAGCGGCGGCTACACCAGCCGCGGCCTCCATTGAATCAAGAGTATGGACACTACAGTATATCTCTCTCTCACTCTCCAGCACAGAAACCCTAAATTATTTTAATTTTAAAGCCTAAAAAGGAAAGAAAAAAAAAACCCTATAGTAAAAAGCTATCAAGTCAAAGAAGGTTTGTATCGAGAAATCGAATGAGAAACTAGTAGAAATTGGACTGTAGAGTGAGGGACACGCGAATGTGTTACTCCTCTGAGAGGATTTGGAGGGTCTCCGCGTGTATGTTAGGGTGGGGGGTTTCGGGATTGAAGGGTTTTAAAGGGCCTCGACTGTAAAAAGTGAAACGTTGACGAGACATTGACAATAGAAAGGGGGAGGAGTGGGAGAGTGAGGCTCCCGCACTTTATAGGGCAATTCTTGGAGGAAGCATTAATGTGGGTCCCATACTTCGCTGGGTCCAGAATCGCTGTACCATGGAGTGTCTTTCGCTGCGGCCAGGGTTGTCTCCCGATACTACCAGCAGAAAATATATTTTTTCGTATTTTTATTTAGTATTTTACAGAATTTTTTTTTTTTTTTTTGTCTATCCTATAAGACAGGTGTGATATTCCTATCCGATTAATCGGATAAAAATTCGAAAAAATATTTTTATAAAAATTAATTTTTGAATTATTTTAATAATTTAATTAAATAACATGCATCAATTTAACAACACAATAAATCAATTAACACTAAGATATAAAACAACTACAAAAAAAATTATAATAAATAAGAAAATATGAACATCAATCCACCATAATTGTTACACAAATACAATAACAATTAATTTAAGTTTAAACTTTAAACCATATGAAATACATTAAAATCATAATTGCTCCGCCTTTGATTAGGGTTTAGGGTTTTTTTAGTTTATATATATATTAAAAAATTATTGCAAGTAGGGTAGGGTAAGAATACGAAAATGGATGACTATTTCACATTCATACCCAAAAATTGTCGGAAGACTAAAAAATTTGCCGCATTCCTACCCGATTTTTACTGCTAGTCGTTCAGTAGGGTAGGGTAGGATCGCGTAGGATAGGAACTTCCGGCAGATCAGAAATTTGAACACCTCTAGCTGCAGCCACGAATAAATTCTTTGATGAATTTTATATTTGTGGTACATATTTAAATTTGTTAATAATTCAAAAAATTTATTCAATTTGAATTATTTAATTAATTAAATTTTAATAAATAATACTTAAATTTTAGATTAATTTTTTAAAATAATCACTTAATTCTTTAATATTTATATAAAAATATATAAATAATTTGCATAACTAAATTAAAATCTGTGAAATATAAAATATTAAATTTGAATTCAAATTATAAATAAAAAATATTAAATTATAAGAACAACTCCAAGAAGCTATCTAAAAGGCCCTTGTTAGCTATTTTAAAGAGTTGATTCCAACAATTTGTCTCCAACGGCTTAACTATCTGCCTCCCTATTTCCCATAACCTTATTTTCCTAGTTATTTCTGACGAAACAAAGAAAGCTCGCTTGTTTGTTTTGGTGCCAATTTTTTCAGTATTTTTATTATATCGCAAAAATGGATTGCATCATTTAGTGGGTTTTTAATTTTGAAAATGGGTTTTAGAGATCAGGAGAGTTTGTGGCGATGACTATTAATTTTGGAAATGAGTTTTGGAGATTTTTGAGATGAATTTTTGATAATTTGAAGTGGATTTGTGAGATGGAGTATTGATCATCGTGTAGCCCATCTATTATGATATTTACTCTTGTAACCCACGATTGATTAAATTTATACAATATATAGTTGAATTGTTATTTTTTGAATTTTATTATTGAAAGTTAGTTAAAATTAGTTGAAGTGGTTGATTAAAATAGATAACGTGTTTGGAGTAAATTTGAAAAGTGGTTAACTAAAGTAAATAAAATAATATTTAAATATATTTTGAATAACTATTTGAGATAGTATTGTTGAAGATAGTCTAACCAACTAATTAAATTCGAATTATAATTCAATCCATTGGCGGGCGTAGTTGAGCACCGGGTAGATAACTTGGGCCAAAAAGTCGTCTTCCAGTTTCTTATCTTTTGGGTTAGTTGGGTCAAATGTCAAATGGGCTCATTTTTGCTATGGAAAGGTCCAATGTTTACTGGAATTTCTTCTCTCTTTAGTAATTTGGGCCTCAAGACAAATGGGTTTCTTCATGGCCTTGCAAGGTTGATCGCATCCCCAATTGACTTTGAGCCCACTCAAGTTCCAAAGGTTGTGGTATCCACAATTGATCAAAGAGAACAGTAGCATACATAGGTTGTGATGTCGTGGAGCCGAAGGATTTCACACACAAGATTGGTTTATTAATGTGGACAATTAACAAGTTGATTAGCTGTCATCCAACCTGTAATCAGTCTTCAATAAACAAATAGTGTGTGCTTAGGGTTGGGGATGTCAATCGATTCGTGTCGTGCGTCATTTATTTATTAATTTTTTAGTCATATTATTGTAATTCGTGTCATGTTCGTGTCAATACACACAAAAAATATATATTTAATATATTATAAGTGTCAAACAATATCCAATCAAGGACTCGTCAATTAGGTTTATCCGCATTTTGCCATCAACTAATAATTTCTTAACGGGATGCCCAATGCTATCTACAATTTACCAATAGTTAAATAAATGGGTCGAGTCGTTAGTTAAATTTATTTTCGAGTTTTCATATACTTTAATCAATGTTTAATCTTGGCTTGGCTTGATAGCTTACAATCTGATCTCGAGCAAACCCAAAATATTCATAGTATTTAGTTATTAATTAGTTCGATAAATCAAATTCGAGCTGAATTACAAGTTTAAAAAATAATAGTTTCAATTTGAATCATTTATTATATGGGCCAATTTTGAACCAATTTCAAAAAAATCACCTTGAAGGCTTGAATAAACTTGAAATAATATATATAGATAGCTACGTAAATGAATAGTCAATGGCATTCAACCGTAATAATTTTTTTAGGACGTTATCTTGAAATTTCTAATCGTAATAGAATGTTTGGTTTGAATTATAGTTATTAATTTGAGTTAGTCAAACCCGTCACCATAACTTCAGCGGGCATTGATTTTTATGGTGTTATTAACCGATAATACAACTTAATATCCAATCCCAAGACAAACACATACAAACATTGCCTTTTGTAAATCTAATTCGAATACTATCAAAACAACACGGCAACAGCGATTTGATCGAAGGAGCGTTACTATGTAGTAACAATCAATCACGAGGTTCAACTGGCGAAACTGTCGTTATGTTCTTATTTTCCATTCAGATCCCACTAAATACTAAATTAATATAAAATATTTCTCCTACAATTAATTGGGAATCTCCACAAATCTTGCATTCTAATCGTGTCTTAGTGCATAATATACAATTATTATGAGTTTGATTCATTCATTGGTCTATGTCGCCAAGATTTGATGAAAAAATCAACGGTTGAAAATTATGATTTGACAAATCTCAAGGTAATTTTTGTGGAGATAGAGTTGCGACGTAAATTCAGATATTCGGGGTTCTAAATTTGACAATATAATCTCAAAGGGTAACTCGTCTGATAACAAGAATAAGTTGTAAACTCAGATATTTTGAATTCTAATATTGCAATTCATTTGGATCAGGTCGTGAGGAATTTATCTATCGTGAATATTCTAATTATGACATGAATAATCTGTTTTTGACTAGATTGAAGAAAAAATTAACTGATGTGCACATAAGTAAGCTCAAATACTTTTGATCGTTGAATAAAAAAAAAAATATTTGACAATTCTCTTTGATCCAGACTATAAGGGATTATCCATAATGAATTTCTGAGGACTTGTCTCTAACTGAACCAATCTTAGAGTTGTCGGGATTTATGTGTGATGAATTCCTGAAGACATATTAGGGATATTTGAATCAAATTACCTGCACTAATTCTTTATTTGATCACGTAAAAAATAAGTTATTCACGTCAATATTAAAGTATTAATGAGAGATAAATTTATTAGAGCAATGCTATCGAAAATTAATTTACTATAACATTTAAATTGACTGTAATCTTTATTAAACATTGAAATTTGTTATTGATACAATGATTCTAATGAAATCACGTCATCAAATCAATAAATTAGATTAAATTTTTAGATTCAAATAATAATACTCAATCTATTATGATTTGATCTTAATAAATTATCAATATTTAAATTTATAATCGGTCCGAGTATTATCGAGTTGGATAGAGGAATAATCAAAGTCTTGCAAAGCCGGTCCGAGCACTTCCGAATTGCAATAAAAAAAGGAAAATTGTAGTTTGACAATCAATTTACACAAGTGTGACGTTAGCTTCATTGTTTAAAGTCTGGACTTATATCAAGAATTAAGCACCCTCCTTGCTTTTTCATCTCTCCTCCTCTAAGAAATTCATTACCCTTTACCTGCTTTTTTTTCTCTTTCTCTCTCTCTGTATTTGAATAAAGTTACAGGCAATCCTGTGTATATACTTATATATATATACACGTTAACGTTCTCTTTCCGGTGGTCAGTGTATAATTTGGGTACCGTCGGAAAAGTTGAGTTTGACCGATTAATCGGAAAGTTGTAGTAGGTGTCGATGGGGCATTGTTGCAGCAAGGGCTCTTCAGTTTCAGTCGTGAAAGAAAACGCCACCGTTGAAACCTCCGCCGTACAACGTCCAAAACCACCACCATCGCCGGCGCCACCTCCCCCAGGTAATGGAACTGTAGAGGTTCAGCCAAATAGGCACACGCCAGCTCACTCTTTCTCGTCCAGCCCATGGCAGAGTCCATATCCTGCCGGAATTGCTCCTTCTCCGTCGCCGGCGAGGACCCCCAGACGTATATTCAAGTGGCCATTCCCACCACCGTCGCCGGCAAAGCCAATTATGTCGGCGATTCTGAAGCGGCGTGGCACAGCTAATAAACCGACGGAGGGGCCTATCCCGGAGGACGAAGGATCAGAAGGCGAGAGACCGCTCGATAAGAGCTTCGGGTATCCGAAGAATTTGACGGCGAAATACGAATTGGGGAAGGAGGTGGGGCGAGGGCATTTTGGTCACACGTGCTGGGCTAAGGGTAAAAAAGGAGAGCTCAAGAATCAACCCGTGGCTGTGAAGATCATTTCCAAAGCTAAGGTGTGTGGTATGTGCTTATTATTTTGTGTTGTCTTCGATATTGTAGTTGTGATCATATAGGTTTTAAGCTTTAACTATGCCTCGGATATGCTGTTCAGTCCTTCGGTATGATGGTTTTGATCTTCAAAGTTGAATTGTTTTTCAATTGTGTGCCATATGTTATTTGTTGTATGGATACTTAGTTTGCCATCCAATTTTAAGCTGTGTTATAGCATTTTGAAACTGTGCTTGGATTAGTGTGGTTTGGATCATTGTTTGGAAATTTGCAAAGTTTTGATCTCAAAAATCGGGCACAATGCTGTATCACAGTGGAAGTTACCTAGAGCCGAAGTTTTATTATGATGTTTGCATATTCATGTGCAACACAAGGACAAAGTAATTTAAGATGGCCTGTTTATAACTCGATTACAAGTTCCAGTTCATGGTTTAGTAAATTCAATTGGAACTACCATCATGTGATGCACTTCATTGGCTGTTGAGATAATTAAGGACACATTAACGCCTGTCCTGGAATAGAGTTCATATTTGAGCTTCTTGTTGCAAATTCATCCTCTAATAGAAGATCAATCATGGAAGTATGGCAGATGTTTGCATGCCTGACGATGAGGTAAGGATATGATGCATCAAACAAGAGTTCAAAAGGGGGTTATTATCAAATGGAAGTCTTGAAATCTGAAATTAGAATTATAGGTGATAGTGAGGTTGAAGAATTGGCTATTCCCATGGAACTAGAATTATCTCAAATAGATAATAACGAGGTTGGGATGGGAAATGCATGAAATTTTTTGCAATACCATCTGATACTGCTGTCTGATCTTTGGTCTACTAACTTTTGTGTAGGAGATCAAGTGCAAATACAAAGTTACATTTGAGTTCTTTCATTGTTTAATCATCTTGTTAGAGATTGGTGCTGGTCCATTACATATAGAGAGAGTAAACTACATTTGCAGCCAGTACAGAACTCTTGGTCATGCAGGATGTAGGGTTACATGTTGAAGTTTTTGGTGTCATATGTCTTCTCTTCTTCTGAAAAATGTCTACTTGTGTGTTAGGGATAATTTTTTATTTCTTACAACTATGTAAAGATTACATGTTTTACTAATGGGTATAGTTCATATAATAATACTGAAAGCATAGGCAACTAACTAATTTTATTCTGCAGATGACAACGGCAATATCAATTGAAGATGTTCGTAGGGAGGTGAAGATATTGAGAGCCTTATCTGGGCATAAGAATCTATGCAAATTTTATGACGTATTTGAGGATGCCAATAACGTCTACATTGTCATGGAGTACGTGTTTCCTTGTTGTAATCTTGTTCAAGATGCCAAATTTCCAGGATTTTTTTTTCATCCTCCCATTTACAATTAGATAGGATACTTTTTGCTCGAGTGATGTCCATATAAACACCTTCACATAATCCCATGGCTTCTTGGAGATGATAAAATATTCTCTGAAGTTGATTTTTTTTATTTTGCACATCAGAATACTTTGATGGCTGTTTCTGGGACTGATTTTTTCCTTTGTGTTGGAAAGCTCTTAGTCTTTTGCACTTTTTCCTTTTTCCGCCTTTTTTTTTTCTTCCTGTTTTGAGGCTACATGTTGTTTCAGACCCTCATCAACTCTGAGGCTTACTGATGTTTTTTTCCCCGGTCCTGTATAGTATTGTAGAAAAATTGTAAAACTTAAGAACTGTGTTCTGAAGTGTTTAGGATGATGTGTTTTTTGACAGATTGTGTGAAGGTGGGGAACTACTGGACAGAATCTTATCACGGTAAAAATGCATCAGTTTTCTCTTTTTCATGCATAACATTAGTGGTGATATTCAATTCTGCTACTGAATTTGATGGGTTGAGCTTGAAGGTATACATTTCTACTGTTTTTTTCTGCAGAGGTGGAAGATATGCAGAGGAAGATGCTAAAACTCTTGTCATGCAGATATTAAGTGTAGTTGCTTTCTGTCATCTTCAGGGTGTTGTGCACCGTGATCTAAAACCAGAGGTATTCAAAACTATTATATGTAGGACTTGAAATCATAATTCATGCGAATGAAATAATTGCACATATGCCTGTGAGCTCGTTTGTTTTGTGCCCACTTCTCATTGGTCCATAGACTAATCACTTTGATGATTTGGTTGCTTGGCAGAATTTTCTTTTTGCCACCAAAGACGAGGATGCTTCTATGAAGCTCATAGATTTTGGTCTATCTGATTTTATTAAACCAGGTATTGTTTGCATATACTTAAATGATCTTTCTTCCTTGTTTTTATTCTTGGCGTATTATCAATCTCTCTGCTTCTTGAGTACTGGGTAACTGAACAATATTATGGGCTAGTAAGCTTCTGTTGGCGGAGCTGTAAGTTTAAGTAAAGTGCTTTTCTTGGTAGAGTTGCAGATTAAGTGCTGATTGTTGAAAGATCTGACAATGGGTAGTAATAATACGACTTCTAAAGCACTGATGCATGGGTGAAAGGGTAAAATGTCAATTGCAAACATAAACGTAAAAAATTGAACTTAAAATAGAATGTTAAATTTGCAAAAGCTTCGCAAGTAGTGTTTTGCCAAAATCTCTGCTGCCAGAAATTACTGTTATTTGTCTCCTAGCACTCCTAAAGACAAATTTTCAAGTAAAAGCACTTCTATCCCACTGCATTGCATCACTAAACAGGCCCTAGATCTTTTGACCTATTCATTTTCAGGCTATCTTGCTGTTTTTTTATTTTTGTTTATTCCACTGTTTTTCACAACAGTTAATATGTGTTGTAGAAATTTACGTGCTTCAACTAATGAGTGTGTGCTAAGTAGCAGGGAAGGGCCTTGTCTCTGTACTCCTTTTTGTGTTTTCCATCTGGATAAGGTGCTTATCTTACTAATTAAATCTCTCCCCAGCAAGGCCCCTGTTTCACTGTAAGCCTGATGTCTATGCTTCATCATATATGGGGGCGCAATTCCCTGTATTATCCCCCTTTTTCTTCCCTAATTGTCAGCTTCACCCATCATGATTCTAGAGTATCCACCTAGACCTATGATACTTTAATTAGGCAGTTTGTATTTCTCTGGAATTTGAAGATGAGCAACAAATCCATAAACAGGCCCTTCAAAATTGTTCTTATGATCAATTCAATTTGGGAACTAAAAGGAGAATTTAGTAAACATTGAGAAAGTCCTTAAAAGTATATGAAGCACGGATATAATATGAAGATATTGCAAAAAACTTCAAATTAAAATAGGCTGAGAATCAGGAGAAGCAGTACAGGTTGAAGGATCAGCAGAAAGCTGGCCTGCATCTCTAAATGTACGTTAAGTCCTGCTTGCTCGTCTAGTAAAGAATAATATGCATGGAGAGAAGTGTGTTTTACAGCATTCTCCATATTTTTTTATTCAAGAGTGTTGAAAGTCTGTTACACAACCCGGCTTAATTCAATTAATCAACATGAGCCGTTAGATTCTCAAGCTTGATTAACCTAATGAGACCCTCTTATTGTGGTTGATGACCATGGACCAGTAGTCGCTATTGTTTATATACTTCTTCTTTGAAAATTTTGTGACCTACATGGGTTGACACTCTGATCAGAAAAATACTGGTCCATCCTGTATGTTGTGTCCATGAATGCCGGAATCTATCAATGCTTGTGTTACCTTTTTTTTTTCTTTTTCTGACAATCCAAAATCCAAATGTGAAACAACCGGTTCTGGCACATTGCAGATCAACGTCTGAACGATATTGTGGGCAGTGCATACTATGTTGCACCTGAAGTACTTCATAGATCTTACAGTGTTGAGGCAGATATGTGGAGTATTGGTGTCATAACATATATATTGTTGTGTGGAAGCAGACCTTTCTGGGCACGAACTGAATCAGGAATTTTTCGTTCTGTGCTACGAGCTGATCCTAACTTTGATGATGCTCCTTGGCCCGTTGTATCACCAGAAGCCAGAGATTTTGTGAAAAGGCTTCTGAACAAGGACCACAGGAAAAGAATGACTGCTGCCCAAGCACTAAGTAAGTTTGTGTTTATGAATCCATGCATTAAATGAGCAGTGCATGGTATAGCCTATAAGTAGGTTCTGGACAGTTACAATTCATCTAATTTTTTGCTGATAGTGGCATATTGATGTCTCTTGTTCTATTGGAAACTTATGAATGCCTCTATAAATGCAGCTCACCCATGGTTGAGGGACGAAAATCGTGCTGTGCCTCTCGATATTCTGATCTACAAGTTAGTGAAATCATATATCCGAGCCACGCCTTTAAAACGTGCAGCGCTTAAGGTACTTACCGATGATGTTATTCTTGATTTCTTCTTTGGCTGATGTATAGGCTGGCTGGTCTGTATGTGATATTGTTGAGTGATACATCACTTTGTGGCCCATCTTTTGGCAGAAGTAGCCTTTCTTTTGATGATTTATGTAATACTAGCCTGGTTTAATTTGTCATTTTTCTCGCTTGTCCTCGACACTGCAGGCTCTCTCCAAAGCGTTGACAGAGGATGAGCTCATTTACCTTAGGGCTCAGTTTAACCTCTTGGAACCAAAAGATGGTTGCGTATCCCTTGATAATTTTAGATCGGTTAGTCAGTGCTTCTTTTCACTTCATGTCTATATGTTTTGTTATATTTTTCTTCTAAATATCTACTTATATCATAAAAGTTTTCCAGGCTCTCATGAAGAATGTGACTAATGCCATGAGTGAGTCAAGGGTACCTGATATTCTGAACGTGGTGAGACATCTGAATGTTGTTGGAGCTTTTTGTGGCACAACTGACATTAGAGTGGCGTGATCATGCTATAAGGCCTCATTTATTTAGAGTATATGATATGAATGAGGCATCACATCAACTACCTAGTGTTTTTCTTTGGAAGCTGCATTCGATGACAAAAATGAGCTGAAACAGAAGTGTATCCAAATTTTCTTTCTGCTTAGATGACCATGGGGCCTTTTTTTATTGAACTATTAGCGTTATGCTGTGATACCATGTTCAGTGAGTTTTTCATCTTGCGAGACTTTTACTTTCCAGAGGACAGCCTCACCTTAAAATAGATTAAATGGGGCATCAACCTTACGGTTGTTTTTTGTTTCTGGTTTGCTCTTAGTATTGGCTTTCATGTAAATGACATTTGTCCTTTTGACTTAGGAGTGGGGCATTGGATCTTTCTGTTAACGAATACTACTATTACAAACTAACGCCTTTGCCTTATAATTCTAGATTGAACCTCTATCTTGTAAAAGTATGACGTTTGAAGAGTTCTGTGCTGCTGCTATTAGCACATACCAGCTGGAGGCTCTTGAAGGATGGGAGAGCATTGCTAATAAAGCTTTCGAGTGTTTTGAAGAAGAAGGAAATCGAGTCACATCCGTTGAGGAATTAGCACAGGTAGACACATCTTTCTTCCATTAGGCTGGTTGAATTTGATTTCACTTGATGAGTCACCTACTGAATGCCATAACTAACTTTTGCAGGAATTAAATCTGAGCCCTACTGCTCACACTTTACTCAGAGATTGGATCAGGAAATCTGATGGAAAACTTAGTTTCCTTGGATATACCAAGTTCTTGCATGGTGTGACATTTCGTAGTTCTAATACAAGACATCAATAACAGGTTTAAGAGTGCTTACGTTTTCCTATTTTATTTTCTTTCCCTTTTTTATTCTCTGCATAAAAATAGAAGAAATGAACGTGTTAAAGGATCCGATATTTAGATTCTTGAAGCTACATGAGTCCATTTCAATTTTCAACTCTTAGTTTTGTGCTTTATATTGTGTTTCAAAATCTTTATAGTAGACTTCTTTCTGTGAAAAAAATGTGGTGTACATCACTGGATTGACGAGTTTTTATAATATAAGAGCTTCTGAATTTGAAATTATTCCCATTTTTGCTGTCTTCCATCTTACTGTCAAGTTTGCAATGTCCTCTGCGTAGTCTTTTCTTTATATGCCTCATCTTATATCAAACATGTTATGATTTTTGACACAACACAGATGATATGATACGGACTTAATATGTACATCTCTCGAAGCCTTAGAGAGCTGCTGGACTCTGACGCCGTTAGACATAAACTACCCGCTAAAGCAAATGGTAAATAAGACAAGGTATTAAGCAGACAATTAAGGGATAGAGGATGGATTTGTCTAGGTTGCGAACTTCATTATATATTCAGCCTTTTATCTGTTTGCAAGCGGGTGTGAAATGATTTTTTGGTCTTGAAGATTCTTCTATGAAATATCGACTTAGATAATAAAAAAAACAAAGACAAGGTCCAAACCTGCCCATTTGTGTTTTTGTTTATCCATTGACAACACATTAACCCTTATTCATTTGATCACGTCCATGTCTAGGAGGGAACAAGGTGTTAACGTAACAAGGCTGACATTGACTCTAAGGCCACCCTATGATTGGTTGGATGGTGATTGTTATCCTTTTTATTTCTTGAGTTGACCAAAATTTTTGTTTTTTTTTTTTTAAATCGTCAAGGATGTTAGAGTCAATTTACGTACGTCTCAACTAATCATCTTTTCAGTTCGGTTAAAGACAAATAATCTATGTTGAAACTAGTATATTTATGAAAGATAAATTTATAATCACGGTACTTCAAAATTGGAGAGAAAAGAAAAAATAAACAAGTAATTTGGCGGTAAAGTCAACACTCTCAATTGCAATTTTTAAAAAATTGTCATTATTCAGATTAGGAAACAATGAATCTAACAGCTGGCTTTCTTGATTATTGTTGATTCCCATTATAGAATAAACTATACATTGCTTAGAAATATTATATTGGGATCTTTCGAAAGATAGAGAAAGTAATTATTGTGATCTTAGAGTACTTAAATCCCACTAGCTCAAAAAAAGTACTTAAATCTCACACATTACCTTAGATAAATGTGTGTTATTTACTCAGTTGCTCAGACGAATCATTTTTAAGTCTTTGAGTTTGAATTTTCATTGAAACATAAGTTTTGATTTAACTGGTGTATAAATTGAGAGATTGATTTATACACGTCGGAGTTGACTTTCGGTTCTACTCGAATTCACGAGCGTGAGCGACAAAATCATTTCTATCTTGCCAAAAACAGATCAATGATTTCTCTTGTCATCCCAAAAAATGTTTATTTTTATTAAAAAAATATTAACGACAAAATCATACATCCCACTGGTTTAGTCAATATAATAACTCATTTATCACTTGAAACGTTGCATACTCGATGAATAAAAGTAATCTCTATTTATACGAGAGTAAAATTGTATATATCTGTCTGTTATAGTATCGTGCTCCGAATGCATTTGTAAAAGTTGAACAAATTGGTGAAAGGCTAGAGTAGGAGCAACATAATCTGAGTAATATGTCATCGGTGATTTCATCATGTTTAAATTTCATTAAACGTGTGTGCAAGTGGGTAGGAATTTTCAACTACATGCAACGGGATAAATCATGGGTTGGTAATGGGAACTTAAAACTTCACGGGTCAACGATGAACTTTGCCACCACAACTTTCCAAATTAAGATATCTTTGGTGTCCAGTGGTGTAGTTAGTATCGCTTTTGGTAACCTTAAAAGTCATAGTTTGAATTTTTTTTTTACATTTATGAAGTGTTACTCATCCTTATTTTTTTAGAAACATGTTTTAATTTTATTTAAATCATGATAGTCAGTCGTTGAGTTTAGTCACTTTTATCCTTTTTGGAAACATGTTTTAATTTTATTTAAATCATGATAATCAGTCGTTGAGTTTAGTCATTTTTATCCTTTTAGAGATATGTTCTAACTCAACTCAAATTACGGTAACTAACTGTTAAGTTTAAAAGAATAATCGACGTAAGCCTGAATACCCTAGAACAAAAGAAAAAAAAAAAGATGATATCTTTGGTGTTGTTTGTTTCACTTATTTAAAAATGCCAATCGACATAATTCATTATTATTGATGGGTTCGACCTAGACTAGGCCCGGTCTAGAATTATAAATTAGATCCAATTCAAATGGTCATTTTAGAAATACGGACCAGACTTAGGTCATAGGTGCAACTTGCTCTAGACTAAGTCTATCGTATTGAAAAACTCAGTCTACTATTAACACAGGTTAGATTTTCATCTTAGGAAGAGAATCAGAGTACGTATCTCAAACCTCAACCACCTCGTCCGCTACGCTAATATCACGTAGTCATCCACTCTCGTTACAACGGTGACGCCTTTAATTAGGGCTCCTCACGATGGTGCTTTCATTAAAGCCCGTTCTGGGGCACCATAAAAATTATATTCTCTTATAAATTGTAATTCTTACCTACATATTTTAACATATTATACCTATTAAATAATAAATTTTTTTGGCTACCATCACCGTTCTCAATAAAAATAAAAATAAAAATTATACACGAGAATTAAAATATTTATAAAGAATAAATTTTTCTTAACTTTAACTCTTAAAAATTACCAAGTTTTGAATTCTATTTTCCCTTGAAGTAACTTGGGATTGCCTTGCTATAATTTCAACCACACGGGCCCCACTGTGACCGAGTCATTAAGGAATTTGTTGAAGAACAGAACAGTATATATTGTTGAAGACTGGATGGGTGTTAGTGCTTAACTGTCTAACACCTCGTTCCCACCTCACAAAAGCTCAAGTTGATCTCCCTGAGCAATCCCATTGGACCACTCCTTGCTCATTCATCTCTCTCTCTCATATCACCCAACAACTACAACATTAAATGAAAAGAAACAACCCAGAAACATAATAAGATTAATTACAATAAACCAGAAATCCTGTATAACATAATTTAGTTTTCGTCATTATATTCTACAATAATATGGGTATATTACCAACCCAACAACAAAAGGAAAAAAAAAAAATCAATCCAGTTTCACAAATTTACAACATAGGTAGGTGAGGAAGTAGGTAGCTAGGCACAATATCGGTGTCAAGCTTTAAAGCACAGAAAATGGTGATGGAGTTGGGCTTTTTCCTTGTCAATCATGCCTTGAACGTAACGAAACTCATCCACATGACAAGGAATGGTGATGGGGCCTTTCTGATCAAACCCGTACTCTTCCTCGGCTTCCTTTAAGAACTTCATGAAGAGTGGGTGGTTGATGTAGATGACAGGGATGATGAACTTCTGTTGCTCTTCTCCTTGACCCACCATGATAGCAAGACACCCCTTTGGTATGTCTCGCAGCTCCTCCTTCTCATGGTGGTGGTGGTGAAGGTAGATGTGTGGTAGATGTACATGAAAACTGATCAGGTGATGATGTTTATCTCCAGTACCCATCTCAAGAACACAAAATTAAAGACCCAAGAAAACAAAGAAAGCCTCTTTTGCCTTTAGCTTCTTGACGAATGAAACGAAAGGTTACAAGAGGAGTAGAGAGAAAGGCCAAGGGTCAGAGGAAGAGATGGCCAGTTTAAAGAGGTTTAGGGAAGAGTCTGTTAGAGATCTTGGAATGTTGCTCATGATAAAAGGGTTTCAAAGATTATTCTGCATATGAACTATGATGATGAGATTGAGAGGCTTTCAGAGATGGGTGGTGTATATATATATTGGGTTGGGGGGCGGGGGTGTTCTGTAGGTGAGAAGGTTACTGGGAGTTTTCTTTTCTTTTGTTGATGGATAGGTGATAGAGAAAGGGTGGTTCTAGAGAAGGAACAGCTGAAACCGTCATAACTAGGGTGGGTAATTGCCGTCTGCTATGGGGTTTGTCAATTGTAATTTCCAACGTGAAACGAGTAAAGGGCTGTTTCCGTGTCAGTTGTTGCCGCCAGTAGTCAATTAGGGATTGAATTATACACGGGAAACACAATAAACCTTTAACCCATGGGCTTAATGGGTACCCAGATATGAACTCTCCCACGTGTAGCTAGCGTGGAAGAGTTGTAAACGATTGAAAACAAACCCATTTGAAAAATTCGACTCAAATCCGATTCAATTATCATTTGAGTGGTACCGTTGACATAGTGTGAATATGTTACATCTAATATTTACTCCTAGCACGGGTCTCCACCCATTCCTGGGCCATCCCAGGCCTGGACCCAATTCGGTGCCGCTTTCTCCGCTGGACTTTGCTGGTGTGCATGACATCGCCTACGATAGACATAATTTATTGAACTAATAAATCATAATTAATAAATTGTTAATGAATTTTAAAAAATATTGGACTTAATATTAATTCAATAATTATAAATAATTTAATCAAAAAATTATGTTCAAGTACTATTATTCCATTGTATAAGATTACAAAATTATTTTATAGCACTACTGTTGAAATTCAATATGAACAGCAGAGAGAATGGAAGGGCTCCGGGCTTGCGAATTCAATCCCTCTTCGAATATTTAATATGTTATTTGTTTAAGTATTTTTTTAACCCCTTAAATATTCTCTCTTTTGTTTATATGAATTTTTATTGTAATTATATTATAAATTTATTTAATTTTTTTTTTTTTGTGAAAAAAATTGATTAAATTGCAATACTATTTTTTGTATTGTAATAATATGATATTGTTGTATACCAAAAAAATTAAATATAGCATATATTGGAGTGTAGAATAATAGGATATAAATTAAACTTTATTTCTTCATTTAAATATAGATTTAGATCGATAATTGTATATAATTGTACTACTAATAAATAAATTTAAAAGAATTAAATTTTTTTTTATAAAAGAGTCAAAAACAAGTTGAAAGTCAAATAATGTTAACAAAAATAGATGAAAGTATATAGGCCGATATAATTGATTTTATTATAATAATTAAAAATTATTCTTTTACTAACGGGCCTTTGGTCTAAATGATACTTCTTAGTTTATGAAGATTTTGTCTTAAAGTCAAGAGTTCAAGCCCTCTTTCCCCTCTCCCTCTCAAAAAAA